AGGGTCTTGAGAAAAGGCGGGGGGAGCAGGCTTTGGGGGATGATCTCCCCCCGGGCTGGAGCCATGGGGGAAAGGATGGGAGTGTGGGGTGCAAGGACCAAGGACCAAGGTGCAAAGGAAAGCAGGTGGTCACAGAGGACCTCAAGCCCCAAGCTGAGCTAGGGTTAGTTTTGAATAGGGTCAGAGCAGTAAGGCCCTGGAGCCAGGTAACGATTGTCTGCAGGAAGAGAAGGGCACAGTGTGTGGCCCCCTGACAGGTGCTTCCCAGGTATGGGCTCAGTTAATCTCCCAACTATCCCCAGAGTTGGGCATGACCATCACCTCTTTGCAAAGAAATGATGCTCAGAGATGACCAAGGGTGAGTTAGAGGCTGGTGGGCATTGGGGTAGGGGCGCCACAGCCTGGCACACTGGCAGCGAGGACAGGTGGGCAGCGTTCTAAAGTCTGAGGGCGTCTGTGGGGGCAGAGAAGAACGTAGGCAGGGCATGAATGAAGCGGGGGCCCCGGGGGTTGTAACTGGGTCACCAAGAGATGAGAACAAGAAGGAGGCTAGAAGGAAGAAAGGACAGAGCTGGGGGCCTGGAGTGCAGGGTGCAGGTGAGGAGAGGCACTGGGGATGATCTCGGGGGGGCGGGGAGGGCTTGTTGGGGGCCAAGCCTGACCCCAAGGAACCAGGCTGTCACGGCCTGGTTGACATCCAGGCTGAGGCTAGTGCTTGCTCCTGGGGAAAGGGTTCTAGGATCTTCGGAAGGTTTGGAGCGCACCACGTTGGGCGGCCCTCCTGCGCTCTGGCCTCCTTGTTTATCTCCACCCCTGTCCCAGGCCTGTGACAGATTGCCGGACAGACCTCCCCCTAAGGAGGCCCTAGAGGTCCCACAGATTCGCCAGCTACTTGCTACTGATCTCTCCCCACGTCCCCTGCACGACTGCCACCAGCTCCTGGCCCCGCCCTCACCCACATGTCTCTCTTGCCCACGTCCCTCTCCGCAGGAGGGCGGGTGCCACATCAGCCGCAGGTGGGTCTTCTGAATCCACAAAGGTTCTCCACTTGCTCACTCCCGGGTGTGGACCCAGCCGTTGCCTTCAGCTCCAAGGCCGGCGAGCTGAAGGCTTTCCCCAGCGTGCCCCTCGCAGCCTCTGTGACTGCTGCCTTCTGCCCTGCCCATGCCCCCTCGCTGGGCCCTTGTCTTCCTGTGCATCTGGTTGTCCCCCCCACCCCTCGCCCTGGACCCCTGAGTTCCATCTCCTTCGGCACTCAGCAGTCCAGGTAGGTTGCGCCCACATTCGGCCTCCGAGCACGGTCAGGAGTGCTGCCCAGAGCAGTTCTGCTGCCTCCCAGTGGCCCTGACGTCCCCCAAGCCCCTTACGGCTCTTCTTCCCATCCGCGGACCCCAGGACAAGGCAGGGAAGGGACCTCCAGAGGGAAAAGCCCAGGACTCTGGGGCAGGAGAGTGAAGTCCCTTCTTCATAGCCCCATCGTGCTAACAGTGAACCAGGGAGGGCAGTGCCAGAGGCCTGTCTAGAACCCCTGCCCACCCCCCACCCCCATTAAATCACTCTCTGTCCCAGCCCTGGCCTCTTCCCTCCCTCCCCCTACCTTCATGCTGCCTGAATCATTTATACCCCAGGGCCCTGAGCTCTGCAGGAGATGCTGTAACACCCTGTCTTGTCCCTGCAAGCGCGCCCACGTGCTACCCGCCAGGTAGAGCTCCCTGCCTTTTAATAGGAACGTTCCGGAGACAAGGCCTTAGGCCACACGAAGGTTGCCTAATGGTGAGAATTTCTGTGATCCTGGCAGGAAAGGAGAGGGTCGTTACGAGGAGGGGAATTTCTGCTACCTCCCAGATCAAACTCCGGAAGGGTGCCCTGCCTTGCACATCAGACTCAGGAGAGGCGGGGGGAGGGGGCTGAGAACAGAGTTTGTTCCCCTCCCCATCCCCACCCCCACTCCCTGTCTGCCGGGCAGTCTGACCCCCTGGCTGACCGAAACTTGCAAGCGCATTTCAGCTCAGGGGTATCTGGCTTCACTACCTTTCCACTCACTGGTGAGGTTCACAGAGAGGCCCAGTGGGGGGGGGGGGGTAGCGGCGGGGGGAGTGCTTGGACCAGGAGCAAGGGCAGGGAGAAGGCTACAACCTGTGTTACTCAGGGCCCAGCTGGGTCTGCAGTGGGTGGGGAGGAGGAAGTGAGTCAGTGGGCACAGCAATTCATGCCTCAGACTTCTGACTTTCCTTTTCAACCCACTGAGCCAAGACGTTTGTCCCAACAGGATCCCGGGGTGGGGGAGGGGACGGGAGCAAGAGGGTATTTATGAGACGGAGCTGGCCTCTCGCTCACCTCTACCATGTTCTCTGATTTATGGCCATAAAGAGTACGGGGCCAACTGAATTTAGCTGAAGATGTGCTACCGCGTGTGAGGGGCCGTCACGGGTGCTGGAAATTCAAGTGAAATCCACAGGGAGCACAATGGCCACGGAGTGGGCCACTTCTGGGCCTCGGCTCTACTATTTTCCAACAAACCTGTGAGTCGGGTTTCTATAATCACACTGCAAGCCCAGACTAGAAGTCATTGTAAGGCCTGGAAGATTCTAGAGTGACTGTGTGGCACCTCCATTGCCTCCTCCCGTTCCCCCCAACCCTAAAATACAAGGTGGTGTGCAGGGTTAGGCTGTTTACACTCGAGAGCTCGATGAATGTGGGGTCAAGGTGAAAGCTCAGCCTCCCCGGAAGATGCTCTGGTGCCTCTTTGACACCCCTGGTGGGTCCCAGCTCTGTGCCGGTCCGTCGTAGGTTGTCAATTAATGTTTGAGGCTGACAGATTCTGAGCCAGGGACCAGGCGCCTGCCGGTATCTAGGTCACGGGAGAAAGGAAATCTGATAAACCCATTCATGCTTCATCGCTCCTCCCTCCCTCCTCAGTAATTTGCATTTTCAACTCAGATCAGAGATAGAGACCTGAGTCTTAATTCAATAGCAGAGATCTGGTCCACTTAGTTCAACAAATATTAGGAGCCTTAGCACACATGGGACACCAGCTAGTGAATAATGAGAGATCTCCTCCAGCCCTTTCGTTGCACGGATGGGGAAATCGAGGCTCAGAGGACAGTAACTTGCCCAAGGTGAGAGGGCCGAAGAGAGCCTGCACTCAACTCAGAGGAAGGATAGTGCAAACCCAGCAAGCACTAAATAAACCGAGGCACCTTTATAGAATCTTGACTCTGTCATTGTTGCAACGGGGGACATTTCACCGTGAACCAGCTCTTCTGCCCTCTTCTCTCCCGAGGCTCTGTCTTCCTAGTCCTTTGCTCCCTTGTCCAGATACTCCTCCTCCAAGAAGCCTCCCTGCCTCTACAGCAGAGCCCATAGCTGGCTTGCTGTCAGGCTCCCCCGCAGAGGCAGACGGACCCCACCCAAGGTATTGCTTGATGTCAAGTCTGATGACGCCACACGCACGCCAGGAGTGCATGAAAAGGTTTATTATTTACATAATTGAGGTCTCCGGGGAGGGCAGGGCTGGTGTGCGGAGCAAGGTCTGAACCAGTGAGAGCGAACAAGGAAAAGAGATTGCCTTCTTGTGGTTAGGGACTGAGATCAAAGTGAACATTTGCGCTGGACAGGATTTATAGGGTTCGAATCCCCCATGGATGTCAAAGGAGGGAACACAGCCCGCAAGTTTTGTTATAAGCTCGTCCAGGTGTGGGGCAAAGGAGAAGAAGAAGGGAGGGTGCTTACAAGCCATCAGCAGTCAAACATCAAAAAATGGGACTCCGAGGGGCGCCTGGGTGGCTCAGTCGGTTAAGCATCCGACTTCCGCTCGGGTCACGATCTCACTGTTTGTGAGTTTGAGCCCCGCACCGAGCTCACTGCTGTCAGCACAGAGCCTACTTCCGATCCTCTGTCTCCCTCTCTCTCTGCCCGTCCCCTGCTTACTCTCTCTGTCAAAAATAAATAAACCTTTTTTTTTTTTTTTTTAGAGAGAGATAGAGAACGAGCAGGGGAGGGGCAGAGAGAGAGGGAGGCACAAAACTCAGCAGGCTCCAGGCTCGGAGCTGTCAACACAGAACCTGATGCGAGGGTCGAACTCACCAACTGTGAGATCATGACCTGAGCCGAAGTCGGACGCTTAACCGACCGAGCCACCCAGATGCCCCAGATAAACATTTTTTAAAATGTTTAAAAAAGGACTCTGGTTCCTCTTGATGCATGTTATTCATGCATCCTTGCTTCTCTCTGTCTACCTTTATAGCTAGGGCTCCTTCTCCACAGAGAAGAGCTGACATGCTCAAATCAACCGATGGATGAGATGAAGCCATGGATGATATGTCGCTGGAACCAGGTGGCTTCAGAACTTTGTCATGCACTTACCGTTTCCCCTTCTGCATCATTCTAGCCCAGAGACCCTTCCAGTGCCCACTTCCAGTCTCCCTCCATCCCTGCTCGATCTCTCCCAGGTCTCTCTGACACTCCCCCACATTCCTTAGCTCGAGTCCTCCCCTGCCCCTGCTACCAGGCGCCCTGCTCTCACTCCCACATTCCCTCAGGATACTCCCCTGGAGTGGAAAAACCACCCCTCATCCCTTTCCTGCTCCCAGCCCTGGGATCGGACGTGCTGGTCATTCCTGTTTGGGATGGCCAAAGAGATAACGCCTGGCACAGAGCCCATCTGTCATCACAGGACTCTCAAAGCTGTTTCAGGTGGGACCCCCACCGACACTTAACAGCCACCCTGGCCCCTACTCTCCTGACCCTGGATGCCAGGAACATGGTGGAGGACCCCAGCCCGAAGGAGAACAAGGTAACTGGTCAACTTCCACCCAGGCCAGGAGGAGAGGCTGGGTGGCTCTGGGTGGCTGGGACAGCTCTGGAACAGATGCTGTCCTAAGGGCATACAGGGATGAACGTCGTCTCGCAGAACACCACAGAGAACGCTGTTACTGCAGCTGCTTTCATTCAGATGTCTCTGGCTGGCTGACCAACATCTGCCTGGTACCTGTCTCTTAAAGACATAGATGTCGCCGGGAGCTTCCGGTCCTGGCCCCGACTCGAATGAGCTGGGTGATCTTGGATGTCCAGGTTCCCTCCTAAGTCAAATGAGGACGATAATCCTGACGTCACAGAGAGGCCAGGAGGATGAAATAAGAGTCTGCACGTGGAATGATTCATAAACTGTAATGTTCAAGTCCCCTTTCCAGCCTCTGAATCTAATTTTGCACTCCTAGCTCCTTATTCCTTTCCTTAAAGAGGTCTCCAAATTACACACATTTCAGGCTCCCCCCCAAACCTAGACCAGTTCCAAGTATTGTACAAATGTTACTGATTAGCACAAGTGGTCAAGGACTCTGAGGCCAGATAATACAGGATAAAAATCTGAGCTGTGTGTTCCTCACCAAGTTGCTTAACCTCTCTGAGCCTCGGTTTCCTCATCTTAAAACAGATCATCTTCCAAGGTTGATGTGAAGCTTTAGTCTAATAATCTTTGTAAAGCCCTTAGCATAGTTCTTGCTGCATGAGTGCTTACAACATAGTTTTCTTATTATTAGAAACTCTGAGATAGGGCCTCTAAATCAAATTTCAAAAGCGCCAGTGCTGAGGTGTGGATTTCTGGGCCAAAATAAGAACGTTCCTTCTGCCTGGAGAAAAGAAACGTTCAGCGGAAGTGGGTCTGTGCTTCAATATGAGAAATCTGAGTCCGTTTCAAGAAAGTAGACAGTGACCTGCTCAAGTTCCCTTTCGGTTAGATCCTGCTGAGGATGACCAGACCTTTGGGCCCCGCCCACCTACCTCCACCTGGCGCCACCCACCGCACACCTAGGGGGGCTCTGTCCCTGCCCAGTCTCCAAACACTCAGTCTGAGCCCCCTCAGTGGGAGGAGGAGACGTTTGGGATTCCGCTGGGCTGGGCCCCGAAGGCAGGAGTGGAGGAGATGTGTGTACCGGCTGGGCCCAGCATCCCGGCCACACAGTGCGTTCTAAGAAGGGACTCATTTCCACCCCGAAGAGCTTATAAGGGATACCAGGAGGCTCAGCCCTTTGGAGGACCTGCTGTTTTGTTGCTTATTACAATTAGCAATGCTTGGTTATTACCACCGCTAAACATCTGTCTGGCTTTGCTCAGGGACCACTCCCAGCCCGGGTCAGGGTGGGCGAGGGCGGGTAGGCAAGAGAAGTAAATCTCGACAAGGACAGCGAAGGGCCTGGGTGCGAGGGAGAACGCCCAGAGACCGCCAGCCGCCACTCCGGGACTCACAGCGCCGCGGAGGCGAGTCGGGCATTCCAGCCAGCGGCGCGCGGACGTCGGTTCCCACCCAGGTCCGCCAACGCCGGGTCTCTCCCGCCGGGCCCGCAGAGGTGGCCGCGCCTGGAACCGCCGTTCGCGCAGCAGTGGCAACCGGAGCAAAGCTGCCGGACAAATCCCACCCCCGGCCCCGCCCGTCCAATCCATCTTGCTGGGGAGGTGACGCTTCTTGGGAGAAGCAAGGGGCGGGGAAGGGAAATCCAAGCCTTGCGGGGCTCTCGACAGGTGTTTGGGGGAGAAGGCGGAGCCTGGTTAGGGAGGATGAGGAGGGAGGGGCGGCGCTGCCCCTTTAAGAGGCGGTGGCGGAGCCGGGACCTTTTCTCTTTCCCCGGAAGGAAAGCGGAGCCCGGGCTGGGCGCGCAAGGTGGGGAGGTGCGGGCTGGGGCGTGGGGAGGCGGGGCGCGCGCGGAGGGCACCCCTCCCTCCGGTCTTCCTTGCGGTCCACCGGTCCGCGCGCCCAGATCCGCCGCCGAGCCGGGATCGGAGGCAACAGTGCGGCCAAGGGGGGCGCGGCCAGGGACCAGCTAGGGGCAGGGTGCGTGGGCCGGGGGGGGCGGTGACCCGGCGGCAGGGCAGGCGGGAGAACAGACCCGCGAACCTCAGAGAGGAATCTAAAAGCGCAGACCCCGAGGGGACGCGAGACGGACCGGGGCTGGGGGCCAGAAACTCGTCGGCGCTGCCGGGCTCAACGACGCGGCCCGCGGTGGCGCGGGCAGCAGGTGAACAAGTCTTCACCCCCAGCCCCGCACCCTCACGCGCTCTCGCCCCGGCCCCCTGCTCCGGCTCGCAGCCATGGGCCCCGGCCCCCGCCGCGCCGCCTGCGTCCCGCGCCCGATGCTCTGCGCGCTCGCCTTGATGGTGGCCGCCGGGGGCCGCGTCGCCTCCGCCTTCAACCTGGACACCCGATTCCTGGTGGTGAAGGAGGCCAAGAACCCGGGCAGCCTCTTCGGCTACTCGGTCGCCCTCCATCGGCAGACGGAGCGGCAGCAGCGCTACCTGTAAGTGAGGCTGGCGGGGGTGCGGGTGGGGGTGGGGGTGGGGGTGGGAGGGAGTGCGTGCGCAGGGTGCGGATCCTTAGCCGAGTCGCAGCCCGGCTTCGAGGGCCACCGCCCGCTCTAGGCAGCCGGGATTAAGGGGGCGGGGACCTGGGCAGCCCTTCTGCTGCCGAGGTCTGGCGGGAAGTGGAGGGATTCGGGGTGGGATGGGGTCAGTAATCACTGGCAAGTGCCGACCCGGCCAGAACCTGTCTCAACTCAGCCCCTGGGCTCTTCACACCTCTCAAGTAGAAGTGGGATCCCCGTTTCCTGGGCACCCTCCCATTCTATACCGAATATTTCTCTCCAGGGCTGGGACGTGGGGAAAATAAACACCTAGTGGATCCCGCTTCCCCCTTTCCTGGGACGAACCTGTGGGCATATGTATTTAAGCCCTCCCGGGCCTTTACACCTCGCCTGTAGTCTGCAGGCCAGGCCAGCCACACCCTCTGCAGAGCCAGACTAGAGGGCCTCAGCTGCTCAGCGGTTGCTGGGTGAAGTGACGGGCGAGTCTGGGCGTTTGGCGCTCTCCAGGATCTCCCCCTGACCCCTTAAGGATGGGGATGTAGAGGTAGCTCTCCCAACTCCTGCTTGGTCTCCTGTCCCCCTCGCCCCCCAAGCCACCCTCAGCAGGGACGCCCGCCCTCCCACCAGACATCTTCCCTGCATTCCACAGATTCATGTTGAATCTTCAACCCTGAGTGTGTTTGTTTTGGTTTGAAGAGGGAAAGAGTGTTTTTCTCTTCTGGTCGCCTTCGCCAACAGCTGTAAGGAGAAGGAGGGGGAAGAGCTAGCCACAGAGGAGAGGGGAGAAGGAGATTGCAGCCAGCTGTTTGTGGTTCCTCCCCCCCATCCCCCCCCCAGCCAACGTGCACACCCGTGTCTAGAGGGGCGTGTGCAGGTTTCAGAGGGTTCTCTGCCACGGTCTCAGGTGCAGAGGTTGGTGTTTGGGAGAAAAAGGCAGCTGGGAGAGGGGAGGCTGCCCCAGGAGGGAAGGAGTTATGACGGGTCAGGCAGGCTGCACCTACCTCTTTGGGCTGGGGGACGTACCAGATGTCCACTCCCTCCTGGTGTCCCGACTCCACTGAGCAAGAGGACATGGTCACATACATGTTTGGATTGAAACCTTTCCCAGCTCTGGCAGGGGCCTGCAGAAACTCGAGGAAGCTTGAATATCCAAAGTCCAAACCCTGCCCCAGCCTCAGCCTCTGCCCCACTGGCCCAGCCCAGGCCCAGGCTACCTATCTACTTGGCCTCCGTCTAGCCTCTGCAGGGGCCAAGTCCACCACACCCTTCCCAGCGCAGGCTGGTCTTGGCGAGCCCTTCATCTCGTGGAGACCCTCGGTGACCATCAGCACCAGTTTCTATCTCGGCGCTGTCTTCGCTACAGCCCAGACAAAGATGTTCAGGCTGTTCAATACCGAACCTGCATGGTATAAGGTAGCATAGTGTAAAGAGAAGATCAGGAAAGCAAGAGTAAATAATGAAAAGCTGGAGTAAATCGTGGACTGTGTAAACCCCACCCACCCCCACCCCCACCCGCTATGTGGCCTTGAGCAAGATATTTCCCTTCTCTGGGCCGGTTTTTCCCAAAAAGGGGTTGGGCCTGGATCTATATGCTCCTTCCTGCCTCTGTCGGCCTGTAAGAGGCCACTTGGCACGGAGGGGAGAGAAGAGGCACCCAGAGTCCCACTGCCAGTTTCCAGTCTCGGATCTGTCACTAATATCAGAGTCTTAATTTCTCCACATGTCGGGGAGGGAAACAACATGCCTTCTTCACGAGGTGCCTATGTCTCCCGGGAGCAGTTTAGGGCTCTTGTGCCAAAGCCAGGCCCTCACTAACCAAGATGGCAACGCGAGGGGCCTCTACGTCTCTTTCTGGGCAGTGAGAGATGGCATGAGGCATGCTAGGAGCCCAGAAGTTTCCAAAACTACTGACTCTCGCAGAGGCAGGTCGTTCTAGATAGAGTTCTGGGCCATTCTCTCCAGTGTCCTGTCTTTCCCAGGGTGGGGAGTGGTTCGTATCGTGGCTCAGCTCCTCCTCTTGCTGAATTCTGCACCGTGGGCCCTTTGGGAGAGCCAGCTGGGCCAGCCGGGTGTAGCTGCGGCCAGCTGCGCAGCCAGATGTGAACAGCTGCATGAGTGCACTGCTCGGGGGAAACGAAAAGTCAGGTCTTACATTCTGTTTGCCTCAAAGCCCCTTTGGGAAAAGGGGAGAGGTTTCATGGTCCTGAACAAGCTCTTAGCCCGGGATTCCTAGACGGTTTCTGGGAGACGCGGGGACCCCTGAACATACCGTGGGTCTGCATTGTTCTGGGAGTGGAAGGAGGGGAGGAGCACGGCTTTCATGATATTCTCAAAGAAGGCCTTATTCCAGAAACGGTTCAAAGCCCAGGTGCCGATCTCTTGGTTCAGCCTTATCTTGGGACCGGAGCTCCCTGCCCACAGCATTCAGAGCTCATTCTAACCCAGGCCCCAGCTTCCCAGTCTCTGGAAGTGAGGGGTGCACAGCAGGGCCAAGGTCTAAGGTGCTTTGGGCTTCTTGGTGAGATGCATGAGGCCCTCGGAGGGAAGCAGAGGGACTATTCCTCTGGGAGATAGTCCCTGCCCTCCAGCCCCCAGCCCCTGCTCCGTCATTCCCTCCTGGGAGTCCAGATGTCCTGCTCTGGCCGGACCTTGTGGGCTGCAGAAGATACCTCTGGGGCTCTCTCTCTCCCTCTTTGCCCTTGCCTGGAAATGAGGGTGTCTGCGGAGCCTGGGGCAGAGGTGGTTGTGGCCCCTGGCAGATGAGGTCATATCTGAGGTAGGAAGGAACCGGGCTCACCTGCTGTGCTCTCCCAAAACATGTTTCCCGGGGCAGGGCAGGCGCGCCTGGCAGCCTCCAAGGCTCGTGCCAGAGGAAATGGGCAGAGCAGCCGCGACTGCAGGCAGAATTCCCGCACGCGTGGTGCCCTTTTTCTCTGGCTCTCTCCAGTGACCAGTCCAGGCCAAGGAGCTTTAAAATTGGGCAGGAGGCGGGGGAAGCCTGATCTGGTAGAAAAAGAAGTGGAAGGGGTTTGGCTGGAGATAAACAAAGGAGGGAGGGAATGTCTGATGCAGCATGAGGGATGGTGGTTAGCTGAGGCGAAGAAGGCCTTGGGGAATCAAGTACGGAAAAAAAAAAAAAAAAAAAAAACTATATAAAAAAAAAAAAAAAAAAAAAAAAAAAAAAAAAAAAACCTAAAGAGCCAGCCAGAGGGAGAAGAAATGAGAAAGACAGCCTTGTTTCGGGCCAGGGCCTCCTGTCCTCGCTCATTCCCTCGCTGCCTCCAGCTTGTTGCTCTGGTGCTAGGGCTGAGTCACCAGAAGGGAGAGGGGGCTGGATGGGAGATGGCTAATTCGGGCAGCAGGATGGGCGCAGAGCTGGGATCCTGCATCTTAGAGCTGCCCCACCTGCGCCAGCAGAGTTGAGGCAGTGGCTTGCGGGGTGGGGTGGGAGGGAAAGGGAATCTGGAGGAGTAAGGCACCGGGTCAGTGCTCTGGCCCCTTGGGCTCCTCCAAGTTAACTGAAGGCTTCCCACTCGAGCCGCCCCAGCACCTCCTCCGGGCAAGGATCCTGGGAAGTTGAATCTGACAGGCAGTGTGTCTCTGAGCATCACCCCCCCCCAGTCCCCCCCCCCCCCCGGGGAGCCACCCTGGTGCCTTAACTGCCCCTGGATCCTGTTCCCCAGCCCCCTCCCATTCTGCTGCGTTTGGCCGTTGCAGTGCATTAGCTTTGAACCGCTCCAGGAAGAGTGATGGAATGGGGGTGAGGAAGTGCTTTGATGGGACTTGGAGCCCAAGGGGATCCCCAGAGGCCAGGAGGGGCTTGGCTGGCTGGAGCCAAAGGAGAGGCTGAGGAGGCAGCTCTTTGAAAGCCCTTGAGAGGTCATTTCATCCATCCCCCTAGTTCCCAGAGGGGCCCAGCCCTGCTTGGAGAGAGGCCGGCTGATCTCCCTCCTTCCGTGCTCCCAGAGCTAGCCTTCCTTCTGACTGCCGCCTAGAGGGGGCGCTCAGTGGTGGTCTGGGAGAGGTCGGCTTTTGACTCACTGATTGGGAGCAGACCCAACAGCAGGCAGCATTGTGGTCGTTTGCATGTTATTTCACATTTCATTTACGGGCCAGTAAGGCCTTTCCCACACCTGGCTGTGTCTAGAGGAAGCTGGACCGGACCCTCTGCATAAGCTTTCCCATCCAACTCCTAGTCGTCTGGCTATAGACCCGCTGCATCCCAGGCTGGGAGCCAGAGGGCCTTAAAGGGCCTCTGAGTAGGCCAAGTAGGAGCTAAAAATACTCCAGGGGGGTTGGGAGGGGGCTCCCTGTGGAGCCTAGGATAGGGAAGGGAGGGGCCTAGGATGTGGGGCTGGAATTAGGGCACCAGTCCTGCCCCACTGCCCATCAGCAGGCACAAGGCTGGTGCAGGGTGAGGGCCGATCAGGTATAGATGGCAAAGGGATTTGTTTCGATCCGATTGCCATTCTGCCTGCCCGGTACCCCAGGAGGCTAAGAGGAGGGGCCCCTCAGCCTAGTGCCTCTGAGATGAGTAAAGCTGGGAGGTCATGGCCACCCTGCCCCTCAGCCACCTCACGTCCCAACTAGGTCAGGGCTGGGCTGGGGACAGCAACACTTGCATTGCATTTCACGCCCTGGACTGCACCCTGGGCTCCCCAAGGCCTCCTCACCCACCGAGGCCTGAACCTACCCCTTCAAGGTCACTGTAGCCATCCCTCAGCCTCTACCTCCAGCCAAATCCGAGCGACCACGCTAGAATGCCCCACCCCACCTTAGTGATTTCACCCCTGTGGAAGTGCCACTTGGGTCCTGTCCTCTGCTCCCTCTAAACAACTGAACTAGTCTGCTATTTGCCCTCGGTTCCAGGTCCCCCTACCTGGTGGGGCAAAAATTCCTGGGTGCTTGGGGTCAGGGGGACGCCTGGGCATGTGCTAAGGCCAGTCCCTGATGCCACGAGAAGTCAGACAGACGGTGCTCACGTTGGCCATGACTTCATAGTCAGAAAGCCCTTTTGAAGAATGAACCAACCCCTTTGTTCCCCCTCCGGGACTGGGAGGACAGCTGCTGTCCCCATTTTACAGATGAGACCCTCACAGCTCAGAGAGGGAAAAGAAACTGCCACACAGGGCGGAACAAACCCTACAAGCCGGCCATCAGGTTCTTTTCCCACGGGCTGGAATGTTCCTTTACCACGGGCTTTGGCTTCCCTCTCTCACCTGTCAGTTGCACCCGGGGGCAAATGTCCATGGGTGGTCAGGCAGGGGACTCACCGGACACCTTCTCCGGCCCAGACAGAGGATGACTAACCGGCCCTGGCTGCCACCCTGGGGCCCTGCCAGCCTGCCTGCTTGCACATCTTAGCCCTGCTCTGCTTAAAGAAGCCGCACCTCTGCCCCCGGCGACACTTCTCAGGGTGAGGTGTGAGCTGAGAAGTGAGGTGCAGGCAGAAATCCCACCCCCTTGCCAGCACCCCCCCGGGCAGTGCATTCCTGACACCCAGTGGGCGGAGGCACCCCAGGTCCCAGCATGCCCGGGCCCTGGCCTGCCCACTCCTCACAGCCCTTGCTCACAGGTGCCAAGAGGGAGCTGCGGTGGGGGGAAGGGGGGGCGTTGCTGTGCACCTCCAGACTCTGGCAGGAAGCCCAGGGCCCAGGTTCTGAGCCGGAAGCCTCAGGGCGATAGTGTTGCTGGGGCCAGATGGAGGGGTAGCGTAGGAGATCCCTGCCACCCAGAAGGCTGCGCCCATCAGGGTCTGGGAGGCAGGCCTCGCAGGGTGTCCAGAGACTGCAGGGAGGAGATGCCCAGAGAGCAAGGAGGCCATAGAGCTATATTCTCAAACTGAGGTGCACGGTATTTGGGGCACATGTTAGATATGCAGGTTCCAGGGCTCCACCCCGCCCCCCCCCCAAGATGCAATTCCGACAGTCCGTGGTGGGCCAAGGACTTTGCTGTTTTATTTATTTTTTTATTGTTATTTTTGAAATTTGTTTCATGTTTCTTTATTTTTGAGACAGAGAGACAGAGTGGGGGAGGGGCAGAGAGGGAGACACAGAATCCGAAACAGGCTCCAGGCTCCGAGCTGTCAGCCCAGAGCCCCGGTTCGGGGCTCGAACTCACCAACCCTGAGATCAGGACCTGAGCTGAAGTCGGACACTTAACCGACTGAGCCACCCAGGTGCCCCCGGACTTTGCCGTTTTAACACACATGCCAGAGATTTCTGATGCCGGTGGGCCTAGGGCTGTCTTCTGAGATACTGCCTCCAGGCTGATCTGCCTTCCTCTCCAATAGCCACCTCTCTGGGACAAGAGGGTGGCCAGGGCTCTAAGCACCCTTGTAGGGACCTGCAGTTATCATCCCCAAAGATGGGCACTAGGCAGGCTGGGGGCAGCGTGATTGTCCTTGCCCATCCACATGCTCGTGCCCACCGCCAAGAACTCTGCCCTGTGGCCACAGTGTCCAAAGTGTCAGGTACCCGGCCCCCCCCCACCCCATACCTTGTATGCCTGTCTCCGGGTGGTGGTGGTGCCGTGTGGCGGGAGAGTAGACATCACCCAGGTCACTTCAGGGCCCTGCTGACCCAGCTTCCCTGACTCTGGTTTAGGGGACACTCACTGAATTCACTCATGACCTCCAGCTCGTCTTCTTCCGTGCTGGCCCCTAGACCGAAGTCCTCACATAGTTTAGAGGGGAAGGACCCAGGCCTCCAGCAGCCACCCCACCCCTCACACTGTCTCCCCTCAGCCCCCCTCCCCCCAGAAGTTGACCTGTGCCAGGATTCCTCCAGTCTTTCTTCCGGTCTACCTTCACCTCAGAAGGCAAAGCATTCCTTCCAGAATCCAGATCCAACCGTGTCACTCAGATGCCACACATTCCTCCCAAAACCCAGATCTGCTCCTGTCACTCCCTTGCTTAGAAAATCCCTCTGTGGCTGCCCTTTCCACCCTGCCCTCCAGTGTGCCCTCCCTGCCGCACCCCCCCCCCCCGCCGGCCCGCTGTACTGGGGGCCTTGTGGATCCTGAGTCACCCTGCTTGCTCATACTTCCTGGCCTTCATACATGTCACACCTTTGCCTGAAGTGCCCTTCCTCCCTTTCTCCTGGTGAGTCCTCGTCATCATCAGCTCAGGCTGGGCTCCCCTCTTCTGTGTGCCTCCCTGACTGCTCCCCACACTGGATCTGGGTAGCTTTCCCCTCCCCCGCTTTCCTCCCCAGTGCCCCCCCACCCCCACCCTGCACTGGGCTCTCCTGGAGGGCAGGGGCCAGGATCCATTCCTCTCCTGACCCCAGATCCTGGCACACAGCCTGGCACCTGGGACACAGCAGATGCCCGGGAAACATGGTGAACAGGGAGTTGTTTGAATCAGGCTTTGGGGAGTCTGAGCTCCGCTCTGCCAACCTCCTTGCTCCCCAGGCTCCTGGCTGGTGCTCCCCGGGACCTCGCCGTGCCTGATGGCTATACCAACCGGACCGGTGCTGTGTACCTGTGCCCACTCACTGCCTACAAGAATGACTGTGCGCGGATGGATATCTCCGAGAAAAGTGAGGGGAAGGCTCCAGGGATCAGCGCTGGGTCAGGAGTTTGGGGGGGGCGTAGCACAGAGAGAATGACCGGGGGAGCTCTCAGGCTTCCCTGGGAAGTTCCTAGTCCCTTGTTGTCCAGCTGGGAGGAGGGAGCTCTTAGAGGAGAGGGGGCCACATTGGGCTTGTGGAGCTGACATTAATGGTGGGCTGGAGAGGGGCACTGGCAGGGGGGGGGGTTGCCTGCAGGAGTAGAGGGTCAGGAAGACCGGCCCCTGCCCTCAGAGGCTCTACACACAGGGAGGATGGGTGCCCCGGCTCATGATCCCCCCACCATGCCCACAGGTGACCCTGACCATCATATTATTGAGGACATGTGGCTCGGGGTGACCGTGGCCAGCCAGGGCCCTGCGGGCAGAGTCCTGGTAAGTGGGTACTCACTGTCAGCACCCCCCCCAACTCTCTCCTTCATTTCCCAGGAGCTGGGGAGGGAAGCAGAGGGCAGGAGAGGTGTGTGAGCTGGGACCTTGCAGATGTCCATTTCCATGCCTCTGTGTCTCCATTGGCCTGCGTGTCCCCTCGATCCTGCACTTATGTGGGGGGTTGGGGGGGGAGGAGTGCTGGCACATTCTTAGGGCCTGGCATGGCCTGGGTCCTGTCTGAATCACCCACTTCCTCTCCCCCCCCATCCCCACCGCCACCCCCTCCCGGGGTGCTCACCCTTCGTGGGAACGAGCTGAGGGAACTGTGAGGAGGAAAGGGCAGAGGAGGCCTGGGGCAGTATTGCCTGGGCCCGCTCCTTCCTGACAGGCTGCTGGCGGAAGAGGCACAACCCTGATGACCCCAGCTCACCCGGCTGGGGTTCGGGGGCCACTCCCTGCTGTCACTGGCCACTTCCTGGCTGCATTCTTCAGCGTCGGCCCCTGGGGGGGGGGGGTCTCAATTTCTGAATCCCAGATAGACCATTCTTTTTTTCACTTTTCAAAATTGATGTGAAACTTACAGACGGTGAAATGTACAGATTTTACCTTTTAGGGAGTCTTGACACATTCAACCCCTGTGTCACGGATACGCATTAAAGAAATGTGTACATCACTCCAGACAGCATGTCCCCTTCCAACCAGTTGCCACCCCTGTAGTCATCCCTGTTGCAATTTCTGTTACCTTGGAGCACTGTTTTAGGCTCCAGGTTTGCATCAAATGCCAGAGGTTAAAACTGAACGCCGTTTTATTTGTTTTATTTATATTTTTATTATAGTTAATTGTCAGGTTGGTTTCCCTATAACACCCAAGTGCTCATCCCCACAAGTGCCCTCCTCCATGCCCATCACCCCCCTTCCCTTCTCCCCCACCCCCATCAGCCCTCAGTTTGTTCTCAGTATTTAGGAGTCTCTCATTGTTTGCCTCCCTCCCTCTCCTTAACTATTCTTTCCCCTTCCCCTCCCCCATGGTTCTCTGTTAAGTTTCTCCTGTTCCACATATGAGTGAAAACATATGGATGGTATCTGTCCTTCTCTGCCTGACTTATTTCGCCCAGCATAACACCCTCGAGTTCCATCCACGTTGCTACACATGGCCAGATTTCATTCTTTTTCATCGCCATGTAGTATTCCATTGTCTAGATAAACCACATCTTCTTGAGCCATTCATCCGTTGATGGACACTTAGGCTCTTTCCATGTTTCGGCTATTGTTGAGAGTGCTGCTATGAACATTGGGGTACATGTGCTCCTATGCATCAGCATTTCTGGATCCCTTGGGTAAATTCCTAGCAATGCTATTGCTGGGTCATAGGGGAGTTCTATTGTTAGTTTCCTGAGGAACCGCCACACTGTTTTCCAGAGGGGCTGCACCAGTTTACATTCCCACCAGCAGTGTAGGAGGGTGCCCGTTTCTCCACATTCTCACTAGCATCTGTAGTCTCCCGATTTGTTCATTTTAGCCATTCTGACTGGCGTGAGGTGGTATCTCAGTGGGGTTTTGATTTGTATTTCCCTGATGAGGAGGGACGCTCAGCATCGTTTCGTGTGTCTGTCGGCCATCTGGGTGTCCTCTTTGGAGAAGTGTCTGTTCGTATCTTCTGCCCATTTCTTCACTGGATTATTAGTTTTTCGGGTGTGGAGTTTGGTGAGTTCCTAAAAGATTCTGAATATTAGCCCTTTATCCGATATGTCGTTTGCAACGATCTTCTCCCATTCTGTCAGTTGCCTATTAGTTTTGTTGATTATGAAACGCTGTTTTAGAACTGTGTTACAGACGGTGGGGTCTGGGATTCCATTTAAGGCAGTCCTAGATCCCGGTCCCTTCGACAGTTGTTTGCTGACCCATCTGTTCATGCGACAAATGTTTAGTGAGCACCTACTGTGTGCTGTGTTCCCTGCCAGCCCTGGAAGCCTCTCAGTGACTCAGGCCTGCGGCTCCTGGAGCCCACAGCTGCAAGGAGACACAGAGAGCAAGCACACGAGACCCAGGCCTAGTTCTGGATTTCACCTGACCCCTGGCTGTTTTATAAACACCCTCTTCTCATCGATGTGCCCCAAAACTATTTGTCGAGCACCTCTAGCGTGCCGGGAGAGGGCAGGAGAGGGGCAGAGCAGCCTAGCCCAGTGCTTAGGAGCTCCGACTCAGGAGCCTGACAGCCTTGGTTTGACTATTCTCTGCTTCTGTCTGGATGTGAGAGCTTAGTTAGAGAATTAGCTCTCTGTGCTTCAGTTTCCTTATGTAAAATGGGGGTGGAAATTGTCCCTACTTGGTAGGGGTATTAGGAGGCGTAGTGGAGTTAATATGTGAAGAGCTTAGACTTAATGTCTGGCGTATAGTAAGCACTCAGCAGGTGCTAGCTGCTATGATTACTGGTGTTGTCGCTATTATTGTTATTATTATTTTAACAAGGGCTCTTCCATTAGGAGGGCAGAGCAGAGAAGTCAGTCCCTTAATCCTGGATCGCACATTCCCTTTTCCTTTTGCCAAGATCTGTAAGCCACTCTCAAACCTGGGACCTCCCGGCCTCCCAAAATGTGTTCCCAACCTTCAAAGCAGATTTCCAAATCTCCGGAAAGGAGACACAGGCCCAGGCGTCTCGGTGGGAAGGAAAAAAAAGCCAGGGGACCTCTTCTAAGTCTTCTCCAGCAAAGCCAGAGGCACACAGGGCCAAGGAGACGGCTGGTCTTCAGTTCCCGCTATGGGCTCAGGCTGTGTGTGTCCCCAGGTCTGCGCCCACCGCTACACCCAGGTGCTGTGGTCAGGGTCAGAGGACCAGCGACGCATGGTGGGCAAGTGCTACGTGCGGGGCAATGACCTTCAGCTGGACCGCACAGATGACTGGCAAACCTACCACAATGAGATGTGTAACAGCAACACAGACTACCTGGAGACGGGTATGTGCCAGTTGGGCACCAGTGGCGGCTTCACAAAGAACACCGTGTACTTCGGCGCACCGGGTGCCTATAACTGGAAAGGTAGGGACCGTGGGGGAGGGAGGAGGGTGGAGCACCCATGCCCAAGCTAGTCCCGGGGACAGCCAGCCCAGACCCTCCCCACTAGAGGGCAGAAGAGAGCCCTTTGCCCATATTGGCAACCACCAGCACATCTGCTATTTAAAATAAATTTTTTAAAATATTTATTTATTTATTTTTGAGACAGAGAGCAACAGAGCATGAGCAGGGGAGGGGCAGAGAGAGGGAGGGAGACACAGAATCCGAAACAGGCTCTGAGCTGTTAGCACAGAGCCCGATGTGGGGCTCAAAGCCACGAACCGTGAAATCATGACCTGAGCCAAAGTCGGACGCCCAACCCACTGAGCCACCCAGGCGCCTCATACCTCTGCTATTTTAAAGTGCTTACTTGTGCCACAGGCTTTACACATCTTATGTTAATTTATCCTAGAATATTCTTATAAAGCAGGTATCATTATACTCATTTTACGGAAAACTGAGCCTCCGAGAAGTAAAGTAAATGGCCCAGGGTCATCAGTAAGTGATGAAACATGCAGATCCATCAGACTCTACTTCAAGCATTTAAAACCTTATTAAAACAATAAAACATGCTCCTGGTACAACTACTGACTGGTGCGGTAGGATTTGGCAAAACAAAGAGTAAAAGTGTCCCTCCTCTCCCACCCGCTTCTCTCGTCCTGTGTCACTGTGCAGATTACTGTCTTGTAGAACTGCCGACTTATTTTAGGATTTTTAAAAAATGTTTTATACATTTCTGAGAAAGAGAGAGACAGCGTGAGCAGGGGAGGGTCAGAAAGAGAGGGAGACCCAGAATCCGAAGCAGGCTCCAGGCTCCGAGCTGTCAGCGCAGAGCCTGACGTGGGGCTCGAACCCAACCGTGAGATCATGCCCTGAGCTGAAGTTGGACGCTTAACTGACTGAGCCACCCAGGCACCCCAGGATATACAGATATCTTTTAAAAACACACACTCAAACAGAATCACACTAAACATGCTCTTCTGGGGGCATCTGGGTGGCTCAGTCGGTTAAGCGTCCGACTTCAGCTCAGGGCATGATCTCTCAGTCTGTGAGTTCGAGCCCCGCATCGGGCTCTGTGCTGACAGCTTGGAGCCTGGAGCCTGCTTCAGATTCTGTGTCTCCCTCTCTCTGCCCCTAACTCATGCTCTGCCTCTCTCTCTCTCTCTCTCAAAAATAAATAAACATTAACAAAAAAACCCACATGCTCTTCTGCTTTCTTTTTCCACTTGCCAATAAGCTGTGGGCACCTTTTCACATTGGTACATATCAGGCAATCCTTTGGGGGCCTATAGAGTATTTCTTTGTACCAAGAGCCATGTTTATAACTGCTGTGCCCCCCACTGCTGCTCAGGCGTCTGAGGGCTCCCGTCCCCTCCATGTCTGCCTCTGTCCACCCCACATGTAGCCACAGTGAGCCTTCTCTCCTTACTGCATCCTTGTTATTGTAGAATCAACTGGCAGAGAGAGCCCTGAATCCCTTCCTCTTGACCAACAGGTAGCCCAGGGCGTATTTGTAGCTTGACCCACCTGAAACTGAGGCCCCTGCTCAGTCCTCTGGTCTTGCCTCCCCTGCCCCCTGGTCCTTTAGAACCTCAGTAGGGCAGTGGCCACTCTCTAACAGCAACCCCACGGAGCGGGGGACGGGTAGGCAGCCCGAGTTTGGGGGCAGAACCAGGAGATCATAGGGTGGAGTCTAGCCTCGACGTCTAGAGTGAGGGAAATGTCACCTAGAGTCCAGGAGCCTGGATGACCAGCTTCTAGCCGTGTCTCTACAACTGCTCCCCACCCCTGAGCCTTGCTTTTCTCATCTGTAAAACGGGCCTCATCATTCTACTTCACAGAATTATGAAGATAAAGAGGGCGTGTTTTGCCAATGGCAAAGCACTCACAAATAAAAGGGGTTATTACTGTCCTTGTGGGGGTGGGGGGTGTGGCAGGGGACCCAGACGTGGAGGATGAAGAGAGTAGTGATCTGAACTCCTCCCCTCCCCCTCCCGGAAACTTGTGAAGGAAACAGCTACATGATTCAGCGGAAGGACTGGGATTTATCCGAGTATAGTTACAAGGACCCAGAGGACCAAGGAAACCTCTATATTGGTGAGTCCAGCTGTGGTGGCTTATTGGGTGGCGGAGGAAGAAGGGGGCTCAGTTCCTAGCCTGCTGGCCTCTCACCTCAGTGCTTGGTAGAAGAGGGAAGCCACGGTGCAGGTGTGACTAGTGGCGTTTAAGTTCAACTAGCACACACCTATTGAGCACCACCTGTATACCGGGCCTGTTCTGGGCCCCCCAAGATGCAAGGTCCCTACCTTCATGGAAGCCATAGTCCAGTGCGTGGACGGGATTGGAAGCTGGGCGTCCAGGGTCCACTTTCTTTCCCAACTTGGGATAGAGGAATAGAAGACATAAGGCTCTTCCTTAATCCGTCCCCTTTCCTTGACACCCTGGGTCTCGTTGATCCCTAAGTCCTGTCGAGCACTGGACACCCTCTATATCTGGGTTCCCATTTTGTCCCAGCCCTTACCAGCCCACACTTGATAGACTACATTCTCAATCTTAACACCCGCAGCCTTGCTGGGGATTTGGGTGGGCTGGATCCAGAGCAGAAGGGGACAAAGTGTACTGAGCCTTGATTGACTGCCTTCCCCTTGCCCCAGGGTACACTGTGCAGGTGGGCAGCTCTGTCCTGCACGCCAAGGACATCACGATTGTGACAGGCGCCCCGCGGCACCGACATATGGGTGCTGTCTTCTTGCTGAGCCAGGAGGCAGGTGGGGACCTTCGGAGGAGGCAGGTGCTGGAGGGCACGCAGGTGGGCGCCTACTTCGGCAGCGCCATTGCCCTGGCAGACCTGAACAATGATGGGTGAGAATCCGGGGCCACTTTCTGGGGCCAGGGCGAATGGTGAGGGGGGCAGGCTTGAGCGAGCCAGGCCAGAGAAGTGGAGGCTTGCGATTGTTCGTTTGTCTGCCTGCTGTTTACAGGGATTTGCAAGTCAAATTTGCGTCTTGACCTGCAATTAGAGATGACGGGTGTTTGTTTACATGTCAATTGCATGACAGCCACGTCTCCTTTTGTCATTTTATGCTTCTAGTGGATGTGGGTGGTTTGGGTGTGATCTGGGCCTCCATGGCTTCCCCATGACACGTATTTCTTCTCAGACGGGTCATATTGGCCTTTCCATGTCCTTCTCATGATCAGAGATGCCATCAGTGTAGCCCTGGCACAATTGTACCTGCTAAACAAGAATTCTGTTGTATGTTGGAGGCTGACCCCACACTCCTACTTCCCCCCCTTCTCTCCTGTGTAGGTGGCAGGACCTCCTGGTGGGTGCCCCCTACTACTTTGAGCGGAAAGAAGAGGTAGGAGGTGCCGTCTATGTCTTCATGAACCAGGCAGGCACCTCCTTCCCTGCCCACCCCTCCCTCCTTCTTCACGGCCCCGGTCGCTCTGCCTTTGGCTTCTCCGTGGCCAGCATTGGTGACATCAACCAGGACGGATTCCAGGGTATGAGCCAGCACTCCTGCTCCAGCACACCCACTGAGTGCCAGCCGCATACCAGGCTTCGCAGGGCCTGAAGAGGAGCCTGGGGCCCAGGCCAGGGAGCTCACAGCAGTCGTAGAGCGAGGCCATGCGGAGGAAGCCTCCAGAGGCAAGCTCTAGGGCTTGCCAGAGCTGGGGGAGTGGATGTACCACTGGGCGTCTGAGGCTGGGCCGAGTGTGCACAGTGGAGGGGAACAGAAGGGGCACAATGTGAGCGTGGGATACTTGCCCCCTCTGCCCAAATTGAGTGGATGTGGGGTGTTCACGTCAGAGAAGAAGCTGGAATGGCCCTGTGGACCCGGGTGGGCACTGTGAGAGCCAGGCAGAGGAACTGGGGCTTTACATGGGGTAATGGCTGAGGGGCATCCAGGCAAGGTTTCCAGGCAGGGATGTGATTTGATGGCTTGGTACCTTGAAAGATGATTCTAGAGGGTGATACGGGATGGATGGGGGAGAGCAAGACTGGGGGTGTTAAGATCAAGAATGTAGTCCATTAAGTGTGGGCTGGTAAGGGCTGGGACAAAATGGGAACCCAGATATAGAGGGTGTCCAGTGCTCGACAGGACTTAGGGATCAACGAGACCCAGGGTGTCAAGGAAAGGGGACGGATTAAGGAAGAGCCTGGTTGCTATGAGAGCCCCTGGCTTATCTGGAAACTGCTTTTTCTGACCACCTCGATTTCCCAGAACATACCTGAGAACCGAAATGAATGCAGAGGAGCCTCTAAAGAGCCAACATAGGTGCTAGAAAGTTCGGTTAGCAAAGCCTATGCATTTACTGGTAGAAGAGTTGTCTGGTTTCTACTCAGGACCTACTTACTTCTCCTTTACATACTTCTCTCTCTTTTTTTTTTAAATTTGTTTTGTTTCATTTATTTTTGATATATAGAGAGACAGAGCATGAGCAGGGGAGGGACAGAGAGAGAGGGAGACACAGAATCTGAAGCAGGCTCCAGGCTCTGAGCCGTCAGCCCAGAGCCCGACGCGGGGCTCGAACCCACAAACCGTGAGATCACGACCTAAGCCAAAGTCAGCCGCTTAACCGACCCAACCACCCAGGCGCCCCCCTTTACGTACTTTTCTAACAAGCTTCACTTTCTGGTTACCTAGGCCTTATCAGATCAAAAGCAGCAAACTAGAAAGAGTTTGGTAAATTTTAAGAAGATAATAAAACATTTGGGGCTTATTTGTGGAAATCATCATTAGCATCCGAAAAGTCTAAAGTCTAAAGGATTTAACAAGAAAGGTTATAGTGTGATTAAAATTCCAGCCCCCTGTGTTAGAGAGACAGGGACTCAAACTGGCCTCTTTTCTACTCGTTAGTTGTGGGACTTGGGTTTTCTGAGTCGGCTCCCTCACCTGTAAAATGGGATGCCGGTACCTCCCCCCAGCAATCTTGCCAGGATTAAATGATATCAGTGTGCTTGGTAACTACATGGCGAAGTCACCAGTGGGGACATACATCTCTTTGTGGCCCTGCTGGTAAATGTCACTAGAAGAACCGGGTATCTGAAGGGGAGGCTGGTAGGGGAGACGGAACGTACCATAATGAGGGAAAAGACACACTAGGCTAGTGGGCAGGAATCCGGAGTGTAGACCTGCCTGGGACGTTAACTTGCGGTGTGACTTGAGGTAAGTCATCTGCCTCTCCGAGACCTACCTTCCCACCCATAAAAGGAAGCAGCTGGGCTCACAGTGGTCCCAGTTTTAATGGCGAGCCACAGAACTCTGTTCTCCGGTGTTCTGAAGCCCCGCCTGGCAGGGTGAGGTCAGTTTCATGCTGGACCCTGCGGCCTGGAGCGCAAGGCTGGGGAGACACGGGGCCCATGGTACTCAGGGTGAACTGCCCTCCCTCTCTTCCCCAGACATTGCCGTGGGAGCCCCATTCGAGGGCTTGGGCAAAGTGTACATCTACCACAGCAGCTCCGAGGGGCTCCTCAGACAGCCGCAGCAGGTATGGACGGACAGGGACAAAGGAGTCCAGCCCTCCTTCGCCTCATACACCCTCCCCCTGTCCCTCCCCGGGCCCCACTCCCCAGAGCTCACCCTGAGCCTGTCCCCACCGCTTCCCCCTGCCCCTCGCACCCGCCCCCCCCCCCACCAGGTGATCCACGGGGAGGAGCTGGGACTGCCCGGCTTGGCCTCCTTTGGCTACTCACTGAGTGGGCGGATGGATGTGGATGAGAACTTCTACCCGGACCTGCTAGTGGGGAGCCTGTCAGACCGCATTGTGCTGCTGCGGTAAGCCAGGGCAATGGGAGACAGGAGCCTTTCTGTCCCCCAACCCCGTCTGCATGGAGCCTGTCTCTGTCCTCCTTCAGCACCGGGTCCATGCAAGCCTGAGCCCCGGGGCCTGGCCTGGGCGGGGGGAGGGGACAGGCAAGAGGCACTGATGTCTGTTGCATTTTCTCTGCAGGGCACGGCCTGTCATCAACATCCTCCACAAGACCTTGGTGGCCAGGCCATCTGTGCTGGACCCTGCGCTCTGCACAGCTACCTCCTGGTGAGACTCTCAGCTCCTGCTCTATCTGCCCATTCGTCAAGCCAGGAGGGACCCTGGCTCCCAGCCCCCTCCCCTGGCAACTCCTGATATCCCACCATTAGAGGGTTGGTTGCTGGGGTAAGCATTGGCCCTCCTACCCAACCTCATTAAAAAGCCAACTTCTTGGCGGGAGGTAATAGACAAATTCCCCATGGGGGGGGGAGGGAGGGAGTAGAGCATGGTGGTTTGGAGTGGGAGCTCTGGACGGCCTTGTCTGAACAAATCAGCTATGCCCACTGCAGCGGAAGGGGTGGGCTCTGGGGAGTGAGTTCCTAGGGAAGGAGGGGAGTGGGAGACACTTAGGTGGACAGAAGAGAGAGCCACCTTGGGCAGGTGGTTAATCCCTCTGCGCCTCAGAGTCGTTGCCTATGAACCAAAGTTAATAGTAACAACCGATTTACGGGATTGTGATAATTAAATGAGGCAATGTACAGAAAGCCCTTCCCACGGCACCTTGTACACCCTGCGTGCTCCAAACGTGTTAGTTGCTAAGATGGTGACGGCAATAACGACGGTGACAGCCTCGAGGTCTTTGTGTGAATGAGGCCCAGATCAGAAGGCAGAGGGCCACAGAGCAGAAATCAGGGGTGAGTGGGAGGAGATCTGGACAGCAGGTCCTATACAAGACCAGGCAGGGCGCCAACCAACGGGTGACATCAGGCGACTCCTTCTGCTCTCAGGGCCTCCGTTTCCCAACTGGTGACCTCTAACCCTGTTTACCATGGCTCTAAGGGGAGTGTAGGGGGGAAAGAAACCAGGGACACCCCAAACCAGCTATGTGGACCTCTCCAGTGTCGTCCCTGCCTTTCCTTCTAAGGGCCCTGGTTTCCCCCTTGCCCAGTACAGGGGTGAGAGCCAGGGCCTGGATAACTGGGCCCCACGGTGAGCTGTCCCACCTATCTGTCTCCTGCCTCCCAACAGCGTGCAGGTGGAGCTGTGCTTTGCTTACAACCAGAGCGCCGGGAACCCCAACTACAGGCGAAACATTAGTGAGTTGGGGGGGGGCAGGGAGGAGGGGTGTGGTTACCTGGCCACTTGCTAACCACCCTGGCCACCTCCAGCCCTGGCCTACACCCTGGAGGCTGACCGGGACCGCCGACCGCCCAGGCTTCGCTTCGCCCGCAGCCAGTCTGCTGTCTTCCACGGCTTCTTCTCCATGCCCGACATGCGCTGTCAGAAGCTGGAACTGCTGCTGATGGTGAGCGAGGGGCTGAGGGTGGGACCTGGCTCCAGGACCCCTGCAGGAGGCCGCTAGAGTCCCCTCAGGGCAGGGGGGAGGGACTGGAGTCTCCCCAGAGACAGAGGTGGGGGAGGGGGGCCTGCAAGGCCATAGGTCTTCAGCGGGTACAGTGCACAGCATATGGGGGGGGGGAGCGAGCGAGAGAGAGACCCTCGGAGTTGGAATGGGAGCCAAAGGGCTCATCACCTCTGAGAAAAGTGAGGGGTGTGAGACTTGGCTTAGTTTGTGTCTGGGAGAAAAAGAGGCCTGTGAGTGGGGGACCAGCTGAGCCCTTCTCTAGGATATGGTGGTTGAAAGAGAGAGCACAACCTGGGGACCCTCGGGATGAAGGGGAGCTCAGCAACCAGCCCCTCATCTCTGGGGAGGAGGAATCCCATCACCTTGCTTGTGGATCAGAGTGGTAGGAAGGGGGGGTCAATGTGATAGGAAGAGAGGGAGTTCACCCTTACTGGGCTTCTTCCGTGTGGAGGGGGCCTCAGCTCGTCCCTGAGGGTTCAAGGCGGTGGGAGGATTCACCCGGGGGGAGGGCGGAAGGGGAGTGCAGCGCTGGGCTCAGCTCACCCTCCTTCCCCAGGACAACGTCCGCGACAAACTCCGTCCCATCATCATTTCCATGAACTACTCTCTACCTCTGCGGATGCCTGAGCGCCCGCGGCTGGGGCTGCGGTCCCTGGACGCGTACCCGGTGCTAAACCAGGCGCAGACGCTGGAGAACCACACCGAGGTGGGCGGGGCCGGGGTCGGAAGGGCGGGGCCCCGGAGGGCTGTGGAGCGAGAGGGCTCTCTGGGTGCTGGGCCCTTACGCCTCCGGCCGCCCCCAGGTTCACTTCCAGAAAGAGTGCGGCCAGGACAACAAATGCGACAGCAACTTGGACATGAAGGCGGCCTTCGTGTCGGAGCTGGGGCAGCCTCTGAGCAGGTGCGCTCTAGGCCGCGCGGATTGGCCAAGGGAGGGGCGGGGCTTCGTTGGCTAACCGAACGCGAGGGGCGGGGCCTTTGGGGTCAGCGATCCGAGGGAACCCGGGGAGATCTGAGGGGAGGGGGCCTCCGGGAAAGAGGGGACTTTAACTGACCTGGCCTTCATCGGGTCTTCCTCTCCGAGGCTAGAGGGCGGGGCCTTACTGTGTGTGGGCGGGGGGGGGGCTTTCCTCACCAGCGGGCCTGAGGGGCGGGGCCTAGTTGATCTGGGGCGGGCCTGGGGCGGGGCTCTGGGCTCACCCGGGTCTCCTTTCCCGCCTCAGGCTGCACTACAGCAAAGACGTCCGGAAACTACACCTGAGCATCAACGTGACCAACACCCAGAGCAGGGAGCGGGCTGGGGAAGACGCCCATGAGGCGCTGCTCACCCTGGCGGTGCCTCCCGCCCTGCTGCTGTCCTCAGTGCGCCCCGTGAGTGCCCTCCGTGGAGCCAAGAGCCCAACTAGGGCTCCACCGAGCATTTGCATCCTTATATGCACGGCATTTACATGTGCTCTTATTTATCCTGCGCCCACCCTCCTTCCTATGGGCTGGGCTTCCTCGGGTGCTTGCAGTGTCTCTAATGCTAGGAGAACCCGGGTATTCAAGCCTCAATGGCATCCGACCCAGCGTCACAGGGAAGGGGCTGGAGAAGCCCTTCTCTGACCACCCAGGCCTGATTTGTCATCTTGCCTCAGGCTGGGACGTGCCAGGCCAATGAGACCATCGTCTGTGAGCTGGGGAACCCCTTCAAACGGAACCAGAGGGTGAGTGCTGGCCAGGCCTTCCCAGCCCTGTGGGTCCCAGGCTGCTACTCTGATGAGCGCCGTGACCATACTTCTGCCTGCCTGCCAGGCTTGCTTAAAGCAAAGAGCCAGGGTAGGAGACAGGGAGATATAGGGGTGGGGCATGAGGAGAGACCCAGAGACTAAGAAACATGGGGCCGCTAGGGAGCTACACACAAAGCTAGAGCAGCTGGAGGTGAGGAGCTGGATTCTGCTGTGCACCTACTGTGTGCCAGGCGCCGAGTCCAACAGTGGGCACTTTGTTTATGCTGTAATTCTCAAAACCTTCTGAGGAGGTAGATACTGTTTTACAGAAAGAAGATACAGGCTTAGAAAGTACAGTAACTTGCTCTAAGTCTTGTAGCTTGAAAGCATCGGAGATGCCATTGACATGAAGGGGGAAGGGAAGCAGGCTGAGGCTAGCGACGTGAAAGAGTGGACTCAGGCGGCCAGGCGGAGACCCCTTGCTCACAACGAGGGAAGGAGGCCAGAGAGCCAACTCCGGAGTATAGCGTTCGGCCCCTCTCTCCCCTGTGGCATCACTCCTGGCCGGCCCTGAATGCCCCTCTTTGCCTCACTGGCCCTCATGGCAGATGGAGCTGCTCATCACCTTCGAGGTCAACGGAGTGACTCTGCACACCAGGGAACTGCAGATGCAGCTACAGCTCTCCACGTGAGTGACCGCAAAACCAGTCAGTGTCAAGGGTGAGGTGCCTTGGGGCGCTCCTCCAACCCCAGCCTCAGCTGACACATCTCCCTTCCCCCCTGCATTCCCTCCCCAGGTCAAGTCACCAGGACAACCTGCAGCCCGTGACCCTGACTTTGCTGGTGGACTACACGCTCCAGGCCTCTCTCAGCATGTGGGTGCCACCCCTCCCCGGCCTGCTGTGCCTGTGCTGGGGGCCCCCTGTCCTCAGTGTGGCTCCCAAGCTCCTTGGACATAGCTCTCTCGGGCCTGGGGTCCTCAGGCCTCTGCTTCTCCTGGGTTATCCCTTCCTTTAACCACAACAATCACTATCATCATCATCATCATCATTCCCTTTGGAAGGCAGGTAGCAGTGGAGAAATCAGCCACCCTGGGACTCAGGCGTTGGTGCAGCCCTGCCGTTTCATGAGAGCTCATTGTGCTCAGAATTTTTTAAATTTTTTTTGCTTTCATTATTTATGTTTGATAGAGAGAGAGACAGAGCATGAGCAGAAGATAGGCAGAGAGAGAGGGAGACACCAAATCCAAAGAGGCTCCAGGCTCTGAGCTGTCAGCCCAGAGCCTGGCGCCAGGCTCGAACCCACAAACCATGAGATCATGACCTGAGCCGAAGTCGGACGCTTAACCGACTGAGCCACCCATGTGCCCCATGTGCTAGGAGTTTTCTATACTCATTGACTTCCCACGACAGCCCCATGACATAGTAAGTGTTATGAATGCCATTTTACGGATGTGGAGACTGAGGTTTCCAGTTTCCTGAGAGCACAGATAACTTGCTTAAGGAATAGCTGGCACACAGCTAGTAAATGCAAAGCAGGGATATATCTCAGGTCTGCCTGAAGTTAAAGGAGCTGTGGTTCACCTACCTCGGTGCCCACCCCCTCTGCCAGGGCCCCTCCTGCCCCCTCAGACTCCAGCATCTTTCTTACTCTTAGGGTGAGTCACCGGCTCCAGAGCTTCTTTGGGGGAACAGTGATGGGCGAGTCTGGCATGAAAACTGTGGAGGACGTGGGAAGTCCCCTCAAGTATGAATTCCAAGTAAGGGGGCTGCTGGGACCCTGGGTGGGGACTGCCGGGAAGGGGTGGGGGAGATGGGTCTGGGGCCCGAGGGTATGAGGGTTGAGGCTGTGTGAGAAGGAGGTGATTTCCCAGGAGGTAGTGGCCATGACACCCCTTGTGCCCACAGGTGGGCCCAATGGGGGAAGGGCTGGCCGCCCTGGGGACCCTGGTCCTAGGGCTGGAGTGGCCCTACGAAGTCATCAATGGCAAGTGGCTGCTGTACCCTACAGAGATCACCATCCACGGCAATGGGTCCTGGCCCTGTCAGCCACCTGGAGACCTTGTCAACCCTCTGAATCTCACTCTGTCGGTAAGGACACCAGGACACCATCGGGGATCTTTCATTTACATCTCATTTGCATTGCAACTCATTTGCATGCTGCCGGGCAGAGAGTCCCATGCCTTGCCCTCCCTCCCCACATACCCCTTTAGGAGCCTACCTCTCCCCCTTCCCTCCGTCCTCTCCCCCCACTCTGCTCCCACCCCTTCCTCCCAGCCAACCCCTTCTTCCCTCTTCAGGTCCCTGGGGACAGGCCGCCATCTCCACAGCGCAGGCGGCGACAGTTGGACCCAGGAGGAGGCCAGGGTCCCCCGCCAGTCACTCTGGCTGCTGCCAAGAAGGCCAAGTCTGAGGCCCAACTGGTGAGTGGCCAGGGCAAGGTTGGAAGGGAGCGTCCCCACCCATCACAGGGTGGGTGCGCACGAGGGGGCCCTGAAGCAAGGTTGATGGGTGCTGATCACCAGGAGACCCCAGTCTGATGAGGTGATGATGTGACCCGTGGCTTGAGGAGCCCCTAGTCAGAGGGAGGAGACTCCTCTCCCACCTCCGTGGTTATCCCACTCTCCGTGGCCTTCGGCGGCAGCCAGTACGGTGGGCCAAAGGAAGAGACACTGGCTTCCTGAGAACCCCATCCTGTTGGGGGGACATAGCGGCTTAAAGTCTTGGACATTAGGACTGATGAATGGGGACAGACTGAGGAATGCGGGGCAGGGAGATGTGGGTGGTGCAGGGTGCCCTCTGCCCGAAGGGAGAAAGGAACAGGCCTGGGAAGCATGTTGAGGACCAGCTGAGTGAAGAAGGAGGAGGCGGTGTTCCCCGGTGTCCCTGGGAGGTGTCCCCCGGTAGCAGGAGCTGGCATGAACAAAGGCTCAGTGGGGGAGGGGGCTAAGAAGGGGGTGTTGGCCGCTGGGCCCCATTTATATACAACAGGATCGGATTCCATGTTATCTATGCCCCTGGCAACTACCTGTGCTTGGCCTAAAGAATGTGACTTAAAATGTGTAAGTGGGGGGGAGGGTTTGGGCGCGAGTGGAAGGCTGAGGTAGGACCCCTTCCGGTCAGCCATGGGCGGGTCTAAGCGCGGGGAAGAGCCAAAGGTGAGGGGCGAAGCATGAAGCATGCGCAGACCCAGCCCGTCTCCTGTCCCCTGTCACCTCAGAAATGTGATAGTGACCGCACCCGCTGCGTGTGGCTGGAGTGCCCCATTCCTGATAGCCCGGTCATCACCAACGTGACAGTGCGGGCACGAGTGTGGAACAGCACCTTCATCGAGGTCAGTGCCTGGGTGCGGAGGTCACTGCCCCCCTTCCAGGGTGAGGCGAGCCTCACGGAGAGGGTGAGGCTGGGGTCACAGCAAGGCCTTATGTGCATTTGTGTGCCTTGTGTGTGTGCGTGTGTGTGTGTGTGTGTGTGTGTCAGCGGCAGCATTGTATTTAACATATGATAATTTGTACACCTGCCACTATGTGCCTGTCAGCATTAGTTCGTGTGTCCGTGTGTGGACATGACCTAATGTTCGTCACCGGCCAAAATGCCCTTCTCTCGTGTGTCCTCTATTGCGTTGTGTGTCTGTCCCTCTCCCCGCATAAACTCCTCTTCGGCCCTTGGGCTGTCCCCAGACGCTTCACCACCAGTGAGGTCTTCTCTGACTTTTCCAGCTGCAAACGACCTCTCTGGACACCCACAGAACTTTCTTTTTAATCTTTATTTATTTCGAGAGAGAGGGTGTGGGGGAGGGGCAGAGAGAGACGGGGAGACAGAAATCCCAAGCCGGCTCTGCACTGTCGGTGCAGAAATCGGTGACCGACTGAGCCACCCAGCCAGTCTCCCCGACCCAAGAACTTTCTCAGAAGCTGCACCTGCCAGGAGTCACGCTCTACTCTGGATACTGAGTAGGAGCACTCTTATACCGGCCTCCTCATGCCACCTAGACCAGATTTTTCTGTAAGTGACCAGATTAGAAATCTTTTCAGCTTGTGTGAGGTGTATGGTGTCTGCGGTAACTATTCAGCTCTGCCGCTGTAGCACAAGCTGCCGTAAACACTATCGAAACGGATGGGCATGGCTGCGTCTCAAAAATATTTTATTTACAAAAGCAAGTGACGGGCCAGATTTAGCCCAGAGACCTGACCCGGACCTTGACCTTCCTTGTCTCTGCTGTCTGCAGCATCTGGCACAGGACCTGATGCAGAAACAAGTGGGTGAAGAGCGCCAGGGTGACTCAGTCCGTTAAGCGGCTGACTTTGGCTTACAGTTCATGGGTTCGAGCCCCGCATCGGGCTCTGTGCCGACAACTTGGAGCCTGGAGCCTGCTTTAGATTCTGTGTCTCCCTCTCTCTCTCTCTGCCCCTCCCCTGCTTGTGCTCTGTCTCTCTGCTTCTCAAGAATAAACAAACATTGAGGTGCCTGGGTGGCTCAGACGGTTAAGCATCCAACTTCAGCTCAGGTCACAATCTTACGGTTTGTGAGTTAGAGCCCCATGTCAGGCTCTGTGCTGACAGCTCACAGCCTGGAGACTGCACCAGATTCTGTGTCTCCCTCTCTCTCTGCCCCTTCCCCACTTGTGCTCCATCTCTCTCTGTCTCTCAAAAATAAAGGTTAACAATTTTTTTTAATAATAAATAAATAAACATTTAAAAAATTAAAAAAAAATAAATGAATGGGTGATATGCATTTGTGTGTGGAGACGCCTGGCTCTCAGATCCCTTGGGGTGTGTCTTAAAGATGCTGTGTGTGGGGGAGCGTGTGCCCTGGGGGGGAAGAGGGAGGCTCAGAGGGGCTTCAGCTACTTCTTTAAACCCATCCTTCCCCACCCCACCCCCAACTTCCAGGATTACAAAGACTTTGACAGAGTCATGGTAAGCGGCTATGCTACCCTGTTCCTCCGAACCAGCATCCCCACCATCAACATGGAGAACAAGACCGTGTGGGTGAGTGAGCGAGTGTGTTAGGGAGCACCGGCGCCTGGCCAGCGCAGGGGAGCACAGGGTGCCCTCTCAGAGCATTTCCACATACGTGAGCCATGTGGTTCTCCATCTTGGCTGGGAATCCTCTGGAGGGTCTCTGGGGTCTGGACCGCACCCCTAAGCCATGAAATCTGTGGGGGTGTCGCATTTTGGTATGTTTAAAAGACCCCTCGGTGGGGGTGCCTGGGTGGCTCAGTCAGTTAAGCGTGTGACTTCAGCTCAGGTCATGATCTCACGGTTCGTGGGTTAGAGCCTCATGTCGGGCTCTGTGCTGACAGCTCGGAGCCTGGAGCCTGCTTCGGATTCTGTGTCTCCTTCTCTCTCTGACCCTCCCCTGCTCGTGCTCTTGTCACTCTCTGTCTCTCAAAAATAAATAAATGTTAAAAAAATTTTTTTTAATAATAATAAAAAATAAATAAATAAAAGACCTCTTGGTGATTCCAGTGTGCAGCCGGGGTTGAGAACTTTTGCTTGAGCCTATAGGACCTGCGTAGCTTCTCTGTGAAGATGTACCATCTCCATGGAGACTTGAAAACAAACTTCTCAAGTCTAGTTCTTTTTTTTTTTTTTTTTTAATATTTTTTATTTATTTCTAGGAGAGAGAGAGAGAGAGAGACAGCGTCAGCAGGGAAGGGTCAGAGAGAGAGGGAGACACAGACTCTGAAATAGGCTCCAGACTCTGAGCTGGCAGTCAGCACAGAGCGCGACGCGGGGCTCAAACCCACGAACCGCGAGATCATGACCTAAGCGAAAGTCAGACGCTTACCCGACTAAGCCACCCAGGCGCCCCTCTCAAGTCTAGTTCTGAGTTACATCGGGGAGAAAAAAAAAATAACGACAAGACTGTTAATAATTTTTTGTGAAAAGGATTTAGTGGAGACGTGGAGGATCTACATACAGGAAATGAAGGGAGGGTGGTGTATTTCCTAAGATAAATTAAGGTAGTGGAGGAAGGGCCAGAAATACCAATGGAACAGAATAGAAATTTATGTTCTTACACAGATGGCATTTGTAAGCCATGGAGGAAGTTAGGTTAGTAAGTTGTGTTGGGAGAACCCATTTGGAAAGTAAAAACAAACCCTTACCGCACACGATAACTGACAACATGATTGAGTTGAGTAAATATTTAAATATGGGAAATAAAACTTAATGTACCAGAAGAAAACTGAGAAAACAGCATAACAACAATCTTTCATTTTGGGGAGAGGGAGTTATTTTAGTAAACCCCAAAGTCACAAAGGAAATATTGGACAAATTAGACCATGTGAAATTTTTAAAAAATTGATGATAAAAAAAACTAAAAGGGCAAATGGTAGATTGTTTTCTAAAAAGTTTATAGCATATATGGCAAAGTTGGTATATATACATTTTTCATTAAAAATTTTTTTATTTTTTATTTATTTTATTTATTTATTTTTTTAATTTACAAATAGTTTATTGTCAAGTTGGTTTCCATATAATACCCAGTGCTCATTCATTAAAAAAAATTTTTTAATGTTTTTATTTATTTGTGTGTGACAGAGAGAGACAGTGTGAGCAGGGGAGGGTCAGAGAGAGAGGGAGATACAGTATCTGAAGCAGGCTCCAGGCTCTGAGCTGGCTGTCAGCACAGAGCCTGACGTGGGGCTCGAATCTACGAATTGTGAGATCATGACCTGAGCCGAAGTTGGACGCTTAACCGACTGAGCCACCCAGGTGCCCCTATATTTTTAATTTTTAAAATGTTTTTATTTATTTTTGAGAGAGAGAGAGAGACAGAGCATGAGTGGGCAGAGGGGCAGAGAGAGAGGGAGACAGAGAATCTGAAGCAGGCTCCAGGCTCTGAGCTGCCAGCACAGAGCCCGACGCGGGGCTCGAACCCATGAACTATGAGATCATGACCTGAGCCAAAGTCAGACACTTAACCAACGAGCCACCCAGGCACCCAATTTTTAATGTCTAAAGGTAAAGGCAACATAAAGATAAATGGGCAGTGTACACAGGGTGAACTAGAAATCGTCACCTCAATAGTGAGGACATAAAAAGAACAGCAACAAGATTTTTTTCCTATCAGATTGGAAAAGATTAAAAAGAATCACGCTGACTGTGCTGATGAGGTAGAAGGAAATGCTCTTGGTCAGAGTATAAACTGATGGATTCTTTTTGGAAATGTATTTGTCAATATCTATTAGAGTGTAAAATGCATACTTCCTTTGAGCCAGCGCATGATAATATATCTTAAAGAGCTAATAAGACAAATGGGCGAATATAAATATAGGCGGATATTTTAAAGCATTGTTTATAATGGCATGAAATTGGAAACAGTCTACATGTCTTTCGGTAGGATATTGGTTCAATAAATTGTGGTACATTTTATAGAATGACTGTGCAGTCCTCAGAAGAGATTAGGTTGATCTTTATTAATTGACATCAAAAAATGATAATAAAACTGAAAGACGAAGCAGGTTGCAGAAGAGTGTGTGCAGCACACACGGACCCCATTTCTGTGGATGAAAAAAGTATGTACGTTCAACATATGCATTAAAATATACAAAAAGAGATTCACCAAAATGTTGAAGGTTATTTCTAGGAAGTAAAATTACTGGGAACCTTTTGTTTTCTTTATATCATCTGTATTTAAATTTTTTCAATATTTATTTTTGAGAGAGAGAGACAGAGACAGAGTGCAAGCAGGGGAGGGGCAGAAAGAGAGGGAGACAGAATCCAAAGCAGGCTCCAGGCTCTGAGCTGTCAGCACAGAGCCCAATGTGGAGCTCAAACCCACGAGCCACAAGATCATGACTGAGCCAAAGTCAGACCCTTAGCCGACTGAGCCACCCAGGGGCCCCAAGAAAAATATTTTTTAAAAAAAGAAATCTGTATAGTCAGAAAAAAATTTTCTCTATGTAAATGTATATAAAATACGTTATGTAATATAATTTTATATATATTATGTAACATTTATATGCTATGTATGTTATATTATGTTATATAACATATCATATCATATGTAATGTTACATATGATGTGATATATAATTATAACAATATAATTGTATAATATAATATTTTATAATGTATGATCATATAACATGTTATAGTATCTATAATATAATTTTATATTATAATATAAATATGCATATATATCCATTGTAGGCAAAGAAATATAAAGGCACTATAAGCTCTGCCTTCTTTATTTTTTTATAAATATTTGTGGAGTGCTTGTTAGGTATCATGTATTGATCAAAGCAGTTGACTGATATTAAACACATTTAATCTTCCCCAGCAACCCATGAAGTAGGTGTCATTCCCATAGTCTCCACTTTACAGATGAACAAAAGAGAGCTTAAATAACTGTCCCAAGGTCACACAGCTGATGCATAGCACACCTGGGACTTCAACCCGGGTAGTCTAGTCCCAGAACCCATGCTCTTGGCCACGGATTCTATACTGTGAGGTAGGCATGATGATCTCCTTATTAGCATGAAATGGAGAGTCAAAGAGGTGAAATGACTTGTCCGAGGCCACACACGAAGCTCATCAAAGATGGGGATAGTGCTCAAGCCGGGAGGGGCAGATTACAAACCCTGATTCCAGACTGCCTCCCAGATCTGAGGCTGGTCCTTCACAGGACAGGTCTGCACCTCAGGAAAACCAGAGGATGGAGGAGGAAGGACTCTGCCCCCAGCAATGGGCAGGCAGGGGCTTTTTCTGGTCCCTGAGTGCCCCCTGCTGGTCATAGGCCAAACAGCAGGGGTCTGGGGCAGGCTGGGTGAGCGTGGGGCATCAGTCAGGGGGCTGACACAGGACTGAGCCCCTTCTCGCATTCGCCAGTTCTCCGTGGACATTGACTCGGAGCTGGAGGAGGAGCTGCCGGCGGAGATCGAGCTGTGGCTGGTGCTTGTGGCCGTGAGTGCCGGGCTGCTGCTTCTGGGGCTGATCATCCTCTTGCTCTGGAAGGTGCGGACCCCAGACCAACACCGGGACTCCCACTCTGGGACCTCCTGCCAGCAGCCCCCCACCAGCCCTCCCTTCACCCCATTCCTCACTTCTACCCCACCCCCACCCTTCCCCCATGTCATCCCCACCTTCTCCCCAGCTTCCAGTCTCACCCGCTGTCCCATCCTTACCTCACTCACCAGGATGCTCCTGCCTGGTTAAGGGGGGGGACCCACAGGCTGGAGAGGGGAAGAAGCCAGGAGCTCTGGCTTCCGGCCACACCACCAAGTTGGGGCTGGGGCCGGGGCCCAGGCGTCCGGGCTCCCCAGCCCTAAGCCCCAGCCCATGAGTGCTGCCGGCAAGGACCCCCCCCCCAAGCTCCCCCTGATGGCCCGTCCCCACCTCCTCCCCTCCGCAGTGCGGCTTCTTCAAGCGAGCCCGCACTCGCGCCCTGTATGAAGCTAAGAGGCAGAAGGCGGAGATGAAGAGCCAGCCGTCAGAGACAGAGAGGCTGACCGACGACTACTGAGGGGGGCAGCCCCTGCCCCCCGGCCCACCCGGGTAACGCGGCCTCCGGGCCCTCTTCCCTGAGCCTCGCAGCTGGCCGGGGCCTCTGACTCTGTCCTGTCTGCTCCTCTTCCCCGTGGGCCTTCTCTGCACTTCACTCTGTCCCCAGCACCACCCCTCAAAGCAGGCCGCTGGTCTCCCTCCACACCTGGGACAGCTCAAGGTGTCTTCTCGCTGCCTCCCCTGAAGGCTTAGGGTCCCAAGAGGGAGCCATAACATGCTCCCCATGCCCCTTCGCTTTCTAAGGACTGGAAAAGGAGCAAGGCCAAGGTTAGGCCTCATCTCTAGGCCACACGGCAGACTTCTAGAGCGAGTCTGCACCTCCATTTCCACCTCCTGAGAAGGAGGGGACCAGCAGAGTCCTTCTCCTGGGAACTAGTCCTTCTCCTCCTTGGAGCCCCCCCAACTTGCAGTGACAAACTGACCCCCCACCCCCACCCCAACAACGTGGTCAGGGCACATCACCTCCTGGCCATCTCATCGGCTATCTCAGGGACCCGCCTCTGTCTCCATCTGCCTCCCCTCCCCTCTCTGCCCTCTTCAGATCCTCCTTCCTCTGGGGCCTGGGGTGGGCAACTCGCCCTCTCTGTTGCAGTGCAGGGAGATGGCATGTGTTTGGGTCAGGGGTCCTGGCTTCGAGGGCCTCTGGGTGGGGGGAGGAAGGGGCTGGGCACATCTTCCCGCAGCCTGGAGAGCGGGATGCTGAGGCCCTTGCTCTTCTCCACCCCCCACCCCCCGCCCCAATGCAGTGCGACTTCTTTAAGCGGACCCGCTATTACCGGATCATGCCCAAGTACCACGCAGTGCGGATCCGGGAGGAGGAGCGCTACCCGCCTCCAGGGAGCACCGCGCCTACCAAGAAGCACTGGGTCACCAGCTGGCAGAGTCGGGACCGATACTACTGACGTCCTCCCTGACCCCCCCCCCCGCTCCCCCAGTGTCCCCTTCTATTTATCATAAGTTATACCCCTGAGAGTCCATAGGGGCCACTGCCTTTGGCTGGCACCCGCAGCCTCAAGCACACACACCTCTTCGAGCACATATATGTGCCATCCGGCCGCGGGCTCCCCACAGGAGGGAGCCCACCGCAGCCCCCAGGCCCTGGACATGCGTGGGCCCCACCGCTTGTGGACTGTGCTCTTGTACCACGGACAGCACGTGGACGTGGGCGGCCCTGCCTGTGCCAAAACCAAGCCCAAGGGCCTCCACGGAAGCTAGGAGGAAAATGCCTCCGCTGTGGCGACGCCTCCGCCCATTCACACTGGACCCATCTTCAGCCACAGTCACTGGATTGACTCTGCTATTAAGCCTAAAACTACTGACAGGGAAGCGCGTGCCAGGCCCCCAGCCGCCGCTCCCGGCTCCCATGCCAGAGAACGTGGGGGGCCTGCCTCAGGTTGTCCACGTGGCGTTTACAGGACTCAGTGCGCTCAGACCCAAGAGCAGAGGGAGCTGGAGGGAAGGCCCCCGGGCTGGCTTTCCCTCCCAGGCCTCTGTGATGCCTCTCTCCTCGGCCACAGCCCACACTGGCAAGGGAAGCGGTCTGAAGACGGACAGGCCGCTAGGCTCGGCCCGCTGCTGTGGGACTGCCCTGGGAACTCAGTGGAACGCTCAGCAGAGGAGGGGACGGTCCCGGGCCAACGAGATGTCGGAAGTATAGAGGAGATACCACTTCTTACCCACCACTACCATCCAGGCCTCTGAAGGCCCGGAGAGACCACCCCCCCCCCCCACACGCACACAAGGTCACAGAGAGAGCGACACTTGAATGTAGAACAGGGAGGGAGCTCTGGCCCTGCCCCCTGGGCTGGAAGTTATTCTGCCCTCACTGACCACGGGTAGGGGACCTGGAAGTGGAGTTCTTGGCTGTCCTTGGCGTTCTCAGAGCCAACCCAGCTCTGCCTCCTCCCCTGTGGGCTAAGTCCGGAGGCCCAGTCTAGAAGGTGAGGCTGGTCCCAGGGAACCTCTCCTGACCCTTGCCTCTTGGGAGTCCCTTTTCCAGTCCTTAACCCCTTCCACGGTACTGTAGCGGGGGCCTCCCTCCCCCCCTTTGTGCCTTCTTTGTATATAGGCTTCTCACGGCAACCAGTAAATAGCCCCCAGTTTTTATGGGCTGCAGTGGCCTCTATTCATCCCCACCCTGTATCAACCCCGGTGCAGGGATCTTGCAGGTGGGGAGGGGGACATACAAGCCTCTGTTCTCCGTGGTGTCCTGGTCTAAAGGATGGTCGTGGACCTCAAACTGAGATCCAGAACCTAAGGTCCGGGGAAAGACCTGAGTCGACTGGCTAGCATCCAAAACGGTTTCTTGGTGCACAGTGTGCTGGCCCTGGGGAGGGAGGGGCGAGGGAGTGGTGGCAGTGTGCAGCGTCCAGAAGAGGCAGAGAGCTCCTTTGCTGTACTGCAACAGGTAGTCCTGGATGATGGAGCAGGGAGGCTGGGTGCAAGGGCGGAGAGCCAACGGCCTTCATCCAGAGGCTGGATTCAGATCCGAACCTGCTTTTCTGCTGCAGTTCCCCCCTACCCCCCACCCCTAGGCACCGTGTTGAGTAGATCAGAGGGTGAACCAGGGACCCAACCCTGGAAAGATTGAAAGGTCCGAGTATCTATTCCGCAGGCTCTGGGCAGGGGTACCTGGAGTCCCAGTCTTGTGGCCATTCCTCCAGGGGTCCTTCGGTGCCGAGCCTCCAGGGGCCACAGCAGTGGATCAAGCCCTCCACTTCCTAAGGTGACTCTTTCATAGAGTCTGGGAGGACGGAGCAAGGCTGCTTTGCCCATGCCTTCTTTGTCTGAAATTGTGGCTTGGGTCCTTCTGTGCATTGTCCTCAAAGCTATGACCTTTGGAAGACTTCACCGGAGGCTGAAAATGACTACTCAGCGAAACCTAGAGGCAGATCCTCTATTCAGCTGCTCTGAGAGCCCACAGACCCAGGCTATTATCCCAGGAGCCCCAGCTGATGTCTGCCCGGTGTCTCCCGATCTGCCCCACTTTCTGTGCTGGGATTGCCCCTTCCTAGGATGATTGACAGTGGAAGGTCCAATTCCTCTGGGAAAACCCCAGCCGCTACCCAGAGCTCTCAGAACCAGGAATCGGAGCCCCCAGTTCATTTTCCGAAACCTGGGTTATTCACTCAGTCGGGAGTAACAGCATGCGCGGGGTGGCAAAGTCCAGCTGCAGAGCTCAGTTGGGCTCAGTCCTGTCTTGCAGACACTTCCTACTTAGGAAAACTAGGAATCTACACATTCCTCTGGCTGCCTTCACAGGCTCAGCCTCCAGTCGTGTGTGTGTGAGAGAGAGAGAGACTGTGTTCTCATCCAAGCATAAACGGTCTCTCTCTCACACACACACACACACACACAAACACCCCCCCCCCCCCCCCCCCGCAGTGTAAGTAGTCAAGTCATTTTCATGACCCCTGCTACACTTTTATGAAAGAAACATAATGGCAAAGATGTAGCAATACCCACTTTATATTAAAGGGTCCTCCATAAACGTCAAGCTTCTGGAGCTCCTTGGAGTTACAGCACCTCCAAACTGTTCCCAAAGAAGGTCTCAGCTTTTATGTCACTAAAAGGACCCATAAGGTGATTCTCCCCCTCGGGACACATGGCTGGATTGCACTTCCTGGAACTTCCTGGTTAGGTGAGGTCATGTGACTAATCCTGGCCAATGAGTTGTGAGCAGGAGGGAAGGGGATCAACTCTGGGCTGAGACAGTTCATTGCTGGGTGAGGCTCTCCCAGGCTTTCCCTCCTCTGCTGCTGCTGCTGCTGCTGCTGTAGAAGCCTGTGGTGAGAACCCCACCACCACCCCGCACCAACCTCCGTTGTATATATAGTGGGAAATTTGGGCATGGTGTGGGTGGAGGTTACCTCCACATCACCGAAACCTAGCTTGACCATGCCATGCCATACCCATTATTACCCTGCAGCAATCTCTGCAGACAGAATTTTGACCCAAGCACAGAAGCCACGTTATAGAAGTCCAGCACTAACAGAGGACCACGGGAAATTTCTCTCTCCTACACCTAGCCACAGCTCACAGCCTTCTCATTATTACTTAAATTTTGACGACAATAGTAATAGCTGCTATTTGACGATTATTTATTATGTGCTGGACACAGGGCTAGGTTTTATACATGTAGTATCCTGTATACTCTTCCTGGCAACTTGAGGACTGCACTCACCAACGTCATCGATGATTTAATTGATGGAAGGACGGAAGGATGTTTCGTTGTTCCTCCCTGGTGCCTCTGTGGCATGTCTCCCTAGTGACCCCAATTCTTTTTTCACATTCTTTTCCCTTCTATGTGCCAGGGGCTATAGCTGGTGCTGGAGATCGAGCAGTGAATTACACAGACACAGACAGCTCTGTCTTGGAGCTTTTAGTCTAATGTGGGAGACAGAGAAGTCAGCAGGTGATTCCCACTCTGTGATAAGAGCCAAATAGCGCTAAGGTTGCGAGGTCCAAGGAGCCCTTGCAGGGAGCCCATAACCCAGCCTGGTAGGTTAGAGACTTGAAGAATGAGTAGGTGGTAAAAAAAAAAAAAAAAAAAAAAAACAAACAGGGGCGCCTGGGTGGCTTAGTCGGTTAAGCGTCCGACTTTTCCTTAGGTCATGATCTCCCGGTTCGTGGGTTCGAGCCCCGCGTCGGGCTCTGTGCTGACAGCCAGTAGAGAGCCTGGAGCCTGTTTCCAATTCTGTGTCTCCCTCTCTCTCTGACCCTCCCCTGCTCATGCTGTCTCTCTCTCTCTCTCCTAGAAATAAATAAAACATTTAAAAATTAAAAAAAAATGATTTTGACAGAGGAGACAGCCTTTGCAAGGTGTTGGAGATGGGAGGCTGGTTCAAGGCAGTAGATAATTATGGCTGGGAGTTGAGCAGGGGAATGAGAGATGAACCTGGAGAATTAAGCCAAAACAGATCGTGAAAGAGCAAGAAAGGAGCCAGCAAGAAGTGGAGAGGCACTGACTGTGAGCAAGGGAAGTAATACGTTCATGGCTGTCTCAGTTGGAAGAGCGTGAGACTCTTGATCTCGGGGTGGTGAGTTTGAGCCCATGTTGGGTGCAGAGGTGACTTAAATAAATAAAACTTAAAAAAAAACAAAAAACCACCAAACAAACCAAGTTCAGATTTGCATTTGGGAATGATCCCTGAGCCTCAGTTTCCTTATTCATATAATGGGGATAATAATAGCACAATCAAGCCGTCTGGGTCATTAAATAAAATCACGCGTGCAAACAATGCCTGGCACATAGGCTATTATTCGTTCAGTAAAGAGTCCCTGCCATTGTGAACGGTGGAAGACTCTTCCAGATAGCTCGGTGTTGACTGTAGTACATTCTGTTACACAGTAACTACTTGTTTACTTATGTGGCTACTTCCCCAACTGAAAAAGGAAACGATCGAGGGAAAAGACTAGTCTTCCATCCTTTCTGTGTTTCTTGTTCCCAGCACAAAGCCCAGCGCGTATTGGGCACTTGGTCGGTGGGGCCCAAGGACTGAACAGTGAAATAGTGAAAACATCAAAGGGGCAAGGCCGGGACCACGAGAGCGGGCGCCAGGTTCTTAACGACAGCTCAGGGCTGCTGGGGAAGGACAGGCTCCCCAAAGCCCCAGCACAGATCACCTGCCAGGACCTTTCCCCAAGGAAGCCCCGTGCGAAGATGGTCGCTTTCTCAAGTCAAATGAGTAGAGAATAATAAAATAAGTGTTTTAAAAAATGCACGCAGAGCGCTGGTGTTAGGGGCTGCCTCCACCGCCGCCAGTCGTTAGGGTTTTGACTTCGGGTGTCGCCTTTCCCTGAGCCGTTTGGATCTTTGTGGAAGTGGGCGGGGGGCAAATCTGTTCGAGGGGTGAGCACGGCTTGCATCCTGATCCCGAAGTTTGTAAACATTCCCAGTCTGAGTCACTGTCATCTGGACTGGGAACCCAGCAGACCGTCCCCTTCAAGGAGTGCAGGTGCGGATCCATCCAGGCGCCTGAAACAGGTCCCTTTGGGAAGGAAGGGATTCGTTGCAAACTATCCGGATAATTTCAGGGAAGGCGAGTGAAAGAGATTCGGGGAGAGCGCGGCTCGAGAGGAAGAAGTGGAAAGGAAGAATAACGGACCTCTGGGGAGGCAGGGGTTAAGCTGGGCTTGGCGCGGAGGAGTAAAGGGCGGCACGAACGCTCGGGGCGGGGCGGGCCTTCGGTGCGGCCGAGGAAAACAACAGGCCTCCCCGGGCAAAGAAGGGGTTAAGGGGGCGGGTGCAGGGGAAGCCACGTGCCGGGGCGAGAGGCGATTGGCTCTGCTGAGCTTGTTTGTGAGCGGCCATTGGCGTCGTCGGTGCACCGCGACGAGCCGATTGGCCGGGGCTTGAAGGACTTGCCGGGGCCGGGGCGGGGACGAGACGGCGGGCCCCAGTCGCTGGGCCGGGCCGGGCCGGGCCGGGCCGAGCCGAGAGCGAGCGCTGCCCGCGGGAGGACTGGAGCCCGAGCCCGAGCAGCGGCCACCGCCGCCGCCGCCGCCGCCGCCGCCGCCGTCATGCGCTGGATCCGTGCGCTGCTGAAGAATGCGTCCCTGGCAGGGGCGCCCAAGTACATCGAACACTTCAGCAAGTTCTCCCCGTCCCCGCTGTCCATCAAGCAGTTTCTGGACTTCGGTACGGAGTGCGCCGGGGGTGAGGAGGGGCGGGAGGGGGCGGCAGGCTGCGAGGGCCTGCGGGGGGCACGGCGTGGGGGCCTATACGTGAAGAGGCCCTGGCCAGGAAGGATTAATGCGGAGGAGAAGAAAGGCCCTGCGTGACCGCGAAGGGTTGCTTGGAAGGGTACGGGCAGGGAAGGGTTAAGGGGAGGGGGCCGGGAGTGGCCCTGAAAGGGTTAAGGTGAGCTCCGGACTGGGCTGTTAATGGGAAGTGGGAGCACTGACTTGGAGGGGTCCAATGTCTTGCTGGGCTTTGTGAGAGGTCTTGCAGAGTCGGGGGCAATGAGGTGGTGACGTTAGGGCAGGAAGGCAGTGACATATACCCAGACCGAAAGGGTTAACGGTGCTTGTCCTAGTGGCTCAAAGGGTAGGGGATGGAGAGGAAATGGGGCGGGGATGCTGGTGGGAGCAACAGGCAGGATTGGGAGGTGCAGCCATCTGGAAAGAGACCTGGGCTGCGCTGGGCACCCTGGGGTCAGGTGGGGCCTGGGCTCTTTCAGAGAATGTCAACAGGAGAGAGATCGCCCGGTCCCTATACCTCTACCCACTGAAGGAGCTGGTCCCCAGCTGTCCCCGTGGGCAAGGACACTTGAAGAGCAAATTTGTTTGGGCCTGGCTCCCTGTCCCCAACCGGGCCAAGGCCTGGGGCACCATAAGGTGGAGTCAGGAGGCTTGCCACCTTGGCTGCTCCTGGGCCAGGATCACTCACCAGCAGCGGGCTGGGGGTGCCCCTGGAGCAGAAGCTAAGCTGTGCCCGTGTGGCCGCTGAAGCAGGCATTGTGTGGGCCCTGCCTGTCTACTCGGGATTAGGAGGGGGTGCCCAGGTCTCTCAAGAGTTGAAGAGACAGTGCCTGGCTCAGGTTACAGCTGCGTCACTGATGGGAGGGGTGGGGAGGTGGCAGCCAGGACACTGGGCCCCTGTTCCCCTGGACTTGTCCGCCTGTCCCCCTGCCCTGTTTGAGCTGTCCCAGTGTAGGAACGCCTCCTGGGGGCCATTCCCAGCCACCAGCAGTTGTCCAGTCCAAACTGGACCCCAGTTATAGACATGGGCTAGGTGGGGCTCATAGTAGAGTTTGGTCCACTTGTAGTACGGGGTGGGGGGTAGGGTGGGGGGACAGATCTTCAGAAGGATGGTGACATGCCCTTAGTGGCGGAGTTGGGAACAGAACTCAGAGTAGAATCTAGGTCTTCTGACTGTAGGCCATGGCCTTAGTCTATCACCTGGTCTTCATCTTGAAGCCAGACGAAGGACGGGGCTGGTATTTGGGTTCCCAAGCTTGGGCCCTGCTTGCCCAACAGGCAGGCATTGATGCGGGGCACCTCTGCAGTGGTCATCAAGAGCAGCCTGGATGAGGACAGAGTGACCCGCAGTGACTCTGGGCTCCTGCAGCTGCTATGGGCCAGGCATAGCTCCCCTCAGCCAGGCCCAGCCCTGGGAAGGGCTGGTTTTCCCAGACTCCTCTGCCCACCTGGGTCAACCCCAGCCCACCCCTTCTACCCTGCAGAAGCGAGTGTCCAGACAGAAAGACACGAAGTGAGGTCAGTTAAGCCAAAGGCGGCTCCAAGTGGGCCCAGGAGTGGCCCTGTCTCCTGTGGTAGAAGGCAAGCGGGTGTCAGTGGAGGCTGGGGAGGGGAGGCAAGCTTGAAGAGGGGTAGGAGGGGTGGTGTGGAGACGGGATCGGTGCAGGCGACTGGGAGAGCCGCTTTGCTTTGTGCCCCCCCGCCCCCCGGTCACTTCTTCTCCGCGCCCTCAGGAACTGAAGGATTTTATCTACCCGATCCCTGAGCTGATCTCCGGCTCCAGTGGTTTGCAGCTGTGTGGGCTCACCCGCCTCTCTCCCCCTCCAGGGTCCAGCAATGCCTGTGAGAAAACCTCATTCACCTTCCTCAGGCAGGAGCTGCCCGTGCGCCTGGCCAACATCATGAAAGAGATCAACCTGCTTCCCGACCGAGTGCTGAGCACGCCCTCGGTGCAGCTGGTCCAGAGCTGGTGAGACCCCTCCCCCCCAACAGCCGCTCCCACTCCACTGCCCACCCTGCTGCCAGATGGACCCCGGGCTCAGAGAGGGAGACTCTGTGCTCTTAGGTGCTCCCTTGAGGGAGATGGGGGCAGTGGGGAAGCACAGGGGCTTCAAGAGGCTGGAGTGCTGCCCAAGGTCAAGTGGCATGCTGGGCCAGAGCGGGAGCTGAGATAAAGCCTGCATGCCTGTGGGCCATCCCTATACTTCGCCACTCCCTCCTCTGGAAACTCAGCATCCACCTGGGAGGAGATCGTTTTCACAGCCCAAATCCAAACCAAGCAAATGTCGCCATTTGCCCCCGACCCTGGTTCTAAAAAGCCAGCGCCTACTGGGTAATATTTATCTGGGGCACCATTGGAAATAGAAACGGAAAGAAACAGATTGTCAAATGATGTAAGCCAAGCTATGAGTCATACTGTTTTGGATGTTGGGAAACACCCCCACCCAGGGAGGGCACGGTCCCTACCCCCCACCCCCGCCAACGTTGGAGGGGCAAAGACCAAAAATTGCAGCGGTAGCGGAAGGAAACCCTCCGTAAAGGTCACTCTAGAACCCTGTCCCTCGTTAAATAACCGGATGACATTGATCAATGGCCAGTCGCATGAAGAACAAGAAAGAGTTTGCAAGGGCATGGGAGTGATTAATCTTAATCTTTGCTGGTCTTCGGTGGTTCCTACGCAGAAACCCTTTGCTGGGTCTTCTGGCGGTGGTGAGCAGTCCGTGATCTGGTGGGGAGTGGAGTTGATAAACTAAGAGCTCCATAGGTAGTGGTGGGAGCAGTGAGGCGCTGAAGAGTTACTTTTTAAAAAAATTTTTTTTAATGTTTATTTATTTTTGAGACAGAGAGAGACAGAGCATAAGCGGGGGAGGGGCAGAGAGAAGGAGACCCAGAACCCGAAGCAGGCTCCAGGCTCCGAGCTGTCAGCGCAGAGCCCAACGTGGGATTCAAACCCACTAACCCTGAGATCATGACCTGAGCCGAAGTCGGATGCCCAACTAACTGAGCCACCCAGGTGCCCTGAGAGTTACTTTTATTTAAGAACCAAAACAGTCTTCAAAAGCAACATCGATTGGGTTTTTCTCCTTGTTGTAGAAGCATAACATGTCCACCTCGACGTTTGGAAAACACACCAAGTGGGGAAGAGAGAACGTGAACCCCTATCGGCAGGGTTTCATGAGGTTTTAGTGGTGCCTTCCGAGCATTCTTGCTACACATGGATGCACACACGCAGGACTTACTCTTATTTAATGAGATGCGGTACGGGAAGTGTTTTATGTACGAGGCTGGGCACATAGAAGATGCACGCTGAGTCAGAAAGCTGTGGGGAAGGGGCGCCTGGGTGGCTCGGGGTCGGTTGGGCCACTCTTGATGTCAGCTCAGGTCACGATCTCGCCATTCATGGGTTTCAGCCCTGCCGTAGGCCTTTGTGCAGACAGCGCGGAGCCTGCTTGGGATTCTCTCTCTCCCTCTCTCTGCTCCTCTCCCTCACGTGCACATGCTCGCTCTCGCTCTCTCTCTCTCAAAATTCACAAACATTTAAGAAAAGAAGAACGTGTGGGGAAGTTGAAATGGATGCATAGAGGAGGTGACATGTCCCTGGGCCGTACAGAGCACCTCAGTGAGCCCAGACCTAGAAAGAAGGGAAGGGCATTACAGGCCTTGAAATGGCAGCGCTGAGGTGTAGAGGGAGACCTCTGAGACCTCACTCTGTGCCCACAGTGCTTTTGATACAAGCGGTGGAGGGGGTGGGGGGAGAGGGCGGAGACTGGTCTTCCTACAGCCCCACCAGGTCACCCCTCACTGGGCCCTGTCCCTCTGAGGTCCAGGACATCTGGGGCGACCGGCATTTCCCACCATGGGGTGGGTGGAAGTCGTAGGCAGGAGCCAGAAGGTGCCATCTGTTTCCCCGCTCCTCCTCCGGCTCTGTCCGGCTGGCTGGCTGGCCGCCTCTCCAGCGGGTCCCTGACTCCAGGACAGGCCCTCTTGGGCCCCTCCCCGGACACTGTGCTCCTGGGAGAGCAGAGGAGATGTGTGCCAGGGTGTGGGGGAGCTGCTGAACTGCCCATGATGCCCCCAGGCCCCTGCCCAGGACATTCCTGAAAAGGAATCGCACATGTGTGGGCTTGGCCTGACTTTTCTTCTCGGAAAGCTTGGAAGTCATGTCCAGCAACAGCAGGAGGGAGCGAAGTTAGACAAAAGAGAACCCTTCGCAGTGTTGGATGACTTAACTTAGAGGAGAGCAAGCCAAGGGATTGCTGCAGCCCGCCAAGGTTGTTTCCGGGGGGAATGGGCATCGGGCTGTGGCAAGAGAGGCTGAAGTGTGATGGGAGGAAGGACTTTCTGATGGGGACAAGGTGGCTGCCTGTGACAGCGTGCATACCTCCTCCCGGGGAACCCACCCCCAGCTCGGCACAGGGGTGGAGGTGGGCAGGGTTTGCATGAGAGGAGGGGAGGAGGGGGACAGCACACCAAGGAGCCTGGCAAGGGGGCCACTGTCTTCAGAGTCTGATGAGTGGGGAACAAATGCTCCCCTTTGGGGAACGGTAGAGTCCCAGATGAATGCTCTTAGTGGGGGTAGCGCTGAGAGGTTGTGATAGCTGGTGAGTTTCTACTCTGCTGCCGGGAGATTCTAGGCAAGTGTCAGTGGCCAAGGGGGACAAGTCGAGCATTCCTGGTTCTAAATAAACCTGATAAATTGTTTCAGCCAGACAGACCTGGTGCAGACAGACCCGTTTTGGAAGTGACTGGAAGAGAGTAAAAAGCCCTGGTAATTGGCGTCAGCATCAGCACGCTTGACTTTGAGGCTTGGCTTTGCTGCTTGCTGGACACTTAATCCTTAGCAAGCCCTCCAGCCTCCCTGAGCCTCGGCTTCCTCACATGTCAAATAGGGATCCATTCTGTCTCAAAGGGCAAATGCCACCGTTAGAGGCAATATGGTGCTATACAAACTCTGTATGCACAAGTGGTGTCCCCGAGCTCTAGGGCAGCAGCCCTTCCAGGCCAAAGATTTGTGACTGTGGCCGAGGTTCTCTTAGACAATGTGGTAATAATAGCAATGACAGTGACCAAAGCAAACAGACCTGGAGGGCCTGCTGTGCGTCAAGAAGAAGGAAGAAGGCATGTCCGCTGAGTCTTCACTCACTTAATGTTCCCGACAGCCTTATGAAGGCAGCCTTGTTTTTATCCCCATTTCCTAGATGAGCAGACTGAGGTTCAGAGAGGTGAAGACACAGGTCTGAGGTCACTGAGGCTGCTGGTGAGAGAGCGGGGTGTGCGAGCTGGCTGCATTCATGAGGGGAAGGGAACAGCGCTGGGTTCTGGGGCAGCCGTCTGCATCTGAGGTTTCCACACTCACCAAGCGAGTCCTCCAGACCGCAGGGCTCACCTCATCAGAACGTGTGCAGCCCAGGGATGCTGAGTGCCGAGCAGGGACCTAGACATGTGCTTCCAGAAGGTGGCGGGTTAAGTGAGGGATGCAGAGCAGAATCTCGTGTCATCAAGGGGTTGCAGGGGAAAGGGGCTGGAGCGCCTTCTCATGAACCTCCCTTGCCTGTCAGTGAGGTGTGCGGACCCCAGACCCAGCCTGTGGGGCACCCGCACCCCAACCCTACAGGAACCACGGTTCTTGAGAAGAGCCACTCCCATGTTGGTGGTCCCAGGTTCCCAGGGCCTGCTGTGCCCCAGGCTGTGCCCCAGGGCCAGATCTTCACCGTATCCCTCGCTCCTTCCGTGATCAGGGTTGAGACTGATGACCTCAGAGTGTGGCTGCCGGGAACCCCATTGTATAGGCGGGGACCTGAGCGGCTCAGCGGTCTCCGTAGCACCCAGGACTGGGGTCTGCCTGGCTCAGGGCTTGCACCCAGCACCCCTCCACAGACCAGCTTCCAGATACAGGACAGGAGTGTCACCTCTCCCTGCTCCAACAGCCATGGCCATGGCCTCATTCACACTTCTCACTCCCAGCCCCCTCTGCCTCTCCACACATCCCGCCCCCATGCCTCCCAGCTGCAGGGCTCTGGGCAGGCCAGAAGGGCCCAGAAGGCAGGCGCCCAGAGCCTAGTTTGCTGAGGTCGGCAGGCCCAGGCCAACCCCAGGGCAGCCGTGTTGGGCCCCCCACTGCCTGCCAGGCCTGCTCTGTCCCTAAACCTGGAACTGAAGTGGCACATCTGTCATTGCACCACTGCTCTCGGGCCTCCCGGGTCCAAGCCCAGTTCTTTCTCTGGTCCCTGGAGCGGTGGGCAGTGCGGAGCCAGCGAGTGTCACTCCTTCCCCGGGGTGTCTCCCTTTAGGACCCAGTCTTTCCTGAGGGTGACATCTGGTGTGGCAGGCCTCAGTGGGCTTCAGGCCAGGGCCCCTGGAGTCCTCTGGGAAAATCCTTCCCACCCTCTCCTCTCCCTCCCCCAGGACCAGTCCCAGGAAGGAAAGGGCCTTGGAGGGGAGGGAGGGCGCAGGGATTCTAACCCTGTGAGGGGGCAGGCAGGGGTGCTACCCTGTTTCACAGTCCGAGTCTGGGAGACCAAGGCCTGAGGCTGCCAGGCCTCCCCAGACCGGAGCCAGACCGGAGCTATCCTTTGCCCCACTTCGTTGGCCATGTGACCAGGCCCCACTTCTTCTGTCCTTTAGGGTCCATTTGGCAGCCTCGGGGTGTGGCGCCAGGAGCTGTGGTGCTTACCCTGCCCCTCTCCGCCTCCTGGCCCAGTGGGCGGGGCCTCCTGGCTCCTCCCCCTCCCTCCCTGCCCGGGCTTAGGAAGGGGTTCTGGGCTCTAGTCCGCAGCGGGTTTCCTCCCCTTCCTCTACCTGCCCCAGCCTTGCACACTTGCAGGTTTTCTCCCCAAATCCCCTCGCCTTCCCAGAATCCTGAGCGTGAGGCTTTCTCCTGGACGTGGCAATGAGGGCGTGGAACAGGGATTTGGTGGCACACAGCCTACGAGAGAGAGGCCCTGCTCTGCTCGGTAACCCCCTCACCTGTGGAATGAGCGCAGCAGGAGCACCCAGCTCCAGGTTAAGGCGGAGGCTAGAGTAGGGGAGCAGGCAGGCGCAGAGCCGAGTCCTGTCCGAGGTTGGCTCCCCGTAAATGCCAGCGGCGTTCACACTGGCAGCAACACTGTTAGTTAGGACCAGTGTAGATGGCAACTGGCCCCATGGTGTGGACTTGGAGTCAGACAGATGTGGGTTTGAATCCCAGTACGGGCCCCTTACGATGTGGCCTGGGCCATACCACCTGCTTTCTCTGAGCAGGTTTCCTTATCTATAAAAAGCCAGTGTACACTGGACACAGGCGGGCACGGGCAGGCACTCTGTAAGAGGCAGATGTTATAACCCCCCAGGGAGCCCGAATTGGGGCCTCTCTGATTGTCTGCTGCGGCTGCAGGGGTGGGGTGGGGCGACGTGGGGAAGATGGTCTCCTCTGCTGGGTGGGGAGGGCAGACGGGGAGCACCAGGGCTGGGATGACCCCGTTCCTGCCATCCACACCACGGTGGCGGTCCAGTGCCCAGGACAGCCAGGAGGAGGCTATCGGGTGCCATGTGGGAGCTCAGAGGACACACTCAGCTACTGACGATATTTAAACCTCCATTCATAACAAGGGCACCCATCTAGAGAGTGCTCACCGTGCGCCAGGCACTGTGCTACTCATCACACTTGACCCTCACTGAAAGGCAGTGGTGGCGGTAGGTACAAAACCCTCCATTTTCCTGATGAGGAAACTCAGGCCCAGAGAGGCTCCACGACTCACACAGGCCACACAGCCCGAAGTGAGACAGCCAGGACGGGGACTCAGTAGAGCGAGCCCCCAAGCCAGCTCTCCCACTCTCTCCTCCCCTGTCTTAAGCCAGAGAGGGAAGAGCAGCCGTTGGTAGGTGACGGGGGGAGGGCATTCTGCACAGAGGGACCCTCGGGGATGTGGAGGGGAGTGTGTTGAGCAGACCGGGCACAGCATGGTGGCAGGAGTGCCAGAGGCTGGAGTCCTCTCCACCACCTCCCAGCCACAGGATGGCTTCGGGCCTCGGTTGAGGAACCTGTGAAATGGGGCCGATGCCTGCTCTTCTCACCTGTCAAGGTCAAAGCGCTGAGTACATAGGAATGCTCCTACTGTGGAGGTCCCTTTCCTAGAGACCGTTAAGCCCTGCAGCCCTCCGCCCCAGGGCTCCAGGCGGCCCCTCCTTGCTGCTGGCCAGAAGGGTTTCCCCTGGAGAGAGGCTCAGCTGTGTGGCCTTCCCCTGGAGACCAGCCTGTGTGCCCGGCACAGCGGGGGTCCCAGCTTATAGGGGCTCTAGGTTGACACTGGCTGCTGCCTTGAGAGGTGGGCCCGACTCCCTTGCACAGGCTGGTCCCCCTGCTGCCTCCAGTTCAGGGCTTCCCAACACTCCCCCGGTTACCCAGCTCTTTTGCAATTCCTGCGGAAACCGGCCTCCCAACCAGGCCTGCAGATGGGGGGTGTCAGGGGCCCTTTGGAGTGAAGTGAGCTGTCCCTGCTGGCAAAGGGTTCCAGCCCCACCCATGGTCAGGGCCGGCCATGCCTGTCCCACTGCTGTGTCCTTCCCACCCGCCCTTTAAGATCCACCTCCTGAGGCAGACTGCACGGCTCCCGTGCCCAGCCCAGTGCATGAGGCTGTAATCCTCATGGAGCCTCCGCTCTGATGTGCCCTGGGCTGGCCAGCCGCGCCCCAAGGAATGAAACAGCAGCCAGACAGGCCAGATGTCACGGTCTGTTTCCATGAACGGCCTCGGGGAGGTTAAGTGACTCGCCCCAGCCTTCTGTCACTGCAGAGCCTTGCTCATTCATCCAGGAGGCCCTGGGGACCGAATGATCGCCAGGGCCCCTCCGAAGGCTGCTATTCTTAGATCCCAAAGCAAAGGTGCTATACGGGGGACCAGCAAATGAGAGATGTTCTTGCATAACTTACTGTGTTGTCAGGGAGACTCGCACACAGGAAACGCTTTGGGAAAAAGTGTGGTGCAGTCCGGGTGCCGCCCACGGTCGGGGCGGAGCAGGCGAGGCGCCAGCTGTCGGGTGGGAAGGGGGCCAGGCCTGGCCTGGAGCTGAGGCCGTGTCCCCCCTTCCCCACCGCACACAGGTATGTCCAGAGCCTCCTGGACATCATGGAGTTCCTGGACAAGGACCCGGAGGACCATCGTACCCTGAGCCAGTGAGTGAGCGCCTCCGTTGGGGACAGGAGGGCAGGCGCAGGCGAGGGGCACGGAGCCACAGCCCAGCGGCAAAAATGCCAGGAGGGTGGAAGAAATGACCTCTGTCCTCAGGGATAGCTGGTCTGAGAGGGCAGTTGGCCCCTGGCCTCTCAGTGTCACTGAGTCTGATTGGGGGGACCCAAGCCCTTGTCCCTGAAGAGTTCCCTGCTGTCAGCCAGGCAGTGGGAGATTCAGGGCAGGCTTGAGAAGCAGCAGGGAAGGCACTGTGTGTCCTTCAGGTTGGGAAGGGTCAAATGAATGAAGATATGGGGAGAGGAGGTCAGAAGTGGGGAAGAGATGGGGGGGTGGGGCCGACAGCTGCCATGCCCTGCAGGTTCGCGGAGGCCCTGATCACCATCCGGAACCGCCACAATGACGTGGTGCCCACCATGGCACAGGGCGTGCTGGAGTACAAGGATGCCTACGGCAACGACCCGGTCTCCAACCAGAACATTCAGTACTTTCTGGACCGCTTCTACCTCAGCCGCATCTCCATCCGCATGCTCATCAATCAGCACAGTGAGCAGGGCCGGGGGGGTGCTCAGGGCCGGAGAGAGCGCTTCCGGCCCCACAGTGGACAAAGAACATGGCAGCCATGAACTGTGTCCTACCCGTTTGTAGAGTGCAAAGTCACGCCCCCTCTTTATTTAAAGAGTGTCCCGTGTAGCATGCATCAAAAGTCGGTTGCCTTCAGAAGCAGTCCCAAAGTGTCCACTGTGATTGTTAAGAAATTACAACCAGTTGGAAATTAAATGAGATCCTCATGCTCAGATCGTTCCTGATGCAGCATGGGAAAATTATTTGTAAACGGTGTCGCAGAAGGAAGAAGGAGTGTAATGTGGGCTGTGTGGGGGACCGGGGCTCTCTTAGAATACTTCAGGTCTGCAAAGAGTCCAGGCAGGGAGGAGGTGGGAGAAGAGGTGTTAAGTGCAGGGGTGGAGTTAGAGAGCCTGGGGGGAGGGGGCAGGAGGGGAGCCCCACCAACAGCACCCTTCCTTCCTTGTCCACAGCCCTGATTTTTGACGGCAGCACCAACCCAGCCCACCCCAAACACATTGGCAGCATCGACCCCAACTGCAACGTCTCTGAGGTGGTGAAGGGTAAGCCGCCCTCGCTGCGCTGGCCCACACGGGGGAGCCCCAGGGACCCCCTTGGAGCTACCTGGCCCGAGGCAGAGCCATTCCCCAGTGGGTGGGGGCCTCATCCCCTTGGGTGTGATGTTAGCAATGCCCCTCCCCCCATGCCAGACCCTAGCCCCCTAACCGGCCTCTCTCTTCTCTCAGATGCCTATGACATGGCCAAGCTGCTGTGTGACAAGTATTACATGGCTTCACCTGACTTGGAGATCCAAGAGATCAATAGTGAGTGAACAAGGCCATGTGCATGTGTGTGCATGTGCGTGTGCATGTGTGTGTGTGTCTAAGGGCTCCAGAGAAGAAGGTGAGATGGAGGAGTCAGGAAAAGGACTGGGAGGAAAAAAAAAGGAAAAGGAAAAGAACTAGGTGGAGCAGAAGCAGAGCTGGTATTGACTTATGATTAGCAGTATTATTATTAATTTATGTGTCAAGCATTTATGAAGCAATAAACATACCAGGCACTCTGTTCTCACGGAGGCTATGTTCCTGGTGCTTGGGAGGTTGGGGAACGGGGCCGTTAGCCAGTGAACAAGTAACAAACAAGCTAATTTCAGATGGTGACAAGTGACGGGGAGGCAGCAAGATGAGGTCACATGACAGTGACGGCGAGGACCGGTGTGTTTCAGAATCCAGACAACTGTTGGCTTAATTAGAAGAGAGGTTTTCCCTCTCTCTCCGGCCCCTGGGGTGCAGCCGTCAGAGCTGGCCACCCACACTCAGGTCTCAGCTCCAGCTGGAGAAGGCGAAGAGGATGCAGAAGGCAGGGCTGGGGGAGGGGAGACTCACTCTTCTAAGTCACCTGGCCATGCCCGGCCGCCAGGGAGCCTGGGAATTCAGTCGAGCTGGGCAGCCATGTGCCCGGTAAGACTTTGGGGGAGGGGGTATCTATTACCAAAAGAGGAAGGGAAGAGTGGATACAAGAAGATGGCTTCAAGGGTCCTACTTTGGGTGGGGTGGTCAGGGGCCATCAGGACCGGAGGGTGTGCTGGGAGATGGCCAGGGAGGGGTTGGAGACAGAGGCCACGGCACGCGGGGCCCACGAGCCACAGGGAGGAGCTGGGATGTTGTGTGCAGCAGGAAGCCCACTGGAGGGTTTGAAACGCATGCCAGGATCTGACTTACGTTGTAAAGGTATTTAGAGGTCGGAGGGGGTGGGTGAGACCTCAGGAAGACCAGTTAGGGAGGTCACTGCAGGAATCCAGGGGAGGGCAAGGCAGCAGAGATGAAAAAAAAAGGGTAGATCTGAGAAGAAGTAGAGAGGTCCGGACCTGCTGATGAGTCAGGGGCATAAGAGAAAGGGGGAACAGGGATCTGGAAGTTTCTACATCCATCTCCCCCACCTTGCCTTAGCCACCCCCTGCCTGTGTGCCAGAAGCCTAAGGTATTTCATGCCTGGAAGTCAGGCTGCCTACATCCTTAAGGCCCAGTTCAAGTTCAGGCCCTTGGCAAAGCCTTCCTGGACCTCCTAGAAAACACGGTTAGGCACCCACCTACCTCTGTTTGAATTACTTGGGGGCAGAGACAGAAGGGCAGAGACAGGCCGCTTTACTTCAGTATCCCTGGGGTCAAGTTCAGGGCCTGGCACACAGCTCTAGGTACAACACCCAATGTGAAAGTCAGCTGTGTGTTTGTCTAGACTTGAATTTCCAAGACGGTAGGGCTGAGTTTCATTCAACTTTATGCCCTACTGCCCAGCATTCGTTAATCCATTTTTTGAGCTCCTGCCACAAAGTTTCGTGCCAGGTACCAGGAGAAGATACCAGTCCCTAAGACCAAGAAATACTCCAGACTAGAGCGATTCTTGAGAGGCAGAGTGCTGCTCTAAGAATCATGTGCAGCTCCTCTCTCCCCTCCCCACGGGATTAAAAAAACTCTCCAACAGGGGGAGAGGGGGGGCTGGGGGGCTCAGTCAGTTAAGCATCCAACTTCAGCCCAAATCATGATCTTGTGGTTTGTGGGTTTGAGCCCCACAACGGGCTCTGTGCTGACAGCCCAGAGCCTGGAGCCTGCTTCAGATTCTGTGCCTCCCTCTCTCTCTGCCCCTCCCTGACTTGTGCTCTGACTCTATCTCAAAAATAAACAAACATTAAAAAAACTTCCAGGGAGTCTGGTGTCCAGGTGAATGCTAGGAGGCTGGAGATAGGCTGGATAGATAGTTTTTGAATGGATGGACGGCTAGATGAACAGTGGATAAAGAGAAGGATGGATCCGTACTTTCTGAATGGGTAACTGAGGATGGGTGTTTGAAAAATGCATAGTCGAGGGACAGTTTGATGGCTGAATGGACACTGGAGGGGTAGATGGAAGAATTCATAGATGTTGACCATTCAGCATCTGTGATTGGATGGATGGATGGATAGATGGATGGATGGACGGACATTTTACAATGGGTGGATACTGCATGAATAGATAGATGGTCGAATGGACACCGAAGGAATGGATAGCTGGATGAACAAATGCCAGATGGGTGGCCCAGCAGATGGTTGGACGATAGATGGGTGGTTGAGTGCTGGGTCCCAGGTGCTGAGTGAACGAATGCAGAATGGTGACCTCTTGACAATTTCCTGACCCTTGATCTCGACTTTCCCAGCAGCATCCAACTCCAGACAGCCAATTCACATGGTCTATGTCCCCTCCCACCTCTACCACATGCTTTTTGAACTCTTCAAGGTAAGGGGGTGGGGAATGGTCCTCTATGGGGTTGGGGGTGGTTGGGTTAGGCTGCTCCCGTCCATCTCTTCCACCTTTCTCCCCCCACAGAATGCCATGCGTGCAACTGTGGAAAGCCACGAGTCCAGTCTTGTTCTCCCACCTATCAAGGTCATGGTGGCCTTGGGCGAGGAAGATCTGTCCATCAAAGTATGTGACCCTTGGTTTGGGGCCAGAGGGCGGTGGGGTGGGAACTTCCCTTCCTCTGGGAGATGGGCTCAGAGAAGATCCTGGGCATGGAGACGATCAAGAGAAGGTCGGGGGGGGGGGGGGGGTCAGAGCGTGGGCGGCATCAGCACTGATGATCTATCCGTCTCCCCCAGATGAGTGACCGAGGCGGGGGAGTCCCCCTGAGGAAGATCGAGCGACTCTTCAGCTACATGTATTCCACCGCCCCCACCCCCCAGCCAGGCACCGGAGGGACCCCGCTGGTGAGATGGCTTCTCTCCAGCACGAGAGGCCTGTCCTCTACCTCTCCCCGGCCAAGCTCCTCTGCCTCCCCTGCTTCCCCCCAATCCCAGCTGAGACCAGCCTTTCTGGCCCCACCAGACCCATGTCCCCCACCCCTGGGGGATTCTGGGAATCCCTGGCCCCACCCCCACTCAGCACACGGGTCCCTGCAGCTCCAGGAAGCCCAGCACCAGCCTCCTCATCATGCTCCCTTCCTGCCCCCTCACAGGCTGGCTTCGGGTACGGGCTCCCCATTTCCCGCCTCTATGCCAAGTACTTCCAGGGAGACCTGCAGCTCTTCTCCATGGAGGGCTTTGGGACTGATGCTGTCATCTACCTCAAGGTGAGGCTCCTTGACCGCAGGGCCCGGCTGGCAGGGTTTGCTGGTGCGTTGGCCTGCTGTGAGGCTCCTAAACCACCCCTCCCATCCTTTCCTGACTCCGGACTGAGAATCAGAGCACAGCTACAGTTCCCCAGCCCCCAGACATTCCCAACCTGGCAGGCAATTTAAGGAAGTCCACGGTCCATGACTAAGACCGCTGTTCTGGGGACCTTTGCCTTCTTACACCCAGGCGGAAGGGGGGTCCCGTAGAGAACTTCTCAGCCGGCTCAGGAAGAGACCGAGGCCCAGAGTCGGTGACCTTGTTCAAGGTCACAGCCCACCCTCCCTCTGCCTCCCTGACCCTTTGAGTGAGCAGCCTTCCTGAACAGGAAGGAATGAGGCACAGACGGGACAGGTCCTTTCGTGGGTCTTTCTGGGCCGGGGTCGGTGGTCTCAGCCGGTGGCTGGCCCAGACATGGCGAGTCACATTCAGAGGCCACCACAGCCCGCCCTGGGGAGGGGCGGGTGGGGCGCTGGGGGGCGGACCAGGCTGACCCTAGTGCTCCCCAGGCCCTGTCCACGGACTCAGTGGAACGCCTGCCCGTCTACAACAAGTCAGCCTGGCGTCACTACCAGACCATCCAGGAGGCCGGCGACTGGTGTGTGCCCAGCACAGAGCCCAAGAACACGTCCACCTACCGCGTCAGCTAGGGGCCGCCTCACTGCCCCATGCCTGAGAGGACAGACTGCCATCACCGGGATCAGCCGCCACGGTGACCCTCCCCGTCCCCCCCACCCCCAGGTGGGGAGAGGCTCTCCCTGATGACCAGTTTCTGTCTCTATGGAAATTATAGTGGTGACCAGTCCGTGGGGGCCCCTAAGTGCCAATCTCTCTCCATGGAGACCCCTGGGTGGCCTCCCCGTGGTTCAGTCTCGGCGGGTGCTGCCTGAGGGCAGGGGCCTATCTCCGACCTGATGGGGCGTCCCAGCACCGCATCTCCATGGCAGTCCTTCAGAGCTGCCACTTCTCTGCCAGGGGTTCTGCATCCCCCTCACTGTCCTCCACGGCCCTGGCCTTCCAAGGACGCCCTGCTTGCCTTACCTTCCACCCCAGCCCGTGCAGGCACCCTGGCCCTGGTCCAGAGTCTGCGTTAGGAAGCAGCCAGGTGTCCCTGGGTGGAGAAAGGCATTGCACCCTTGGGCCCTGGTCCTGCAGCGCCTCCCTCCACCCTGAGTTTTGAAGGTCAAGGTTAGGAGGCGGGAGTTCTCACCCAGGGCTCAGCCTTAGGGTGGAGGAACCAGGGAGGACCCGGAGATGAGCGGCCCCTAGCCGGGCTGCTCAGAGCCTCTCAGGCACCTCCCAGGCCCTTCCCTGCCGTGTCCTCACATGCCCACCCCTGCCTGCCAGCCCCACACCCCCACGGGTCCACCTGAGCTCCAGACACCCCCACCCTCCGTGCCTGGACACGCACACGCTTGGGATGGCCTTCTCCCTAGAATGCTCTATGTACATAGCTAGTTTTATAGCCCCGAAAGGCCCCCCCCCCACCCTCCCCTTAGCACACAGGGGTTAAAGTCGTGTGTCCCTCCTAGTGGCTGTGACGATGGCCGTGACATCCACAGTAAAGAGGAGACAAACGAGACTGCGTCCTGGCTGCTTTCCTGGCAGGGGGGAGGTGGGGAGGGAGAGCCGCATGCACTGGCACGCGCAGGCTGTAGTCCCAGTGATCACCACATGACGCGCTCAGGACACCCAGCGCCGGGCATGACTCTGTCTACCCAGGCAGAGCCCTCCATTCAGAGCACCTGACACCACAGCACCTGCCGCCCCCCTCCCCCCCCCGCCGTCCCCCGGGGCCCAGCGCAGCCTCCCGACCCGGCCCAACTCCCCAGTGGGGGCAGACAAAGGTCACTGGCACATCATAAGTGTTTATTGAAATAAATTGAGTCCCACCCCCCCTTCACATGCAGGTGGGCACCCATATAGCTCCTGATAGCTTCAAAGGCCCCGGGTGCCTTCCAGCCTCCCCGCCAGCCCCTCCAACAGGCGCACATGGTGCCAGTGCCCCCGGATCTCCGTCTCCCTCTGAAGCCCCTTTCCCTGCACAGACAGCAGAGAGGAGCCGAGGGTTGAGTCCCAGGGACAGCACCCCAGCTGTAGCATGGGCGGCCTCGAGGCCAGAGGGCCCCGAGCAGGAATGAGGGGGGTCGGCATGCACTGGGTCCTGTCCACCACTCCAGGCAGGCGGCGGCAGAGGGGGACTCCTAATCAGAGGCCCCCCCCGGCCCCACCGGTAACTGGCCGCTCCTCCAGAAGCTGGGCTAGCTGCTGGCCAGTGCTGCACCTGAAAGCCCCACCTTCTAAGGACAGATGGATGTCATCCCTGCACTGCTGGGATGGATCCCACCCCTACCCATGGGCCCGGCCCCACCCCTCCTTGTGACCCAGGGAGCCAGAACTGCCCGCCAGTTCTGGAACCCACGGAGGCCCAGGCAGGAACCAAAGCAGATGCGGGAGGGCCGATGAGCCCTTCCCACGGCTCATGGGGAAGTGCCCAGATTGTGCCTCTCTACCTGGCTAGCGGGGAGGATTCACCCCGTTCAGTCCCACCTAGGCACTGGTGGGGGTATTCTGTCACCCTCCCGGCTCCCACGTTTGCTCTGTCCCCAGAGAGACCTCAGGCGTCCTCTGCGGGAGCAACAGAAGTGTGCCCTGTGTTCGAGAGCAGGTCAAAGAGCAGGCCTTGAATGGGCCCCAGAGGGACAGATCAGTACGGATGTCCTCTAGCCACTGGGACCCACAGGACAGGGAAGGGGAAGGAGAAGCTTTTATCCTCCCTGCCCGCCCCCGAAGGCCTCGAAAAGACCACGCCGCTTTCTCTGCTCTCCCCGTTGAGGCGTGCAGACTGAGGGGCTACCCTGAATGCAACTTGCTACGGTGCCGCCCGGCCTCCCTGGGGAGCACAGAGCTGTCCCAGCAGCACACTGCCACCTCGGAGAGCTGGAGAGGGGCATCTCTACCCCCTGACTCGTGCTGAGATGCCTCCTACCTCTCCAAGGCCTGGGACCCTGGCTCCGTCTCAGGGCCTCTAGAAGGCAGGCGGGCAGGCAGGTGTCCTAGCTCACGGCCGGCCAGCACCGCCGTGGCCCGAGGGTGGAGGGTCAGGCCGACCCAGGTGGCCTCAGGTCTCCCAGACTTGTTCGGCCCCCACCTGTCTGCCCTCTGCCCATAACCTGCCAGCTCACCTAGGGACTGTGTGCCAAACAAGTCCTTAAAATTGGATTTATTACTGGGCCCTCTCCTGGGGTCTCCCTTTCTGGGGGAATCTGGGTCCAGACCGAGTGACAGGGTGAGAGAGGGCACGCACCCCCCTGAGCGTGCGGGGCGGGGCCAGGCCAGCCCAAGCTTGGCCCGCGGGCCCCGCCTCCTCACTGAGGCCTGTGCCCACCGAGCCAGGCGGCCACCAGCGCCTGGGTGCCGGCGCCTGCCCCCTGCCCTCCCCTAGCTCTTCTTGGTCTCCTGCTCCCTGCGCCGGAGTTTCTCCCGCTGCCGCGCCGCCTTCTCCTGGGCTTTGCGCTCCTTTTCAGCGGCCGCCGCCAGCTCCTTCACCTTGCGCTTCACCAGCGCCCGGTCATGTGAGTTGCTGAGCCCCAGGCTCTGGGGAGGAATCAAGGGTGAGGGAAGGAGCCCCAGAGCCACCCTGGACCCTGGCCGACCCGAGCCCCAGGTTCTCTGTGCCCCAGATGTAAGCTCTGCAAGCCCTCCACCTCCCAGATGTGCACGCGGAGCAGAACCCGCAGGGCAAGAATTTGGAAGGTGGGCGGTAAGAAAAGATGCGGGTGGCGGATCATTCCAGACCCTTAGCCCCTGCCCCTACCCCTGGCAATCCTCAGCCCCCATTCCGCCACTCAGGATTTCAGCCATGGCATGACCCCGCCCAGCACCTCCGGGGCCCAAGAGAGCGAGTGACTTGCCCAAGGTCACACAGCTAGTCAGCAGCCGAGGTCCCTCCCCACTCAGAGACTCCCTGGGGACCCTCCTCACCACCCCTTCCCCAAGCGGTGCAGCAGAGGGTGGGGAACAGGCCAGAAATCTCCCAGCACGGAGATCTGAGGTGCCCCCCCCGACCTCCCTGACTACCAGCACGTGCCAAGACTGAGAATCAGGCAAGGTGATCCGAGAGCGGCCTGGTTTATGACCCCAGGAGACTCAAAATCAAGAGTCACGTGAGATGATGGGCCTGGAGGTCAAGGTCAATCTGGAGACATGGGATGGAACTTGAAAGTCAAACTGAAAGCCTGGCCTTGAGTTTCAAGTCAGACTGGGGACTCATGCTAGATTAGGCCACGGACCTTGCCCAGGGGTCAGAGGTCAGGGCAGTAGCCACACAGGAAGTGAAAGATCAGGGTGAAGGGGTCCCAGTCCCAGAAGGCTGCCTCGGGCTCTGGCTGGGGGCACGGCTCAGCTCCTCTGACTCACCTTCAGTTTGCTGCCATCCAGCTGCAGGAGCTGGGGCCCATCCACCTGCCGCGCCTCGAACTCGGCGGCGTACTGCTCCAGGTTGAGGCTGTGCAGCCACTGGCTCACCTGCTGACTGGTCCAGTGGTGGACAGTGGGGAGCGGCTCATCCAGGAACTGGGGTAGAGACCAAGGATGGTGAGGGGGGCGGGCAAGGCCTGGCCTGTGGCCTGCACACCCGGTGCCCAGAGGTCAGGGCTGGCTCACCTCATCCGAAGACTGGGATAGCGTGTGGTAGGGATAGGAGCACTTAGTCTCCTGCCGGGGACCGCTTGGGATCTTGGGGCTGCCGCTGGGGGGCGTGGAGTCATCGCTCAGGGTGGATTCCTAGACAGGAGAGGGGTGCGTGCCGCTGAGGAGAGCTCACCTGCGAGCCCAAGGGAGTCCCCCCAACCCGCTGCCCCGACTGGACAGAGCTGGAGCTGGGGACGGGGCACCTGGACTTGCTCAGTGCCTCCTGTGCACGAACCAGGAGCCAGACGGGCACGTATGACATGGTGGCTTGTGGGAGGCATCAGGGTGTAAGGCTTCTGGGAGCACGTGGGGCTAGAACTGAGGCGGAATAGTTAGCAGGAATGGAGGAGGTCTCAGACCACTTCCTACAGGCAGCCAACCAGGATTCCCCCAGGAGATGTCAGGGGTCCTCCTTCGTGCCTCCCCACCACAGCCCCTGGCGCCCTGGCTGGTAAGTGCCTGAGTAGAGACCATAAGCTCTCTGAGGCCCTGGGCTGTCTGTTCACTATGTTCTCCCAGGGCTCAGCACAAGGGAAGGAAGAGATGGAGGGAGTCCCTATAGGGGAAGAGGGGATAAGGAAGTGCCGGGTCCGAAGGAACTCTTCCCCCCCCCCCCGCCCCGGACTCCCAGCTTTCTGATCTCCTCGGCTCTAATAGCACAGAAGGCACAACCACAGAACGGGCTTGGAGCCTGGGAAGCGACCCGCATCGCAAGTCCTTCTCTCTTGGCCTTCCTTCCTTCATCTCTACAACCGGGGTAGGTGCCTGCGCTTTGGGAGAGCAAAGCAAAAGCGCACACCTGGAGCCTCGTAAACCGCAGAGAGCGGCGTGAGCACAAGCAGACACTATTGCCCCGCCCCGGCCCTGGTCTCACTTCTCGCTGGCACTGGCTAGTCTGCGTCCCTTTTATCTCTCTTTCCTCCAGGCCCCAGTGCACCACACAGGTGGCCCAGCTCCGAAGACCGGGCGTGGAGCCGGCAGGAGAGTGAGCGCGAATGCCAGGGGAGGCCTAGCGTTCAGGGACGCACACATTGAATTCCGTGAATGAAACTCAGAATATGAATGAGTGAACGAGGGAAGGAATGAACTCAGAGAACGAGAACGGATGAACTAAGGAATCACCGAATGGCTCTGGGGACAGACAGATGGACTCTGGGAATGCCACCTGAGTCTGGGGCCTGCACAGCGGCGGGGGGGAGGGGGAGGGGGTGCAGGAAGGCCGTGCATTGACTCACCTGAGAAGCTGACTTCTTAGGGCTGAAGCCCTCATGTTTAGGAGAGCAGGCGGGGGAGGTGGTGCTCCCAGAGGACGCCGAGCCTTTGCCGCTGTCCGTGAACCAGGAAAAGGGCAGGAACGGGGAGCCCCCTGACCTGCCACCGGACCCCTCCACTGACTCCCTGTGGAGAGAGCACCCTGCGTGGCTGTGGGCACCAAGGTGAGGGCCGGGCCCATGGGGAACCACAGGCGGAAGCCGTGGCTGAGGGGCTCCGGGTACCGCATACCTGCTGCCCATGGACAAGCGGTTGCTGCCCTTGTCCTTCCGGCTCTTGCTAGTGGATGCTCGGCGTAAGGTGACCCTGTGGGGAGGGCAGGGGGGAGTGAGGCAGTGCTGCCCACTGTGCTAGCCTGTGCCCAAAAGCTCCTAGCCTTTGCTTCTGGCCCCTTCTCCACTCACCCCAGGTCCAGGAACTTTCGACGCGTCTTCTTATCCAGGCCGATGGTGGGGCTGGCGGGCTCGGGTGGGCTGGCATCCCGGCTGTCATCTTTTGCAGAAGGGAGGGAAGGGAATAGCCTGTGTGGTCACTTACCTGCCTCCTTGGGCTGCCGGTGTGAGGTGGGAGAAACTCTTTTGCCTTAGAATCAGGTAACTTGGCTCTGGTGCCCTTCACTAGCTGTGTGACTTGGGACAAATCCCTTTACATCTCTGAGCTTCCTTTAGCTCAAATATAGGAATAATAACACCTGATCTACAATAACACCTATTTTGTGGGATCTATAAGAACACCTGCCTCTTTCAAGGAACATTTACAAAAGCCTTATATAAACCATGAAAGAGTAGGGACTGCTACTCTTTACTGTTCATCTTATCCTGACCACTTCTTTGGTTTGTTTGGTTTTTTTTTTTTCATTTTTTATTGTTTATTTTTGAGAGAGTTTTTTTTTTCATTTTTTAATGTTTATTTTTGAGAGAGTCAGGGCACAAAGGGGGAAGGGCAGAGAGAGAGAGGGAGACACAGAATCCAAAGCAGGCTCCAGGCTCTGAGCTGTCAGCACAGAGGCTGATGCGGGGCTCGAACCCATGACCCATGAGATCATGCCCTGACTGAAGTTGGAGGCTTAACAGACTGAGCCCCGCAGTCTCCCCAATCCTGACAAACTTCCAACCAGCCTTCCCATCTTGGCTCCCAAGTCACTTCCTCAGAGAAGCCTTACAGGAGGCTCCCAACTAGGTCCTTTCACCCTGCTATGCACCCTCCAGCCACCGTGCACGTTGCTCCCATAGCACTTATTACAACCTGTAACTATACATTTAATTAAGGGGTGATTTGATCGCTTCGCCCTTAAGCAATCAGGAATTATTAGATTGTCTCTCCCTAAAATGGCAAGCCTCGCGTGGGAAAAGACTGCACCCGTTTCCTCCCCTGGGCGCCCCAGCGCGCAACAGTGTCCAGCACATAGCAGGAGCTCAGTAAGCAAATGAGCGAGCCGTAATGCGTCCTCCTCCCTCCCCTCACGCTCCTGCCTCCCCCCCCCCCCCCCCCCCCCCCCCCCCCCCCCCCCCCCCCCCCCCACCCCAGCCACTCTGCCCTACTCGGTCCAGCGCTATGCTTCGCTTTGGGGCCGGTGCAGCGGCCCAGGGACCGGCAGGGGCCGCTGCAGTCCCGGCGCAGGCCAGCAGGGGGCGCCGCGCCGACCCCGCTCACCTTCGCTGTGCGGCTCTGCGCGCGGGTGGCGGCGCACGAAGCTGGGCGAGCTGTCCGAGGAGGGCGCGGAGCGCGGCGGCGAGCAGGAGGCGGCGGCCAGGCCCTCGTGCGAGGCGGCGTTGTGCAGGGGCCGGTAGCGTGTGAGCGGCGAGGGCGGCGGCTCATCTTCGTCCAGGCTGCGCCGCAACCCCGGAGGCTCCAGGCAGAAGGAGCCCCCCCCAGGGGACCCGGGGCCCGAGTGCAAAGGCGAGCGTAGCCGGTGCAGGGGGCTCCCGCAGCCGTCTGTCACCTGGGGGAAGGGCAGCCGCTCACTGCCAACCCTCCTCCCCTCTCCCCCCAGGGCCTGGGAATTGGTTTCACCCCTTAAACTGCAAGGGAGCCTCTGAAGCGAGGAGCCCGGGCTCTTGGCTCCTTCAGGGACCTTGGAAGGAAGGGTGTCCTCGGCCCCCGGGGGTGGGGGGCTGGGCCGTGAAAGGTGGGAGATGGGGGGCCTTGAGTCATGTAGGCTGGGGTTGAACCCCACTTTCCTCACTTCCTAACTGCGTGAATTTGTGACTGAACCTCTCAGAGCCCCAGTTCCCTCACATGTAAGATGAGAGTGATGACACCTTGGGTGAAATCTGACATGAGCCGGAAGGGAATGCAGGTAGTTTCTTGTTGGCGTTAAGATGTCAGGAGCCTGGGAGTGTGGTTTCTCTGGAAAAGGGTTTGGAGGGATGGGGGGGGGGGCAGGCAAGAGGGTGGGTCGGGTTCGTGTGACTGGGAGGGTTGCCCCAACCTTGCCTCCGGGCCCGTCAGAGCCTTCGCCGTCCTCTGCAGAGCTGGCGCTGTCCCGAAGCCTGGAGCGGGAGGGCCGGTGTCTCCGGCCCTTGGCCAGGAGCTGGGCTCGGGCCTTGTGTAAACTGCTGTCCAGTCTGACGGTCTCTGGCACCGCCAAGTCCAGGTCTGTGAACCAGGTGAAGGGGGCGGAGAGCAGACCGTGAGGACAGCAAGCCCAGAGGCCAGGCCGCCGCCTGCACTCACACCCCAGACCGTCACCACGGCGCTGGGCCACGGGATGGAGATGGAGAACGGGGTCCCTTGTGGTCTCTGAGCAAGCCAGACATGTCAGCACCTAAATACAGCAGCCGCTCACAGGCACCAAGGAGGACGGGATGGTCCTGTGCGGATGGGTCAGGGGAGGAAGCACCAAGGCTGGTCTAAGGTCCGGGTGGGAGTTTTCTTTTTCTTTTTTTTAATTTTTAAAAATTTATTTTCTGAGAGAGAGAGAGACAGCGTGAGCAGGGGAGGGTCAGGGAGAGGGAAATATAGAACCTGAAACAGGCTTCAGGTTCTCTGAGCTGGCTGTCAGCACAGAGCCTGACGCAGGGCTTGAACCCAGGAACCGAGATCATGACCTGAGCCGAAGTCGGACATTCAACCGACTAAGCCACCTAGGCGCCCCCAGGTGGGAGTTTTCAAGAGAGGAGGTTGGCAAGCTGCTGTATGCACTGCTGGGAAGCAGGGAAGCGAGCTGGGCGCACCTCCTTGGTACATGCGGGGTAGCTTTGTGCAGAGGAGGGCTGGGGATGAGGCTGGACAGATCACGGTGACCACAGCCACCATTTAAGAAGCACCTACTGGGGCGCCTGGGTGGCTTAGTTGGTTAAGCGTCAGACTTTCGCTTAAGTCATGATCTCACAGTTTGTGGGTTTGAGCCCCGCGTCGGGCTCTGTGCTGACAGCCAGCTCAGAGCCTGGAGCCTATTTCAGAGTTTGTGTCTCCCTCTCTCTCTGACCCTCCCCTGCTCACGCTGTCTCTCTCTCTCTCCTAGAAATAAATAAAAATATTAAAAAAAAAAAAAAAAGAAGCACCTACTATGTGCCAGAATGTTCGTACATCACCTCATCTACTCAAAACAGCCCAGTGAGCCAGGGGCAACTATTAGGCACATTTTACAGCTGAGCAAACTAAGGCTCAGAGGGGTCAAGTTCTTGGCCGAAGCCACCAGCTAGCTATGGTCCGGGATCTGGGCCCGACTAGTCTGGCTCCAGAGACTGGCCCTGCTGGGACACTGGCTGGCTGTGCCGTGCTCGGGGTTGGTCCTCAGACATAGCACTGCTGAGAAGGCTCATAGCTTGACCCGGAACACAGTAGCGGAATCAGGGAAAACCCAGAGTCCGGGAGGCCTGTCTCTGCCATCCCGGGGGAGGGAGGGGTAAGGGGGTGGCGGTGGCACCAGGCTGGGTCCTGGATGAAGACGTGGAAGAAGAACTAGGCAAACCGAATGGATCGTGCAAAGACCCAGCTGCTCCTAGTTTTCCTTCCCATTTGCTCCAGCCGGGAATGAGGCCCTCACTGCTGCATCCCCAGGCTTGGCGCTGGGATCTCGAGGCAGAAGATGTCCCTCCCCAGATCTCAGAATGGGTTAAGACCTTTCTTCCCCACTCCACCCCACCCCACGATCTCAGGGTCCCCCATCCAATCGCTCCTGCCTGCCCTGCTTTGCTGCTCCCCTAAGCCACCCCAGTTGCTGGCCCGACTTAACTACCACCTACTGGGTCATCCCTGACCCCTCCCTGAATTCCAAAGCCCGGGACACCTCCGCACCGACCAGGGACCTCGCCGTGTCGAAGGCACCCGGCTCCTCCAATCATCTGCCAGAACGAACCCACCACCTTGCCTCAAACTGGCTTCCCCTTTGCTCCTCAGCTCAGCCACAGGGTCCATCCTGGCCACCCAACTCAGCCCCAAGCCACCCTTGGGCCCCAGCTGTTAGCTCTGCTTTCAAAATACCTCTAGACGTACTGAAATATTGATGGTGAGATGATACGATGCTTTGGATTAGGTTCAAAATAATCCAGGGGAACAGGAGTGGAGCCCTCAAGGCACGGAGATGGAAGAGTGGCCGTGAGCGGATGACTGCTGAGGCCGAGTGACAGTACGTGGACGCACCGTGCATGTCATGCCAGATGTTGTTTCTACGTGTCTGCGCGTGCACACACTCACATACGTGCAAACACATGGGGAGGAAGGGGAGAGTGTGCAGAGGGGAAGGGGAGGCAGGGAGGGGATGGGAAGGCAGGGAGGAGAGGGGGACGCACAGCCTCCCTGGTCTAGGTCACTATCACCTCCCGCCTCAGTGATTACAGAAGCCTCCCAGCTGGTCTTCCCTTGTCCCTCCCTTTCCCATTTCCAGTCTATTTTCAACACAGCAGTGGCCAGAGTGATCCTGATAAAACATGTCAGCCCTTGTCACCGCTCTGCTCAGAACCCTCTGGGGATTCCTATGTCACGCAGAGGACATGCCAACTCCTCCCCGTGGCTTTCCAGACTCAGTCTGCGCTCCCCTTACCTCCCTGAGCTTCTACTTCTCTCCCCTGTGCTCCCTCCACTCCTGGCCATCCCAGCCTCCTGGCTCTTCCTCACATAAGCCTCACCTGCACCTCAGGGCCTTTGCACTTCCTCTGTGCTTTTCCTGCAAGGCTCTTGCCACGGGTCTCGGCATTTCTTTACCTCCTTCAGGTCTTTGCTTACATGCTTTCTATCACTGAGGACTTTACTGACCACTCAGCTTCTAATTCTGGGAAGGGTGGGTCCCAAAGCCAACAACATAAAGTCCATATGCCTCAGGCCTCCAGACAAGGCTGGAGGGGTCCCAGCTCCCGGTCCCAGCTCCCCCTTTCTGTGTTCCCCACATCTCCTCTGTACAACATGCTCGTATAAGGACCACGGTTAAGAGCCGGGTTCCTGGGGCTGAATCCAGTTCTGCCAGTTGCTGGCTCGGTGATTCTGCACAAGTTACTTACATTTAGATGTTGGCTTCCTCATCAGTAAAATGGGGTCATAACAGGAGTATGTGCCTCACAGGGAACATTAACTAAGATCACCATGGAAAGCCGTGCCAGAATGCCTGCAGCTAGGTGCCCAGCAAGCGCGAGCTGCTGGTGGTGCTGGTGACAGCGGTACTAACCTACTGACCACGCCTGGATCCCTGTCTCCACCTGCCTCTGTTTGTGCTGCTCCCGCAGCCCTCTCCGCTCCACCCCTTCTTTGTCTGGCTGTCACCTTGAGTCCATATGCCGCCAGACCCGCAGGACCACCACCCCTCTGCAGGTCTGGTGCCATGCTCTGGCCGGAAGTGACTGTCCCGTGCAGGCTGCACGCTGCAGAGGCTCAAGCCCTTCGCCACCCACTGTGTTCTGCGAGAGCTGGCACAGGGCCCGGCGGAGAGGAGGTGGTCAGTCGGTGTTTGATGTATCAAAGCCAGTGACACTATGGGGATCAGTGCGGAGCCAGGTGGAGATGGATTCAAGATATCAGAAGGGGCTGATGTGCACCTGTCACATCCGCGCTTCAATCCGCTACAGAGCACTCCTTGTGTCGTCGTGTGTGCTTTAGCGTGGGTCCCCCGCGTGCCCCGGCACTAGAACTCACGCTCCTTCAGGGCAGTGACTCTGTCTGGTTCGTTCAGTACTGTCCCCCTGGTGACAGGAACTCAGTGGTATTTGTGGAAGGGCTGAAATAGACAGGCGGGGGCTGGAGGGTGTAGGTTAGGGAGCCAGGCTGAGGTCTGGGCAACAGTAAAGAGCCAAGGTTGTATGGAGGGAGAACAAGAAAGAACTTTCCAAGGAGAAGGGAGGGCGTGGGCCAGTGGAGCTTGCAAGGAGAGGGGACTGGCCCGGATGTAGGGGAGGGTGGACCCGTGGAGACTGTCACAGTGGTCCAGGGGCAGTGGTGGAGGCTCTGCGAGGGGAGAGGTCCCATCAAAGGACTGCTGCTTTGGACCCCAGCCTTGACACTACCCCTCAGGATGGAGCCGTCTGTCCCCTGCTCCCTGACACAGAATCTCCAGCTTTATCTCCAAGCAGCAAGGATTAAAGACTGGACCACAGAGTAAGAATCGCTAATACTTACGGAGCCCTCACTGTGTGGGGCACCGGTTCTAAGTGCTTCACAATTACTAGCTCACTTGAACTCCCCACAACCCTAGGAGGAAGAGACTCCGGGAATCCCCAGGGCACAGCCTTAATGTGCCTGAAGGCACGTGGCTGATGAAGAGAGGGGCCAAGGTGACAGGCAGTCTGGCTCCAGGGGCTCAGTGCATAACTACCAAGCCTGCTGCACCTCCTCGGAGGCAGAGACGGGGGGCACCTTGTGAGTCCAACCTCTCATTTTACAGGTGGGGAAACTGAGGCCTCGGACAGGCAAGGTTTGGCCAGAGGTGCAGGAGGAGTTAAGGACAGGCCTCTTGGCTCCCAGACTAGTGTTCTCGCTGTTCTGGGTGGCCTGGGCATGTTGCTGCTGAACTTCCTCGACCCCTCCAGCACTCAGCTGGTGTCCAGCCACCCCAGGGCCAGGGCGGAGGACCCTTTGCTCCTGACTCGGGGCCACAGCAGGACAGCAGGCAGCTTACCTTGGAGGGGGCAAAGGCACTTCTAAGGGGCTTAAGTGATTTTAAGACGAGGTGGAGTCTGTCTCTCCTCTGGTCCCTGCTCTATCTGGCTCCCTGGCCTCCCTCTGTCTCTGTGTGTCTGTCTCTCTGTCTCTCTCTGTCTCTCCCCAGCAGGGAGCTAGCCCAGCCCAGGGCACTGGGGAGTCATGAATATTTAATTGCCTTTTCGCATCAGGAAGGCGGCAAGGCGGCCAGCTACCTCAGCAGGTCTGGGAGAAGGAAAAACCAGCAGAGTTGGGGTTGGTGGGGGTTGAGGAAAGGGCCAGGCCTGGGTGCAGACGGTGAGACTCTGTCTGAGGCGCAGATGCAGCTGGAGGCTGGAGGAGTCCAGGAGGCACACCACCCATTCCACGGGCCCCGGGGAGGCCAGGAAAGCGGTTTCCCAGGAGCCAGGAGCCAGGAGTTCCTGGCATTGCCAGGGCGCATGGCCACACGGGAGAATCGGGTGAGCAGGGGAGGGCAGGTAGAGATGAGAAGGCAGGAGAGGAGAAGCGGGGAGTCCCCTGAGGCCGTGCGCACAAGTGTGACAGTCCTGAGCGCGGCACATGGGCCACGCGCTTCCGGTGACCTTTTCTGTCTCCACCTCTCCCTCCACGTGCCTCCACGTCCCTCCCACTGACTCTCCTCCGCCAAAATCCAGCTGGGAAACAGCCTTGCCGCCCCAGTGCATGCTGGGAACCCGGCCCTCTCGGGGTGGGGTCTCTCTCCAAACCACACAGAAGAAAGACTGCAGGGGGTATATGATGGATCGTACAGGTGCGTAAAGAGGGGGCCCGGCCTGGGGGTACAGGGGCCCGTATGTCCTACACATTTGATTTCCACGCACACCCTGCAGGCTGAGGTCCGTCCCTGTGGGATGTGGAGGTAATGGGTATCACCTGCGCTGGGGACACAGGTGTGCGGCACAGTGACTGAGAGCAGGCAGGCAGGCTGGAGTCCCAGTTCCAACTCTGCCACCAAGCTGCCATCGGATCTTTAAAGCAAGTCTGTATGTAGCACTCCGTCTGAACAAAGAGCACACCTCCTAGCATTACTGTGGGGAGTAAATGAGCCAGAGCCTGGGAGATGGAGGTGCTAGCCTACTACCTGGCATGAGGCAGTGCTTCATAAATGAAGACCCTTATTGTTGTTGTAACTGGCATAGGTAGTAATGACAAAGACTCGTGCTGTCACCCGCACACTAACACACTGAAGTCCCAGAGGGACTCCCCCCAATGCCGGTGGCCTTGGATAGAGTTATAGCAAACAGAACTTACCAAAAACCTCATCCGCAGGTTCTCGTAGCTTTGAAGAAGCCATGACTCCAGGGAGCTGGGGAGGATCGGGTGGGAGAGAGAGAGAGAGAGAGAGAGACTATGGATAAGAGGTTCAGGTTGGTGGAGACCAGGGCACTGCCACTGGCTACCGGCTCCTAGCCTTTTTGGCCCCTCACCTTCCCTTAGAACTCTTCCTCCAGCCCCTTGGAAAAGAAGTCACCTGAACCATACGCTAGACTGTGAGCACTGGGCCAGGAGGCAGAAATGGAGGAGTAGAAAGGGGCAGGAGCAAACCCAGGGTGTGGACACAGGCTGAGTCCTGTGGCTTGTGGCCAAGCTGATTTGCTACGTGCTCTCACATGGCTCACGTGCTCTCACATGGCTCACTGAACTGCCCCCCTACAGTGTGCTGGGCCTTTCCATCATCACCATTCCCTAAAGACTTCTGGTCATCATACATTGTCCAACATCAAATCTGGGAGAAATCTTGGGGATTATTAAATCTAATGCTCTCATTTTACAAATAAGGAACAGAGGGGAGAGTGACTGGCTTAGGGCATATAACGAGCCAATGGCAAAATAAGGAGCAGAACCCAGGCTCTTCCATCCATCCACCTACCTACCCACCTATGTATCCATCTATCTACTTGCCCATGCATCCAACCATTCACTCACCCACCCACCATCCATCCATTCATTCACTCATCCATCATCCACTCACCCATCCACCATCCATCCATCCATTCACTCATCCACCATCCAACAGTTCACTTAGCCATCCACCATCCACTCACCCATCCACCACCCATCCATTCACTCGCCCATCCACCATCCAACCGTTCACCCACCCATCCACCATCCAACCATTCACCCACCCATCCACCATCCATCCATTCACCCATCCACCATCCAACCATTCACTCACCCATCCACCATCTATCCATCCATTCACCCATCCACCCATCCTCCCATCTCTGCATCCATTAATTCATACTATCCACCCATCCATCTTTCCATCTATCATCCAGTCCTACTTCACCTCCCTCCCCCGTCCCCCATCCCTGGTGTGCTCACCACCTGCCGTCCTGAACATGAGCTGTTCAGGAAGCTGGCACCATCAGCAGGGCCACTGTTCTTGACAAACTCACAGTTCTCACAGTTCCAGACAGACTCACAGATGCAGAAGGGTATGAGGAGTACTCACAGCAGAACAGTGGACAGCCAAATTTCTGTGATGCATCAAGTATGTTCCGGGAGGAAGTGTGATGGGTAGGGGTTTGGTTTGGTTTTGCGTTTTGGTGGGAAGCAAGAAGGGAGGCAGGTGGGGAAGCAGGATGTGCGATGCTATGTGCTGTGTACCATGTGGGCAGGCTTCCGAGCAGCCGTAGGACGGCAGCAGCCCTAAACCAAGGCCTGGGTGTTCGAGGGGAAGGGGAATACTGGACAGGAGGAGAGAGAGGAAGCTCAGGGGTGGGGTTGGGGGCACAGCGCATGGCGGGGAAAACGACCTCTGATTACTGCTAACACTCGGGTCCCCGTGGGCAGTGCAAAGGCACTGGGCTAGAAATGCATTTGACAGGTATGGGGAAGCTTGGCCTTCTGCTTGCTTTTCCAACTTTCCTCTTCTGTTATTACTTAGACACCATCTCTCTGTGAGCCATCCTGGCTTGAGATTCTTAGTATCCCCACTGCACAGATGGGAACACTCAGATGCAGGGGATAAGAGGCAGAATGCAACCTCAACCTCTCTCCTGCTCTTCAGCCCCATCCTGGGCAATGATCTGCAGTTTGGGAGGGTACACACGAGGAGAGGACGCTGCTGCGAGAAGGGAGAGGGGAAGAGGGAGGGGAGCTGGTCCATACCGTCTAGGATGGGAGAAGCTTCTAAAGCTATTCTTTTTTTTTTTTTTTTTTGAGAGAGATAGAGACAGTATAAGCAGGGGAGGGTCAGAGAGAGAGGGAGACACAGAATCCGAAACAGGCTCCGGGCTCTGAGTTAGCTGTCAGCACAGAGCCCAATGCGGGCTCGAACCCACGAACCGTGAGATCATGACCTGAGCTGAAGTTGACGCTTAACCGACTGAGCCACCCAGGCGCCCCTAGGATGGGAGAAGCTTCTAAACCACCTCCACCCCTGCTTGGGGCTGAAAGCAGGAAATGAGGTATGAGAAGGGGTCAGGGGCATGGGTCCCCCAAGAACTCTCTTGCCATTCTTGACCTCTGGTTGCCAGTAGCAAAGAAATTCCACAGCCTCTCTTCCTGCCTCAAGGGCCATCTTGGAAGCAAGGCTGCCCCCTAAGAATGAACGAAATTCCCTCCTTCAATCACAAAGCCTCATCTGCCCAGGACCTGGCTGCCCTCCTAGACAGCCCTCCTTCCTCCCATTCGTCCACATAATTTCTAAATCCACCCTTCCCCCAACCACTGAGAAATGGGGGATTTTTCATACTTCACTGATTCCCTAAATAGGTCATATCTCCCCTGCATCAGATGGGAGCACCCTGAGGAGAGGGGAGGGTATTCCCCCATCAGATTAAGGATTCTCTGAAGAGAAGAACTGCCTCTCACATCAGAATGGAGGCTCTCTGAGGTCAGCAGTGGGGCCTTCTCTCTTAGACTAGCTGAGAATGGAGGGAGACATGTGCGTTCTTCATTCAAAGTCCCAGTCTGGGGTGGAGACCCTCTTGTGGACGGAGTCCACTTTCAGGCACCCTCTGGGGGACGGGCCTTCCAGCTCACACCTGTGCCTAATCCATCCTGATTCAGCACAAATGGCTTTCTTTCCCTCCCTTCAACCACGAACTGCCTGGGGTGTGTGTATGTCCCCACCCTACACTGTCCCATGGGGAACTCTGGGAAACGGGCCAACCAAGCAGTCACTAGACCCCTCTCACCAAAACTGAGCTTTAGAAAACCACCCCCCTTCACACCCCTACACACACACACACACACACACACACACACACACACACTCATCTGCGCAATTTCAACCAGGAACTGCCTGGAGGTGGAAATGAAACTGTCCCTCTGGGCACGGGCTGAGCACGGGTGCTCCCAGGCCACTCCCTCCTCCCAAAGCTCCCAGTTCCCAGGGGAGTAACACCTATGATCTTTGACTCTTCTCTGGGAGTAAGGGAGGCTTTCTGGGAGCCAGGGAAGAAGGAGAAAGGGCGCACAGGCCCAGCAGGGGAGTGGGGAGGAGGAACCCGGACAGACAGGTTGGTGGAGGGTCAGTCCACAGAGCTGCAGAGAGAAGGAAGAAAGAGCAGGGAAGAGAGGAGCGGGGCCGGGGAAGCAGTGGTGGAGACGGGCTCCCTCGGGCCCCGAAGTGAGGCCCCAAGAAGGGCTGCCAGGAGAGACCCAAGGGGTGGCTGTAGGGAGAGGGGCGGGCCCCACAGGCAAGAGGAAAGGGGCCCGGGAAGAGAAGACAAGAGACCGAGACAGAAGTGCGACTGGGAACGGCTGGGAAGGAAAGGCCGGGAGGGGAGGCTGGGGGTGGGGGTGGCGGCAGCGGGGAGCTGGAGAAAGCGGCGCCCCCTCCCCTAGGCCCCGGCTGCGGCGGCGGGCGGCGGGCGAGTGGGACCGCGCTCCCAGCCCCGCGGAGGCCGGGGCACCTACCGCACTCCCGGTCGGGGCCGGGCGGCTAGTTTCTCTCGGGTCCAGCCGTCCAACTCCGCGCCGAGCAGGAAGGAGTTAAGCCCTCTCCCCCCTCCCCCAACCCCAGTTTTTTAAAATTAATTTCTCCGGGAGGGAGAGGATTAGGGATATAAATCCTATCTCCGCCCCCTCCCCCGACAGCCTGCCACCCCAGCTCCGCGCGGCCCCCCAGGGATGGGGAAGAAAGGCCCTGCCCGACCCCGCTCAGGGTCCCGCCGCGAGCCCCAATGACCCCAGCTCCGCTTCCCCGTCGGCGTCGGGGTCCTCACCTCCCGCATCCGTCATCTTCAGCGTCCGGCGCCGCGGGAGCCCCTCGGGCCCATGGTGCTCGGGGCGCGGGCCAGGCGGGGAGGGGCGGGGGGCCGTCACCCCGGCCGCGGGGGGCTGCGGGCGGGCTCGAGCCGCTCCATCCCGGGAGAGGGGCGGGCGCGGAGAGTCCCGGAGCCGGAGGCGAAGGGGGGAGCGGGAGAGCAGGAGAGGGTTTGCGGGGAGAGGGAGACGCGGGCGGGGCTGGACCAGAGCCCTGACGGGAGGATGCTCCGTGCGCGCGCGCGTGTGTGCGTGTGCGCGTGTGTGCGCGCGTGTGTGCGTGTGTGTGTGTGAGAGAGAGAGAGAGAGAGGGAGAGAGAGAGAGGGAGAGGAGGGAGGGACGGAGGGAACCACCTCCTTGCCGCCGCCCGCCGGGCCCCGCCGGATGCAGGCCCCCTGCGGGGCAGGACGACACGCGTCGCGTCGCGTCCGCTGGGGTCCGCGGGGGTCTCCCGGGAAGGGGCGGTGCGGGGGGCGCGTGGCGGGGAGGCAGGCGCCCGGAGACAAAGAGCAGAAGGGAGGGAGGGAGGGAGGGAGAGGGGGCGGAGGCGTCAGGACCGGAGGGAGGAGGAGGAGGGCCCGCGCGGTGGCCGGGCGAGGGGATTCCGAGTTGCAGCTACTAGTGGGGCCGCGGAAGTCCGGCGGGGAGAGGTGAGGCGGGGGAGCGGCCCCGCCTCCGGACCCACGGGGCTTCCGCCTCCTCTGTGCGGTCTGTGAGGGCTCCTGATTCATCCATTCAGCGGACGTCCACGGGCAACTTTGTGCGCCAAGGCCTGAGGGCACCGAGGGGAACAGAACCACCTGAGCCCCGGCCGTCGGGGCTCGCTGCGTTGTCAGGGGGACAAACCAATGGGGAGGCCCTCACAAGCCGGGTGTCGTGAGCCTCGCTTCACAGAGGACACTTCAGCGCAGTGAGTGCGCGCTGGAGGACGCAGGCCAGGCCTGGGGGTGGAGGAGGATGAAGGTGGAGGTGATCCGGCAGGTTCCCAGGTGGGGGTGTCGTATTGGCTACCCCTGTAGGCCAGGACGGGGTAGAAGTGCTGGGGGGGGGAGGTCGTTGGGGGGTGGCGGGCTAGAGAAGAAAAAGAGTGAGGCTGCTAAGGTGCAGGGGTGGAGGGAGTGTTTGCAGTTTAAACTGGGGGGGGGCAGTAACAGGAATGAGGGGCTCAGATTTGCTTTTTAGGATAAATCTTTTGGCTCCTCCGTACAGGGTGGATTGAAGAGGGCAGCCAGAGGCAGGGAGAGCCCTTGCCAGGCTGATGAGAGATGAGGGCCGTAGGCATGAAGATCACAGGTCCAGTTGAGAACTGTTCAGGATAGAGAATGGAAGAAATTGACCAGATTTGAGGGACCACTTGCCACTGAGGGAGAAGGAGGCCTGGCTTGAGGCTGAGTCCTGGAGTGGGGGGGGGGGGAGGCGGGCAGGGATGAGATCACACTTGGAGCAGGCCAGCCTAGAGGGAAATCGTGTAATAATCAACAACTAGCTACCATACTGTGATGGCGTAGGAGCCAGGCATTGCCCTAAGCACATTTCCCTGATTGTTAATGTCACCCTTACAATAGCCCCATGAGGGAGCTGTTTCTGTTACCCTCGCTTTAAGAGGGGGAAAACAGAGACTTTGAAAAATAAAAGTGGTTTGTTCAAGAGCAAATGGTGAGGTTGTATGGGGGGGGGGGAGGCGTCCAGAGCTCAAGGGGGAAATGGGCAGCCTGTAGGGATAGAGTTCTCCAATGGCCAGCTGGAGTCTCTGGCGTCACAGGTCTCTGAGGGGGCTGTGGGACGTGGCATGTTGAGCTGGGATGGTCTTGGGGGTCGTGGGTGAGGACAGAATGAATAAGCTTTAAGGGCTGAAGTTGTCCTAGGAAATCGGTGGGCATTTTAGGGATCTCTGTGTGTCTGGAATCTGTCGCCAGTCATGGAGGGCTGGCTAGATTGTGGAGAGCTGAGGACGGGGTCACTGGGTGACCTCCTAGAGGGCAGGGTCTGGGATCTTTAAAGAGGACATGGGGGCACCTGGGTGGCTCAGTCAGTTAAGCTTCCGACTTCAGCTCAGGTCATGATCTCATGGTTTGTGAGTTCTAGCCCTGCGTCTGGCTCTGTGCTGACAGCTCAGAGCCTGGAGCTGCTTCGGATTCTGCGTCTCCCTCTCTGTCTCTCTCTGCCTCTCCCTCACTCATGCTCATTCTCATTCTCGTTCTCTTTCTCTCTCTCAAGAATAAGTGAAATTAAAAAAAAAAAAAGAGGACATGGTTTTCAGGCATCTGGTGAGGTCTGGGTGGTAGGGTGGAAGGAGGGGCTGGGTCTACAGGCCCTATAGGGACTGTGGCCATCATGGGTATGGAACACCAGTGCTGAGGGGTGCAGGTTCTGCGGAGGAGGGTGCCTGCTGGGCCACAGGACCCAGAAGGACCCCCTGTTCCTAGTGATACCTGTACGCTTCTGGAAGTTCAGAAGATGCCCTTCGTCTGAGTTCCCTCCTCTATGGCAAATGCTGTCGTTGTGGCAAAGCTGACCCAAGCTCTGAGAACTGAGCTGGTGACGGCGCAGGGCTGAGGTAACCAGCCTCACACAGGCCTGCCCATAGCCACTTGGCGTAGCCCCAAGCACAGACAGATTTCATGGTCGTGTCACGTCTTAGGCCGGAGAAACTCAAAGCAAAGCCACGCAGGACACCCCCAGTCATGCGGCACGCTCAAGGCTTAGACATGGGGAACCGCTTGGTCCACCTTTTGAAACATAGTGTGGGACCCTCACATGATGCACGGGACACGTGGGGGCACCAGGACCCCACTCTATAGACTCAGCAACCCAGTCGGACCAGCAGAAGGTGTCACAGCCCCGACGTCTTCCTCCCCCCTCGCCAGGGTGGTCCAGCCACTTCATTTCTTGGGGGTTCCTGGCTAGGTTCCCTGAGCAGGGCCTCAGTGACCTCTGTCTCTGGATGCATGACCTGTGGCCTCATGGTTTGGTGTCTCTGCTCCTGGGACTTGGGCACCTGGATCTTTCTTCCCAGAAGTGTTCTTAGGCTCATCCAAGGATGATCCACTTGGAGAAGATGACCCGAGAGGCATGGACACCATCCTGGGGTTTCCACGTACCCCCAGCTGGGTGGCAGACTGGACGGGTGCTCTGTGGCCCTCAGGTGTAGAATTAGGATTTTTGAGAGGCAGGAGCGGGGAGCCAGAATCTGGCTTGACATGAGACTTGTGTGACAAAGCCATTCTCAAAGGAGCCATGCCTCAGGTGCTGATGGCCACCAGGGGCTCTGGTAGAGGCCAGTCACCTTGGGTGTTGTCCGCAACTCATCAGAGTGACCTTAAAGGGTCCTGATGTTGGGACTTCATTCCTTCAGGCAAAGGGGAACATGAGAACCCCCGGGGGGCCAGGCCACTGAGCACAAGTGCCTCGTGCTTCTGTTCTCTCACCTATACACCGACCAGCACCCACAGCAAGGCAAGGCCCTAGCCTTGGCCTCCTCCCCCCTCTCTCTCCCCTGTCTGGGACTTCACCAAATCTTGCCCTAGAACCCTGGTTCTAGACTCTGTAGCAACCAGACGTGCCAGCTCAGAGCAGGGGGCTAGAACGATTTAAATTTTCTAGCACCCTGGGGACAAAACCACTCGGACATGTCACCTCCCGCCTCCAGGAAACCTTTGATCCTCAGGTACCTCAGGTAAGGTACCTTGTGAGAGCGGCGACTGGGTATTCCCAGCAGGTTAGACTTCTCAGGGAAGGGACCTGCGGCTCGCCTTGCCCTTGCCGTTATCATTATCTAACCTGTCCTTTGAATTCAGAGGGCTCCTGAAAAGAGGAAATGCAACGGGCCTGAGGAACTCTCTGGAAACCCCAGGCCTCACCAGGAGAAATAGGTGGGTGCTGAGGGAGGCAATGGTGACGAGGAATTTGCTGGGAGCGGGAATATGGGATCTCCGTAGAAGGATCCTCACGGTCAGAGGGAGCACGGGTAGGAGGGGACCGCGGGGCACAGACCCACAACCCTGTCCCTCCCCCGCGAATCAAGAAACCAGTCAGCGACGCTCTGGGGGCTGCTTTTATGGGGGCGACTTGACAGAGGGCATGGTCCGTACAAAACCGGAAACAATACATACATATATATATTATATACAGAGACGCAGTCCTCCGGAGAGGCGGGGCGGGGGCGGTGCCGGCTCGGGAAACCGGAAGCGCCCCGCGGCCCCGCCCACCCTGCCCCGCCCCCTCCATCTGCCGGGGCGAAGAAGTGCGTAGGTCTGGGCTCTGAGACAGCCAGCTCTTTCAGGGGGTGGGGGCACGTCGGGGGGGCAAGAGGTGGGGTTGGGAGGGGCGAGAAATACTGATCGATGGCGTGGTCTATTTACAGGGGTCGAGAAGCCCAAACGGAGACGATGGGGGTTGTCTGTTTTTAAAAAATGAACAAAAATCCAGTCTGGGGCCGGGGCATAAGGAAGAGGCAAAACACAAGAGATGGATCCTGAAAGGGAAGGGGACCTGGGGGCGGGGGGTGGGGTGGGGCGGGGTGTCCCACCTCCCTTGGTCTAGTCCCCCCCCGATTTGGGGTTCAAGTGGGGAAACGGAGTGTATTTCACTTAGAAAGCAGGCTGCCAGCAGGGCAGCCCTGGTCTCCAAAAAGATGAGTAGTAGTAAAATTTTGCCCTCCAGTCAAAACATTGGAAAACTGTGGGTGTGGGTGGACCGAGGTGGAGTCTGCAGTGTCAGTACAAGTCTTCCAGGTGTGGCCCTGGGCAGGACCCGGACTCTCCAGTGGGAAATGCTCCCCTTGCCTAAGACCAGGGGCTCTGCAGCCCCGCCCCCTAAGCTGACCTCTCCTCCTTGGTTCTTCCCAGGCCTGGCCAGGCAACTTGGAGCGCACAGAGGCCACCGAACAGTTCCAGGAGGAGGCTATGGCTATTTGGCACCTGGGGGTAGGGAGGCACAAGGAAAAATTGAGGGCTGCTGCACCAGGAAAGGGGGAGCTGGGGACCAGGTGCCCTGGGCTCTCCCCTTTTCCCAAAGGATGCATGAGAAGTCAGTGCAGGGCCGGTCCCAGCCCCCAGGCTCAGGGGCGGTGGACTCTGTCCCTCCTGGGAGGAAGGGCCAGGATGGATGGGGGAAGGTGTGGAGGCAGCCCCTCCCAGCAGGAGGGTCAGAATGCAACAGAGACAGCACGATGATGGGGGATGGGGAAAGGGCCAAGAAGGTAGAATCTCAAGTCAAGAGGCCCAAGGGCCCGCGGAGGAGCCCGGGGGCAGGGAGCAGCCTCCAGGTGGTGAGATGCCGGGAGAGCCCCCAGCCCCATTCCAGTCCAGAGACAAAGGCTGGAGGTTGTAAAGTCTGGCAGTATGGTCTGCAAGTCCACGTGTCTGTCCACCCCCCAGGCCGACCCTCGGCATCCCTCCGCCTCCGTGCCTTGGCCCCGCAGGGCAAGAAGGAAGCCACTCTTCCAGCCACCTCTGTCTGCCCAGGCCCTCTGGTCCCTGAAGCTGGGGGAGGTGGGGCGGAGGGTGGGGAGTCGGGGCACCTGTCCCCAGGCTGGTAGGGGGCGGGGTGAAGTATTGAGGACAGGGGAGGGAGGACAACAGGAGGGGATTCATTATTGTCCGGTCAAGGAATGATTCCTGTTAAGTAGAATTGGAATTCCTCAGTGTCTGCAGGTTCCCTTCCAGTTCTGAGATCTGGCGAACAAAAGGGAGAGGGGGTCAGGCCCTGCCATTCCGCCAGCCCCTGGTGAGGACATGGTGACCCTGAGCCAGCACCATGACTCTCCCTCTCCCCGTCCAGGATCCCGAGGGGGCACTGGAGGGAGGGTCTGCGCGCTGCCTCCCCTCCATTCAGCCCTGCCCCCAGGACACCCCTGGGCCCACCTTGTCCAGGAGCTTGTCCATCTCCTCCTTCCTTGCCAGCTCTGACTCTTCCAGAACCCGGCGCTGTGCCGTCTCCTTCTTCAGGAACTCGATCTCCCTAGGGGTCGGCAGGGGACAGACCACGGGTGAGGGTGTGTGGTCTGGCTTCCATCCAAGGAGTCCCAGGGCCCTCAGCCCTGTCCTTAGCCCCACCTGAGCAGCGCTGTCCGTCTCTCCCTGTTCTTAGCTCAGGAGGCCCCAAGTCTTCCCAAAGACCCCTCACCATGGGGCCCCCCAACTTCTGTGCTCCTTGCCTCCTTACTCAGCCCGAGGTGGGGAGGCTCTGCCACCAGAGGCCTCTTGCAGTCTACCCTGGGCCAGGGACCCCCCCCAGGGACCCCCCCACACCCCCCAGCGCCCGGGTCGCGTACTTCTGCTGGTAGTCTTTGATGAGACGTTTGGCCTTGCTGTACTTGCGCTCCAGGGCCTGGTACTGGGCCTGGGTCTCCCGCAGGTGCTCGTCCACCGCCTGGCACAGGCTCTGGGCCTCGCCCCAGTAGCCCTCCAGCTTCTCCATGCGCTCCTTGTTCTCCTCGACGCTCTGCTCCAGCTGAGCCTTCTCCACCCGCCACCGCCCCTTCTCCTGCTCCAGGCTCTGCAGCTGCAGAGGGAGCAGCCGTGGGTCAGTGCGGGCCGCAGGGCGCCCCCATCCTGGCCCCTGGGGCCGGTCTCTGGATGATTCCTGCAGAGGTGGAGCCCACTGCCTGTGCGCCCCACCCCCCACAAACTAGTAACTGTCCTTGGCTGAGCCTGAGAACTAAAAACTGGAGAGGGAAGGGGCGCCTGGGTGGCTTAGTCGGTTAAGCGTCCGACTTTCGCTTAGGTCATGATCTCGCGGATCGTGGGTTCGAGCCCCGCGTCGGGCTCTGTGCTGACTGCCAGCTCAGAGCCTGGAGCCTGTTTCAGTCTGTGACTCCCTCTCTCTCTGACCCTCCCCTGCTCACGCTGTCTCTCTCTCTCTCTCCTAGAAATAAATAAAAACATTTTAAAAAAAACATTAAAAAAAATTTTTTTTAAGTCTCTGACCCCATGCAGCTGCANAAAAAAAAAAAAAAAAAAAAAACGTTAAAAAAAAAATAAATAAATAAATAAAAAATAAAAACTGGAGAGGGAAGAGGTGGGAGGTCGGCCTCAGAGCTCCCAGCCCGGGCCCCTGCGCCGCGCACACACCTAGCAGGCCAGAGGCCCAGTCCAGTCCCCGCAGAGCTCTCTGACCTGCGGCAAGGCACCTTCGGCCATAGGCCTCAGTCCTCCCGTCTGTGAAATGAGACTGCTTCCTGCCTTGCCAAGCTCTCAGGGCTACAGGAAGATGGTGGACGGGAAAGAGCAGAGCAGGTGAGGGTCGCCGTCGCCCTCTGTCACCTCCGCAGCTCTGGCCCTGCTGACCAGTCCCTGCGTCTGCAGCTTCCCACACAATCCTGGCTCCTCCCTCCCACCTTATCCACGTTCCTCGCAGGCACCCCGCCCGCACAAATCTATTCCTCCTTCCTGTGATCTCACTGCCATGCCAGGGCTCAGCCTCAAGCCCCTACCTGCCCCTCCGAGCTCGCTGGCTGCGAACGCCGCCTGCTGTGCCCCAGCCACGTGGGCTTTCCTGCAGATCCTCAGAGCTGCCACGTTCCCTCTTGCCACAGGGCCTTTGCCCGTGCCATTCCCTCTGCTCCCCTCCCCCACCTGCTCTCTCCCTTGCCCCACGGTCTCCCACTAGCTTACTTTTCGGCCCTCTGCTCAGCGTATCACTTCCCCAGAGAAGTCTCCTGTGATTCCCTCCAACAGCACCCCCCACACACACACACTCGGGCTGGATCAGGCTCTCCTGCTCTAGGAGCTCGACACCCCTGTATCCCCCTCTGGAGCCCCGTGTCAGCTGGTAAGGATGCAGACACCAGCGCGTGCACTGAGCCGCACAAGGGCAGGTGTCAAATGTGCATCCGCCCCCATAGGGACTGGAACAGGGCTGGGCAGGTGGACGGTACCCTGCTGGCCTTTACAAACACAAAGCAGGAACGGACCCTTGGCGCTCCCCCTCGCCTTCATGGCCTGCACAGAGCGGGGCCCATCATCTTGGCCTCAGAAACGCAGCTCCGACCCGTCCCTCCTACCCATACCCTGCGCCTGCCCTCTGGGCAGCCCTGGCCACCACGCCCCCCAGGACACCACCAGGGCCTCTGACTGGTTTGCCAGCCTCCAAGTCCTGCCCACCCCCATGTCCTCCGGCCCCACAGGCAGTGACCTTTGCCCCTTTATACACCCCCTGTGGCCACAGGACCAAGGCCAGAGTCCTCAGCGGGGAGTGGGGACCCTGCGAGGCTCAGACCATCTCGGCGGGCCAGCACCGCCTCCCACCTTGTCCCCGTAGGAATGGCTCCCACAGCCGGCGGGCCTCCTCCAAGCTCAGCCTCACTCCCCCTGGGAGTGCCCTTCCTCTGCCTCAGTCTCCTAAACCCGGCCCGGCCCCCAGCGGTGACCTCTCCTCCTTTCGTGTGTGGTGGGTGGACCGAGGCTGTGTGGCTCCAAGTCCCTTGCCCCCCACCATACCAGAAGCCCCGTGGCAGCGGGGGTTCTAATGTCCTGGCCCAGCAGGGGCCCAATACCCACGTTTCACAGGAAGTCCGTGTATCAACATGCCTGCGAGCACGTGGGCGCTCTGAGAGGGTGTCCGTGCATGGGACGTAAGCGTGTTTGTGCATGTCATGCGTGTTACCATCTGGTACCGTCAGCGTGAGCCCCGCTGTGAGAACACACGTGTCCTGGGACCCTCGTCCTGCGGGATGGTCATGCCTGTGGGTCTCAGCCGATGAATACAGAGCGTCTACATGTACAGGCTGATCACCTGGGTATACAGTCCCGTGAAGCAGGAGCCTCTGCGTCCATGCCGAGTGGGCGTCTCTAAGAGACCTTGGGGAGTGGGCCTGGGGCTACTACGTGCCTGGGGTCCTGGCTGGCACGTGTCAGTGGGCAGATCACTGAGTAGCTTACGTTACCGGGCTGTATAGGGGACCTGTATGAGACACCACGAATGTGAAGACTACATCTAGTGCAACCTAGTGTCATTCAGCGTAATCGCTCACAGCTCGATTTTTTTTTGAGCACCTATATTATGTGTCAGGTGCTGTGCTAAGGACTGTATACGCGTTATGCCCTCAAATCCCCTCAACGATCCTACAGTGTTGGCCCTATTATCGTCCCATTTTGTAGGTGAGGAGACTGAGGCACAGGGCAGCGAGCGGATGGTGGCACGGATGGGTCCAGACCTCATGCTTTTTACACCACGCTCCCTTGCCTCAGAGTAGCTTGTTTTGAGTCTGCCTGCGGGTGACGGACGAGTGGCAGCGTCCACAGGTGTGGAGGTAGGGGGTCGTCTTCCCCCGCCAGCCCTCAGACCCCACTCCCCCTGCTATATTCTTACCTTCCTTTTTAGCTGCTGGATCTCTGCCTCGGTCACGGCATGCTTGATCTGGAGCTGTGGGGGCGGAGAGGCAGGCGCTCAGCTCTGGCCCGAGGGGACCGCTCCGCAGGGCGGGATAATTGCCAGCTTGTGCCCTCCCCCAGCCCGGGGCCCCCTCCCCCTCTGCCCACCTCCTTGAACTTGTGCACCAGCTTCTCGGGCTCCATGTCCACGGGGGACAAGGCATCCTCATTTTCTGCCAGCTCAAACACCTCGATGGCCATCTCGCCGCCTGGGAACGTGGGGCTCAGCTCTTCTTCCTCGTCGGTGGCATATTCTCCCGTCTGTGAAGGGAGGGAGGGGACAGCACACCCTGTCCACCCCAGGCTCACTTGGCCCTGATGCGCAGCACTTAGACTGGCAACAGGTTTCCCAAGTCAGGCTGGGGGGGTGCTGCCCGGGGGCGTGGTTCAAGCTGGGCCCAGGGCAGTAGGCGTGGTTGGCACCTTCTGGGGAGTCCCCTGAGGGCACGGTAGTTCCCCCCATAGGACACAGCCTGTGCTTTTCCCTTTACACTATGGGTCCCCTGAGGGTAGAGGCCCTGTACGCCTTCCCGCCAGAGGAGGGACTCTTTGAAGGAGCTGTGTTTTTCTTGTAGGAGCAAGAAGGCTCTCTGAAGACAGAAAGTGTGATTCCTGCCATAAGACTCAAGTGTTCTTTGAAGGTAGGGATCCCCCCCCGGGTAGGGACGGGCGCCCCTCGCCTTCTTTACAAGGCCTGGGAAAGCAGGGGTCCAAGGATGGTTGTAATGCTCTGTCCAGCCACCAGGGGGCGATGATGCGCGCAGTCAGGCAGGGAGTCCCTACCTCCTCGTCGTCCTCCCCATACTGGGCGTATCTCTGCTCCATCATCTCCCGCTGCCATCGCTCCTGTTCCAGGGTCTGCTGAATCAGCTGGGCCACCTCACTCTGCTCGCCCGGCCGCTCCCGGCCGATCATAAACCTGCAGGGGCATCAGCGTCATATGCCTTCGCCTCCGTCTTCGCCTGGGTATTGCCACCATCCTTCCCTACTGGTGCACCACCTCCACATCCAGACCCTCCCAAGGGAGGTGAAACGAGAGGGCCGACTTCAGAGGCCGTGGAGTGTTAATAATGAATGGGGGAGCCGGGGGCCCTTACTGGGTTTCCTTCCCCAGGGAGGCACAAGGCCCACTAACCCTGGCAGCCAGTTTGGGGGGAGGGGCGATGTCGGTCAAACCCTCCCTGCTGGGCTGCAGGGGACAGGAGTTCAGAAGCTGCCTGGCCAGGGGGGCTCTTCCTCCACGACAGAAGAGAAAACGAGGCAGGGGGATGGTGATGCTGACCCATCCCAGCAGCCTGCTTCTCCATCCCCCTGCCCTGGGGCTGCGGAGGGGCTTCGTGTGTAACCTCCAAGCCCCCAAGCTTCAGGAAGGGGCGGGATGATGGTGCGTGGAGATTAGGACAGAGAGGAAACAGTGGAACTTCCAGGCACCAGCCCCTCCTCTCCGTGGCCACCCACATCCTGTTTCTGTCCACCGCCCTTTCCTGGGGGCAGTGCCCCTCTTGGAGGGGGCGGGGGGTGGTCTCTGAATGTTTTGCGGGAGCAGGACACAAGGAGTCTAGAACCCAGTTTCCTTCACTGACAGGCCAAGGGAGGTAAGGCCCCCAGGACCGCACAGGGGTGAGGAGGGAAGGATGAAGGGGCCTGGTGGGGAGGCTCCAATCTGGACCAAGTCTCCCTGCACATCTTGGTTCTCTGGTGAGTTAGTGACGGACACGTGAGGGAAGAATAAATCCAAGAGGCCAGTCTGGAGGTGTAGCGGGCCACGGGCCTTGAAGGCTGTGCTGGTGGCCAGCCAGGCTCAGGGGCTTGGGAGAGGACAGCAAGCGCGGGACAGGGATGCGGGCACAGCAGTTCTTTCGGGCAGGGGAGGCCGCGGCAGCCCCTCTGTAAGGTGGGCCAACCAGTGGCTCAGCTGGTTAATCGTCCGACTCTCGGAGTCAGCTCAGGTCATGATCTTAGGGTTTGTGAGTTCGAGTCCCGCCACGTTGGGCTCTGAGCTGACGGAGCGGAGCCTGCTTGGGATTCTTTTTCTCTCTGTCCCTCCCCTGCTTGCTGCTCTCTCTTTTTCATAATATATAAAAATAAACTCTAATTTAAAAAAATTATAAGGGGGGCTACCCAGAACCTTAGCCGGGTGTGGCCCGGTGGGCTGAGTGCCAGGACGAGGGCCAAACCTCCATCTGCTCCCGCTCCCCAGCCCGCCCCCCGCTCCCGACCCTTACCGCACGCGACCCTTGGTGTTCCGGAGCACAGAGGCTGCAAAGCTCTGGGTCACTCCCACCAGACTCGTGCCATCCACCTCCACAAGGAGATCATTCACTTGGATCCTGGGAGAGGCCACACTGGTTAGCGGGGCTCACAGGGGAACCGCAGCTGAGATAGAGGCGTTCCCCCTCCCATCCGGAACTTGAGGCTCAGTCCCCACTGGGCCCCGGTACTTTGTCTACTTGCATAAAATGCATGAGGCCAGAGGGTCAGGTATCCTCCAGGCTCACCGGTAGACGGTGAGCCCCGGGCAGGCAAAGCAGACACAGGCATGCGGGACCCGGAGTGGTGACAGTCACACCCCTGGCCCCTCCTCCGTGACACCCGACAGAGGGGGGCAGCATCCCAAGTTTGTTACCGCCATGCACGCTGCCAGGGGCCCGAAGCACAGGTGACACATGGTCCGCTTACAAGTTCACGTCTGCAGACCTGGGTCTGCAGATTTTCTGCCAAATGGCCAAGAGCCATGTAGCAAACCGTCGTCCTCACGCACCGGCCCGTAGGCTCACAGCACCCTCCCTGGGGCACACAGCCGCCACCGCGGTCCTGGTGTGGCACCAGAGGCCCTACTTCTCCGCACAAGGAGAGGGACGGGCAGGAAGGAACTGGCCGGATCCCTGGCCGCTGCCTTCCTCCACTCCTACCTCCCATGGAGCTCCAGGCCTCCTCTCCGGCCTCCTATGCGGAAATGGAGGAAACGGCCTATTGTGAAGAGCTCCCCCCCTCCGCCTGTGTGCCCCACATGTGGCCACTCTGTCACACGGACACACATTCCCCACACCGCCAACAGATGACCACAGAGAAGGCTCTGGAAATTCAAGTGAGTGGGTAAGCGAAAGAGCGGAGGCTGTCACCTTCCTTTTGTCCATCCACCCCCCTGTGCCACTTGGGCCACAGCAGGCAGAAGCACCCTGAACGAGGCAACCCAGAGTCCGGCAACATGACCCCAAGTCAGCCGGCCCTCGCAGGGACACCCACTCACCTCTGTCACATGGAGGGGTCCGGGTTTGGAGGCACCAACCCAAGGCACCCCTGATATCTGGGGATGCCCTAAAGCCCATCCCACTTCCCCCCTGCGACACACACACACACACACACACACACACACACACACAGCGGAGTGGCCCACGGCGGGGCCACTGGGCTGCCTGGGGCTCAGGAGGCCCTTCCCGAACCTTCTGACCCCTCCGGCCTCAGATGCCAAGCACAAGCACACATGCGCTTACATGCACACACACGAGAAGCGTCTCCTCCCCAGGCACGGCCCACCAATCTTTCTAGCCCCCCACGCACCTGGACCCCCCTTGCTCTCTATGCTCTCACCACACACCCCTGCTTTCAGTCCCCATTCTAGAACCCATTGCACACTCTACGCCCTCAGCCTGGCTAACTCCTGCTCATCCTTCAGGTGTCGGCTCCAACATCACCTCCGCCAAGAAGCCTTCCCTACTAGCCATAGACAACGAGTCCTCCTTTTTATGCCTTCACGGCACCCCATACTACATTTCCCATATTTTCTGTGTCCACTTGGATGTCTGTCTGCCTCACCACACCACGTGCTTCTTGAGGAGCAAGGCCCTCATCACTGGCTCCCCAGGGCTTGCTCCAGCCCCACCACAGAGCCAGGGACTCGGTATTTGCTAAGTAGAGCAAAAAAGCTCGGGGATCCACCAGGAGCACAGCCCCCGTGCCCGTGCTCTCCCGACCACAGCCCAACGCACACTCAGAACCCGGACATACGACGCCTCCAGGCAGTCCTCCATCCTCACCGCCCGAATGTAAGTGCCGTGACGGCAGGGGTCCCATCAGTTGTGTTCGGCGCTGCTCCCCCTGGACCAGCACAGTAAGGCTCCCAGACCACCCGAGCCCCACACAGAGCCCAACACAGACTGGGGCCCACCCTGGCTCAGCAGGGGAGGGGGAGGCGGTACCTGCCGTCCCGATGGGCTGCGCCACCCTCAGTCACGGTCTTCACGAAGATGCCCAGCTTCTCCAGGCCCATGTCCGCCCCGGCCCCCATACCGATGATGCTGATGCCCAGACCCTCGGAGTCTGTGGAGCAGAAAGTCGTGAGAGGTTGGCGTGGGCAGGTGGGGGGCAGGGGCAAGGCGTTCCCCGGGGCTTTGAGGGTGGACATGATGAGAGACTCCCCTCCCCCCATCTCCATTGTCACCCCAGGGCACAGCCCCACCTCAGGCAGCAGGTCCACGCTTAGGGGATGTCCAGGACTGGGTGAGGGACACACCTTCTGTCCACACTCTCTCTATCAGGCCACCGAGGGTGCTCGTGGGTCACTGCCTGCTCTGTACCCCCCACCCCCAAGAACCAATGGGCATCAGGGCGTGCTGAGGGTGGCCTGGGGGGCGGGCCAGGGACTACGGTGCAGGCAGATGAGGGGCACAGAGGGACGGGATGGCCTGGGGGTGGCCACGGTGGAGCTGGTCTCACGCACACTCCCAGCCTCAATGACTGAAGATCGCCTGCTTTGCCCTCCACAGCTGTCCCCTCCTGTCTCATGGGCCTCTGACATCCAAAGGCTTATCTTCCCCCACAAACAGGCTCTTCTTGTCTGCCACTCCCTCCAGGGGCCCGAGAGTCACCTGGATTCCTCCCTCCCCCTCACGGCCTCAGGCGGGCCGAAGGGCCACCAGGTCCTGCAGATTCTTGCTCCCAAGGCTCTCTCAAGCACACCCACTTCCCACGCAGCCCGTCACCAGGTCCTCCCCACTGTGGCCTCTCCCCATCCACTTCGGGCCCCTTCTCCCCACAGCGCGGCCTCCGGTGGCCTTCCTAAAAGCCCTTTCCCGCGCCCTGCCACGGTGTCCCAGTCCGTCTCAGAGAGAAAAGACGGTGGCCTCCACGCGGCCTACGAGGCCCCACGTACCCCTCTTGCCCTCGTGATCCAAATCCGGCCAAGTCTCTCTTCTCTCTTTCCCGCAAGCATTCCCCTCTGCAGAGCTCAACGCAAGCACTCCTTCCTTGGGGACCCCACTGGCCTGGGTCTACGTGCTGGTGCAGCGGCCCCCGCCCATCCCTGCCCAGCCCGTGAGGACACGGTTAGCCCGGGGGTGTCCCCTCAGTGCCCGCCTCCCATCATGGCGCGGCCCACACCGAGCCCGGATGCCCAGTCCCGGCAGCTGGACGGGCACACAGTGGGGCAGGACGGGGTCGGGGGTGGGAGCTCTGGCCGCACTGGAGTCCATGTGGCTGGGGGGACTAGCAGAGGCAGAGTAGACACCAAAGTCCCTGAGGAAGCCCCCCACTCCCACCCCCAGGGCCCAGGGCAGAGCTGGAGCCAGAGAAGAGCCCCCCCCCGCCCCCCCGGCACCCACCCCTACCCCACGGCCTGGCCCGGACGTCTCACCCTTCTCCAGCTCCACCGGGAACAGCTCCAACCTCTCCACCCGCTTCTCCAGCTCGTACTCCGCGGAGGCGGCCATGGGATCCACGTCCTCGTTGCGCCGGTCGTAGTCCTCGTTGGAGTAGGTGCTGAACACCTGCGGGGGGGCCGCTGGTCAGGGCGGGTGCGGGGAGGCTGCCAGGGCAGCCTGCGGCCACCCCCTGGTGTCCCCGTCCTGCCCCAGGCCTCCCCCAGCCCCCAGATGACCCCCGCTCGGAGGGAAGGCCCTTCTAGCGCTGGAGTCCACGGGGCAAGAGGGAAAGGGACGACCCTGGCCGCCACACCGTCATTCTCTCCTGCGGCCGCAGCTGGGCACCAGCATTGGCTGCTGTGGAAGGAAAGGAAGGGCAGTCCTGGAGAAACCGTCAGGCTCCGGAAGCCGGCTCTCCAGGTCAGAGGCAGACAGACCAAGAGACTGGGGCAGGAGGAGACGCGAGGACCCAGAGGGCCAGACAAGGGCAGACGCGGATGGCAGGAGAGTGGGGCTGAGCGGGAGCAGACGGGAAGTGGAGGAGGGGAGTCTGGAGAATGGAGAAGATCGAGAGGATGCCAGATGGGGAGAGAGGGGGGAGCGGGTGTGAGACGCAGGGTGAGGGGAGGGAGGAGGAGAGAGAGGGACAGAGAGGCACCCAGGACCCGGCTGACCTGAACTCGGAGTTGAGGCTGGGGTCAGGGACAGAGGCAGGAGGGATCGCCCCACCCCCAGGGAGAAAGGGGAGCACTGCACTTGAGGTGCCCCTCAGGTGACAGGAGGCGGGGCGGGAGAGAACGCCGGGCCCACATGGCCTGGCCTGCATGGCTGGGCCTCAGTTTCCCTCCAGAGAAGCAGCTCTGAGGTGTGCCCCTTACCCTCCATGCACCAGGTGGCCGGGCCAGAGGCTCAGGACCCTGGTGAGAGCAAGGGGCTCAGGCAGGGGTGGAGCCTCTCCGAGGAGAGGAGAGGAGGGCCACAGTAAGCCCAGCCTGCGGGGAGGCCCCAAGGCCAGCCCTACCTTGCCGTCCCCTGTACCCTCCGCTATCTCCTTCCTGTGGCCCTCTTCCTGTGCGAGCAGGAGAACTCGACCCTCCCCCAGAGAGCAGAAAAGCTAGGGCAGGGGCTCTATGACAGTGCCTGAATCTGGGTCCGGGGGGGTACCCCCCAGTGGGAGGTGAATGAGCACCATTTGGGGCACCGTGACACGTTCACGCTTTATTGCCTGCAGCGACAGGTTGGCACCCCTTGGGAGCCACGCGGGGGCGAGGAGGGGTGGGCGCAGCTCTATCAAGACGGTGGGGCCTGAGGCCTGAGCAGCTGGGGTGGAGCGCCGTGTCCCCCGAGGCCCCTGCCAGGGCCCTCTCTCCCCGGGGCACCCTGGCGGGCAGTCGACTTGTGCCCTGGCCTTTGTTTGCACTCGGCTCAGTGTCACCCTCCAGGCCCCACCACCAGAGCCTCACTCCCACAAGGGGGGTATCAGAGGGTTAGAAGTGCAGCTGGGAGGGGCCTTTGTGGTCCCTTCACTCACTGCCCTCAATTTCACCGCATCAGAGAAACTCGAGCTCAGGCCCCTTGAAGCTCATTCTCAGTCGTGCAGGGGCCTCCTGACGCCTGGCCATTGGCCTCCAAGCCCCCAGTCCGCACACAGAATAAGAAGCCAGGTCTGCCGCTAAGGTCACTCGGGTTGGCCAGGGGCTGGGCAGGGTGAGTGAGACTGCGCCCAGCGGGCCCGGGCAAGTGGGTCTGCCTGTGACATTGTCCGCATTGCCCTCATGCCCCGGACCTAGCAAACGGGCTTTGGCGACTTTTGCATGAGTCCCTGGACCCTCACCCTCTGCTCCAGCAGACAGGGGCCCTTCACGCCAAACCCCTCCAGGTGGGGGTGCATGCGGCCAAAACACACTCCCAGCCTGTCCTCGGCTTTGCCCTCCCCTCTGCTAGCCTACCGCACCCTGCCCCGGTGCAGGAAACCCAGCCCCCAGCCTCAGAGGCCCCAGGCCAGCCCCACATCACCCACCACAATGTGCCCGGCCCATCGCAGGGCCCAGTCCCCCGCCCCAACCGCCAACACGGAACTGGGCTCTCTGTCCTCAGCAGAAACCTCCATAAGGGCGACAACTGGGCCATCCGTAAGGGCCCGAGACCCTCAAGTCGGCGTCAGTGCGGAGTGGGGGCAGGGAAGGGGAAAAACTGGGACCCACCGCCCAGGGTGGGGAGGAGGAAGTCCCCAACAAGGTCAAAAGTCAGACATACCAAGGCGGCAGCACGGACCACTGGCTCCCACCCTCCTGCGAGCAACGGCCACCAGGGAGTCAGGAAACAGTGCTCCAAATCGTGCGCTATTTTTTACCCAAAAATCAGGGTAAGGTGTCAAATATAGACAGTCAGAGGCCCAGGACTGAAAGACCAAACTCCACCTCTAACGGGATCAGGCCACTCAGAGAAGTGGTTGCGGGTGGGAGGGTCCTGACTCCCTCCGTGGTCCCTACCTCCTCTGCCGGGGTCCCAAGAAACACCATAACCTTCCTTCCATTCCAGCCCGATCCTGTTGCCCTGGGGAGGGGGAGGGGGAGGGCTGGGAAAGGACATGTAAGGTCGCAGACCCAGATGGGGAAGGAATGGTGTGGCTGGAGTAGCACCTTTCAGAGCCCAGCTGGGGGAGAGGGGGAAGAGGGGAGGAGCAGGAGGGACGGGAGGAAACTTGGGCAGCCTTGGCGTCCAGGAGCAGTTCTGGAAACTTCAAGCAAACAGATGAGGGTTTGACTGGGGAGGGGTAAAGGCAGGGTCCAGGCCTTAGGAGAGTTCGAGGGCCTGGACATCCCCCTCACCCTGCCCCCCCCCCCTCGCCCCGGGCAGTGGACCTGGCGCTGGGCACAGCTGAGCCTGGGGCAGTGAGAAAGGGCCATCCAGACTGGATGTGCTGGCCAAGCTTGGAGGGTGGCAGGAAGGGGAGCGGGGTGACCTGGGGCTCTTAATTCATCCCAGGGATGTCCCCCTACCCAGACCCCGTCGGTACTGTTCTGAGGATCCCTGGGCACTGGCACAAGCCACACACCCATCACCAAGAGCGATGGTGGGGAGGTGGGGCACTGAGACCCCCAAAAGGGGCAGCTCCCTTTTAGGGCGCCCGGAGAAAGTGGCGAGAGTTCTGGGAGTTTGCCAAGGCCCCAGGAGTCAGGCCTCCCCAGCAGCCAAGAGAAGACGCCTGTGGGCAGCTGCCAGGCATTCTGGGGGCTTTCCCAGCCCCACCCCCTCTCTTCAAGGCCCAGCCCCCTCATGGGCCAGGCAAGGTGCCCGTTCCCCTGGTGCAACCCAGCACCTCCCCCTCCCCAGCTGGCCCAGCACAGACCCCAGGGAACTGGGCCCCAGCGCCAGGCCTCTCCCCCACCCCCAGTCACATGGGCCCAGCCCTGCTCACCCTCATAGACCTGCTTCCCTCTTTCACTTCTGCAAACTTGGGGCAGGGGCTGCAGACAGGAGGGAGGAAGGGCTGCGCTCCCCTACACCTTCGTTTTAGGAAGTTCTTGGCGCCTCCCTCCTCTACAGGGGCAAAGCAGGGGGTGTTTCTAAGCGCCCCCACCTCTCCCGCCCAGAGTGGAGTAAGGACCAATGTGGTCTCCTGAGGACACGCACACAGAGACACACACCTCTCAGCCTCAGGCAGCCACCGGGGGAAGAGCGTCTGGGAGAGGAAGGGAGAGCAGGTGTCCCAGGATGCGGGCGCGGCGCAGCCCGGGCGAGGTGGCAGGCAGAGGAACCTGAGGGCAGGTCGGGGCAGGCCGCCCTGTCTCGGGCCTGAAAATCGTGCCCCTCTGACAAACAGCTGGAACTCCCCCACGCCCCCCTCGGGGTGGTAACTTCTGGGAAGGGGGCTGGGTGGCAGGGGCTGACTCAGCCTGCCAAACCCGGCTGGCGAGGCGGGGGCGACGGCGTGCACGTGGCAGGGGCGGCGCGGGGGCGGGGATGGGGGCTCACTCACTTGGATGGGCGCCGTGCTGAAATGGATCTTCCGGCTCGGGGCCGGGTCCTCTTCTTCCGAGAGCCCCGGGATCTCCACGCACCCCGACTCGGGCTCATAAGGGGGCTCCCCATCTTCCTCGTCGTCTTCGTCGTCCTCCTCCAGGGCACTGCCCCCAGAGTCCTCCCCCAGCCCACTGTAGGCGCTCACGTCCACCAAGTCTGCCTCCGAGAAGTCCTCCTTCTTGGACTCATCCGCCTCCTCGGGGGCCACGTCCGGGGCCCGGCCGTTGCCCACCCCCCTCTCGGGCGCCGCTACGGCCGCCGGGGCCTCCTCCAGGGCCGCCTGGGCCTTCTGCTCCTCCGGCGGCGCGGGGCCGGCTGTGGTTGCCAAGGTGCTGCCATTCTCCAGGGCCGCGTGGACCGTCACCTCCGCCTGAATCACCTCCCCAGGCGCCGCCTCGGCCTCCGACTCCCCGCTCTCCTCCACCTCCACGGGCTTAATCTTGCGCACCTCCCGGGGCTTGGGGGGCGGCCGGGCAGGGGCCACTCGGTGCTGCGGAGGCTGCTGCCCTCCTGGGCCGCGTTCCTTCTCGGCCGGTGCATCCCCCGACGGGGCGGGCGGCGGCGGCGGCGGCGGCTGGAACACCCGGGACCGCTTACTGACCAGCTTCGAGTTGACCTGGGGAAGCCCGGCGGCCGCGGCCCTGGGGAGCCCGGGCCCACGGTGGAGGCCGGTCCTCGAGTCGGCCTTCTCGAAGACGGCGCTGAGCTGGCTGACCGTCGGCGACACGGCGTCCGCGTCCAGCTTGTCCAGCGCCTCGGTGCTGCCGTTGAAGCGCACCACGACGTCCAGCTTCCGGTCCTGCAGGCCGGCGCGCTCCTGCCTCAGCAGCCGCCGCGCTGCGGCCTCCTTGTCGCCGCCCGCGGCTGCCGGGACGCTCCGTTCGAACAGCTTCCGCGTCTCCTGCAGCCGGGACGGCGGGTGCGGCGGCGGCGCGGGCTGCGCCGAGGGCGCGGGCTTGGAGTCGAAGCGGCTCACGCGCTCCGACACGCTGGTGCCCAGCTTGAGCAGGGCGCTGTGGTCCACGTTCTCGTTCAGGCTGCTGGCCCGCGGCAGCGACAGGCGCACGCCGCGCTCGGGCGCCCGCGGGGCCTCGGTGGGGCCCGCGCCGCCGCCCGCCTCGCCCGGCGGCCCCGCCGTCGTGCCCATCTGCAGGAACATACTTTTGATGCGGTGGACGTTGGAGCCATATTTCTTGTGGTGGGCCGCCTTGGGTGCCTCGTCGGGCCCGGGCGCGTCGGGCGGCTTCAGCGCCTGGATGCCCGCCTCGTAGGCGCTGCGGTGCGGGGAGGCGCTCCGGAGGGGACCCCCGGGCCCCCGCGGCTCCGTCTTCATCATGGTGGGGGGAGACGGGGGCGCATCCCCTCGCTTCCCGCTCCCCCCCTCCAACAGGCGGCTGGCCAAGTCGGGACCACCGCCCCCTCCCCCCCCGAGAAAAAGAAACCCCGGAAGGCCTTTTTTAGGCTCCCCCCAACCAAGCTGCCAAAAACAGTTAACCCCGCTTAAAAAAAAAAAAAAAAAAGGAAAAAAAAAACCCTCCGAGCGCCCTGTGTGGGTCGCCTCCCCCAATCCAGCTGCCACAGCCAGCCAGCCCCTCTTTCAAAGCCCGAGAGATTGGCCTGCTACGGTCGCCCCCACCCAAATTAGAAAAGCGGCGGCCGGGGCCGGTGGGACCGCGCGCCCTGCCCGCGAAGCAGCGGCGGAGGCGCCGGCTCACATCGTCCGAGGCGGTGTCAGTGGGGCTGGCAGCCCGGGCGTCCCCCACCCCGGCCGGGGGCCTCGGCTCTCGGGGGGCCCGGCACCCCGGCGCCCATGGCTGCTCGGCCGGCCCGGGCCGCTCCGCCGCCGCGCCACCCTCCCTCCCTCCCTCCCCCCCGCGCCCCGAGCCTCGGTCTTTCTCTGGCTCTGCCGGAGCGGCGGCTGCCCGAGACCGAGCGGCTGCCCTTCTCGCCGCCGCCGCTGGGGGACTGGCACCTCTGGGTCCTAAAGGGATCGGATTTCCGGGGCCGGAATGCGTGAGCCCTCCCCTTCCCCTCCTCCCGAACGTGTCCCCTCCCCTGCCCGTCCCTCGCCGACCGCCTGACGCTGACCCCAGATCCTGGCCTGCCCTCTTCAGCCCTTCCATCCCAGCCTCTGGCTGCGGCTTATCACAACCCACAAAAGCACACCCGCACCAAATACCGGGTGCGGGGAGGCAATCTGGCCCCAGTGGTCTCTGTGCGGTCCTGTCTCCGTCCCAAATGTGAAGGGAGATTAGTGGGGCGGGGCAAAGGATCATTTCCTTCAAGGTCCTTGGGAGTTCCCTAGTATGGTTCAAGGCCATCAGCATCAAAACCTATGGGCCCTTAAAAAATTGTGTTTTGAATTCAGATTTCTGGGCCCTCCTCCAAACTTTGTGAAGCACAACCTCAGAGGCCGGAGCGGGAATCTGCATTTTAAGAAATTCTCCTGTAGAACCGTTTGCACTCTCTAAGGTGTGAAAGCTGGGTCCAGTGTTGCTGGCTTTGTGGTGGAGGAGGAAAGGGGAACGGAAATGGTCCTCATCGCCCAGGTGGCAGCCCAAAGCTGGCCTTTGTCCTTTGGAAGTCTGAAAGGGGTGTCACCCTGCCCAGCACCCAGGAGGCAAGGGAGGAGATGCAATCCCTGCCTTCAAGCCCCTGCTAGGGCACTCTTGCCTCTTGAACAAGAGGAAGGGATTTGGCAGGAGGAATTCTGGAGGCCTGGGGCCAAGGTTTCAGCAGTGAGAGGTCTAGCTTGGGTCTCCGATCTAAAGGATCCCGGCCACTGTGTGCAAGTGTGTGTTAGGGAGGCGGGGAGAAAGATTGTAGTGACCCGCACAACCCCTGTCCCCCTGTCCCGACAACCCAGAAAGTTGTTGTGATGCTCTCCCCAACCCCACATATACAACAGGGAGCCTGGGTTTGCCCTCTACCCGTTCCCAGGCGCCAGGCCTGGGAGTAAATGTCCACCCTCTAGACCGTGACGGATCCAGATGCGCTGCCTCACTCCACAGATGCCAGAAAATGCTGAACAGGGTGGACCCTAGGACCCAGGGAACAACTCAGGCACAAAGCCTCCCCCCACTCCCAGCTGCTTCCTGCATCTCAGGCCTTCCTGCGGTCTCTGCCTCCTCCCCCGCCCTCTTCTCTTCCATCCTCTTCCTCTTCTTCCCAATCTCCCACTCTCTCCCCAGCTTGCCTAGAAGGGCTGTTGTAGGGAATCCTCCCACCCCTCTGCTGTAGGGGTGTGGGGTTTTTTTGCGGGGATATAAGCCGGTTAACACGTGCAAAGGACCCTGGGGGATGGGGTGTGGGAAGCTGCCTGGGAATCCTGAATATTGGGGCAGGGAGGGGCCAGGAACCCGAGGACTGGATCCAGAGACTAAGAGAGAGGGAAGATTTGGGCTCTAAGCAGGAACCGGAAATAAAGCCAGACCTGAGGCTTTGCAGTGACACCTGCCTCTTTGCCTAGCTGCCCTGGTAGCTTTCCGCTCCGCACCCCCCAATTTTACGCTTTGGGATAACAGACTGAAGAAGCCATCCCCAGTCTCCCCTCCCTCCTAACCCTTTGTAGAAGACTTCTTTGAAGAACAAGCCTTGGGACTTGGGTTTCCAAGTTCCAGTCTGGAGCTTGAAATCTGCCTCCCCTCGAAGGTCCCCCCGACCGCACGGTGGAAGTTGGGTGAGACAGAAATCTCACCTAGCCGAGGGATGGGAGTTTGGGCAAGTGTCCCCAGAAACTCTTGTGTGGACTGGAGGAGGGCGCAGGCCCCTGGGTGTTCTGCCCAGAATCTCCCACACCCTGGGATGAGTCATCTTAACTGGTCCCAGCCCAAGGGGTCTGGGGCCACGCTTTTGGCCAGGTGGGGAAGCTGGCTTCTAAGGGTGGGAGGAGGAGCTGAGAACCAGCAGTCAGGACCAGTGACTCTGGGACCCCCACCACCTCCAGCAGCAGTGGCAGCAGCATGGGGGTGACCTGGATTACTGAGGTGCTTGGATCTCCCTTGTCCAAGGGTGAAACCCTTTTAAGTGCTTTGGGAGGCAGGAGGGTGGAGTCAGTCCAGAGCTTGGATGGCTGGAGGCTAATGGGCGAGGATTATTATTTCATGGGCTCCCGGTTAGCTCAGCGACACCCCCAGCCAGAATTCCCGAAGAAGCTTTTATGGATCAGTAAGTGCTTTACCATCACTCCTTCCCTGGGGTGAGGCACCAAGCCGGCTGACCTGCGAGATTAGGCTGGCCTTCCAGACTAGAAGGGTAGGGAATGGGGTGTTACCTCCTCCGTTCCCCTCCCTGCCTGCCTGGAATCCCCCCTGCAGTGAGGATACATTTGGGAGGGTTACCATCCAAATGGCAAGATTTAAACCTAATTTCTATTCCCCTGGCTGTGATCCTCACCCCGCTCCTTCAGACCAGCACCCCATGGTAATTTAATCATCCCTTCTCTTGTCCTGTGTGGGGAAGGCCTCAATGGCCAAGTTGTCTGGTGGTCTTTAAATGGAAGTTCCTAGGGGCGCCTGGGTGGCTCAGTCGGTTAAGCATCTGACTTGGGCTCAGGTCATGATCTCACGGCTTGTGAGTTTGAGTCGCCCTCCACGTCACAGCTCAGAGCCTGGAGCCTGCTTCGGTTTCTGAGTCTCCCACTTTCTGCCCCTACCCCCCTCAAAAATAAATAAACATTAAAAAAAAATTATAAATGGAAGTTCCTTCCTCACCTTACCCTGGAAGAGAGGGTGAGGTGGTTCCCAATGCTGACCCAGGAGCTGGGCTGTCAGAGTTCAGATCGTGGCTCCACCACCTGCTAGCTGTGTGACCTTGGAAAAGTTACTCAGTGTCTCTGCTCTGACAGGATAAACAGAATAAAGTAGCTGGAACACAGAAGGTAGGGTGTGTGGGGAAGGAGATGCCTCTCCAGGTTCTTGATCAAAAGGCTGGGGGCTTCTATAGGGAGAGATCATCTGCCCTTGACCCTTCTCTTGATAGAGCCCCTCCCCATTTTCCTCCTACCCCCAGACCTGATGAGGGGCCCCTGAGACATTCCTCCAGGCTCGCCAGTTTTAAACAGCAGGTGTAACAAGTGATGAAGGCAGGGAGATCTGTGATAAGTCCTGAGCCCTCAGTGCCCTGGGCTCAGGCCTGGGCTGGGCGCCAAGGCTGGCTTCTCTTCCCAGCCCTGGGGCCTTGAGACTCAGCCTCTGAACGTTGTGTTTCTGCGGCCACAGTCATCTGAGCTGAGGCCGACCTAGACCCTGCCCTTTGGCCATTTTGTGGGGAGCCAGCGGTCCCCGCCCCAATCACTCCCCTTCATCTGTCCTCCTCTGCCAGGAGCTCGGGCAGATATGAAGATGCTGGAAAAGGCGTGTGTGTTCTCACACAACTCCACAGAGGACAACATAAATCCAGGATGTCGGTGCTGCGGGGGCCTTTAGTGGCCCTTGGTTGACCCCTTCCCAGGGGAATGAGGAGGGCTGAGACGTGCAGAGGGAAGTGACTTACCCAGTTTTAGAGGAAAGACCAGGCTGTGGATCAAAAGGTCTGAACTGAATCATAGCTTCATCCATTTACTGGGTGACCTGGGCTTAGTCATTTTCCCTCCCTAAGCCTCATTTCCTCAAAGAGCTCAATCTGTATGTCTGAGCATGTCTCCTGAGCGCGGGGGGACCCCGAGTCTCCCCCACTCTCCGTGGAGCCAGGCAGAACAGGGGCTCTGAAGCCAGACGGTCTTTGTTCCCAACCTGCCACTTCCCAGTGAAGGGATTTTAACAAATGTCTTCATCTGTAAACTGGAAGAAACACAGCAACCTCATAGTGTTAACGATTAAATGAGTTCTGTGAGTGCTTTATGCGTTTAGAACGGCTCCTGGCACACAGTCGCAGCTGGGTGAGTCTCCTGTTGTTGACTGTGTGTGTATTTGAACATGTATGGAGGTGTGTGCACATGTGCGCATGTGTGAGCAGGTGTGGCCAAAACTGGGCGTCAGCGCTGACATCTCTGTGTGGGTCTCCGTGAAGCTTCCAGCCTCTTGTTTCCTTCTAAGGTCAATTTTTTAAAATTAATTTTTGTAATGTCCATTTATTTTGAGAGAGAGAAAGAGAGGGAGAAAGAGAAAGCGGGGGGGGGGGGGAGAGAGAGAGAGAAAGAGAGAGAGAATCCCAAGCAGACTCCACACTCAGCCCAGAGCCCATCACAGGCTTGATCCCACGACCATGAGATCATGACCAGAGCCAAAATTAACTCAACCTCCTGAGCCACCAGGGCGCCCCTCCCTCTGAGGTCTCTTAGATGGAGTTCTGAAATATAAATGCCCCCTGACTAAGGTGCTCCAAATCTTTTGGGATCATCCCTGAAATGAAGGTGACCTCCCTTCTCGACTTCCCAGAGGGTTTTTCATTCCTGCCTCTTGGTGTCTCAAGAGCCCCCCTCCCCACATTGCCTAAGCAAAGACAGGAGTCCTTTGGGGTCCACTTACAGAAGGAGGAGTCAGTGTGTGTGTGTGTGTGTGTGTGTGTATGTTGGGGAGTGGGGAAAGGGTGGGACAGAAGAAAGATTTCTCCAACTCATCAGTTGCTTTTAAAGAAAGCCTATATTTAGCCAAGCTTAGAGGGCCTGTAAATATGTATTTTGCAATGCAGACAGCCATAGCTGTGGGAGCTCCAGAGATGTGCAGGGAGGTCAAAGAAAAAAAAAATGAACCGGAAAGATTGGGCAATGTACTTGGTCATCGAAGGACTCTGGTGCCGGCTCCCACTGCTAATAGTATGCATTCCTGTGTCCGGAGGGTGGCTTGTATTGTTCAGCT